AGTACTCTGTTTTTCTCCATGATCTAAAACAGTACAATTACTTTTTCAATAGCAAAAAAGATAAATTATGTCAAATAAAATCAGTTTAATTATTGCAGGTTTTTTTCAAAACCCTTAACATTCATAATATCCTAGCCTTACTTTCAGATGATAGGAAAAAAATATTGAGATGAAAAAGAAACTTTCTTTATGGTCACTAAAAGACTTTTATATACAAGTAAGAGCTATATTAAACAGGAACATATCATAAGAAGTCTACTCCAGGTAAAAATAAGAACCCATGACATTACATTAACAATCATTTACAGCAGGGATGTCAAACTGCCGGCCCACAGGCAGGATGCGTCACACCAAAACTGCGCGTACCCAATTGCCGGCAATGGGAAAAAAGTCGCGATATGGCGTGACACATCACATGACATCATGAGTTTGACACCCGTGATTTACAGCATTTCTATTGGCTTCCTTCTTGATTAGAAGTGTGCTTTGAACCTGGTTTCCAATTATTTTATTTATGTATTTAATATGCTTTGCAGAATAGCACAAACTATTATCTTGTCATTACAAATAAGATATGATTTGCCTAAACTCAGAAAGGAAAAAAGCCAACTACACATAAAAAAGGAGTCTGAATCTTGACTTAGTGGACATGCACTGCAACTTTAAATTTATGACTTAAAAATTGATAGCTCAGAAATATTTTTCATACAAGAAACACAATTGCCTACATATTTAAATTACATGTATAACAGTTTCAGCATTAGTAGATTCTTCATGACTATTCCCCCCCCCCATTCTCACTATTTCAATACAGTATCAAATTCTTAGAAAAGTCCTTTTTTTCTTGTCTAATTAAAATCAGCCCAAAAAGGACAGTAGCTATGGGCAGCATTCTACTTACATTGTCTTGTTTTTAAATACAGTAAGCTACAAACAAAAGTTCCACACATTTTCTTATTTTGATATCTAAAATTCTTTCAATTTTCACCTCTGAAAGCCTTAACAAAATATGCATCAGCCTGACAGTTAAATACAAATTATATTGAAGCTGTAGAAGTAGATCAGCATATTTGTACTCAACTTTAAATATAATCTTAATCAAAATATTGCATTAAGTATGTAGATATCAGGCTAGTTATTATCTTGTATCTGGCTTGAAGAAGTCAAGTTTTGAAGTTTTTCTTTATAAGGACATTCTTCCCTCAATAGTATGCATCTTGTATATTCATAATTATTTCACAACTGAAAGTTTCTACTTTAAAAATATAGAGAATAACAAAAATTACAAATCAGTAATAGTCTTGAGTAAATGGCATATGAGAGCCAGTTCTGTATTGTGATTAAGGCACCAGGCTATAAACCTGAAGACTGTGAATCCTAGTATCAACAAAAACAGTTGTGTGACCTTGGACCAGTCACTCTCTCTCACCCCTAGGAAGCAGGCAATTCAAGACCATTAAAAAAAAACCTTTCTAAAAAACCCTGAAGGACTAGATCAGGCAGTCACCAGGAGTCAGCACACAGGTACACACACAAATTTGGTACATGAACTGAATTTCTTATTTAAGATTGGTATCATTCACACTGTAATGCTGTATGTAATAATTCATAAATATTCCTACAAGAAACAAGACTATCAAAAAAAATTATCCCACACACATGGACATATTTTATGACTATAATAATATGCCTCAGCAGCATTCGGACAGAAGAAGCATAAGTGACAAATTGCAGCAACACTACATTGGTATGGTTTGGAAGTGACAGAAGACACATTCTCTGTTTGCAAAAACATAAGCAAAATATAAATTGTGAAAGCAAATACATTTGCTGCATCAAAGCTAGAATCTGTTGCATTTGAAAGTGTGATCCAAATGTGTATAAATATCTGAAAAAGCTACCAAACTATTAATTACACACTTTCCATATATGTGTCCATTTGGTTATATATTAGTCTCCCACCCTCCTCCTCTTAATCCTGAAGTTCCTTATATACTTCCAACATTTGCTATAGATTTTCTCCCAAATTTCTAGAACTATTCTGGAAGACACTGGGATGAATGAGAACCCATTATGGTACAGATGTTATTCCACTAGAAGATGCACATAATTGGATTTAGTACTATCAGCTTCTTACAACATCACAAATTTGTCAAAGCTAATTTTAACAAGAAATTCATTTTTAATTTGTACATTTGCAAACAGTAAATTAAATACAGTAATAGAATCCAGCATAAACATATTAAAAAATAAATAAAATATTCATTGCTTTGAATCAGATTATTACCAGCTCATATGGCTATTCTTTTTTGTTTCTTAAACATATTTATTTCACTGTTTATGTTATTTTTGTGAAATAAACAGAGTGAAATTCAATCAGATTTTTTCATTGATATTTTAATTAGTGAAAGCAAGGAGAGAGTGAGTTTTTCTTTTCTATAGCTCCTCATATATACCAAGTGTCATCTCTGTGTAATTCTCCCAATATCCCAATACATTTTGAGAATACAAAGGAAAGTGAGGAAGGTGATGGAAACCAGGAAAAAACCAGCTAACACAATATTGACTTTTATTACAAATGCAATTTGCATGCTGTCTGATAATCACATGCATGATCTCTATCAACAATTCAAAATTGTGATGACGTACAGCAGATACATGAGATTAATTATAGAAAGACTTCCTGTTTTGCAATTAAGGACAATCTCATTCATACAGGTTGAAACTAAGTAATTATTATATCATCCTGTTACACACACAGTATTGCATGTATTTAAAAGTTTTCTATTATGCTTTTACCAGGTTTGAGACATTAGCAGCACAACTGATCTGAATAACCCTGCAGAATTAGGCTAAGACCCATTTTAGTCTATCATTCTGCTTCTCACAGCCTCCAACCAAAAGTCTTTAGGATGCTCACAATTATGACATGGAGTTCTTCATATTCTTTTTCCAATCACATCCAGCTGTTATTTGGTGGCATGGTGCCCTCGTGGAGATAACATTATAAATAGCTTTTGAATGTCCCCATAAATTTATTTACTCCTTTCAAAGCCATCCGAATCAGTGGCCATCACATAGTAATGAATTCCTCAGATTAATAATAATAATGATAAAGTTGGAAGGGACCTTGGAGGTCATCTAGTCCAACCCCTGCTCAGGCAGGAAACCCTATACCATTTCGGACAAATGACTGTCCAGTCTCTTCTTAAAAACTTCCAGTGTTGGCGCATTCACCGCTTCTGGAGGCAGGTTGTCCCACTGGTTAATTGTTTTAACTGTCAGGAAGTTTCTCCTTAGTTCTAGGTTGCTTCTCTCCTTGTAGTTTCCATCCATTGCTTGTCTTTCCCTCAGATGCTTTGGAGAATAGCTTGACTCCCTCTTCTTTTTGGCAGCTCCTCAAATATTGGAACACTGCTATCATGTCCCCCCTTGTCCTTCTCTTCATTAAACTAGACATATCCAATTCCAGCAACCGTTCCTTATATGTTTTAGCCTCCAATCCCCTAATCATCTTTGTTGCTCTTCTCTGTACTCTTTCTAGAGTCTCAGCATCTTTTTTACATCACGGTGACCAAAACTGGATGCAGTATTCCAAGTGTGGCCTTACCAAGGCATTGTAAAGTGGTATTAATACTTTACGTGATCTTGATTCTATCCCTGTTAATGCAGCCTAGCATTGTGTTGGCTTTTTTGGCAGCTGCAGCACACTGCTGGCTCATATTTATGATCAATTCATTGCAAAACAAGTTTTGCCTGATACAATAAAATAGATGTAGGAATAGGTGTTGCTAGTACAGTAATTATTCTACAAAATAACAATATCATAAATTGTCACCAATAATGTATTTACAAGGTCCCCAAGTAGCACAGTATTTACCAACAGATCTAAAATACTTGTACCTGCTACAGCAACTGCTCTCAGATATACGAAATTATTAGGAATTCTGAACAGAAGAGGGCAACCTATAAATATAAGAGACAACTTATTCTAATACTTAATGAAACTCTTTATATTGTTGCTATTAAAATATTTTCTATGAACAATATTTATTTATGCTTGTTACTTTGCAAAGACCATCTATTTTAACAACAAGCTGAATTATTCCTCATGATATGCCATAGGACTCAAAATTCCTTAAGGAACTACTGTTCCAGTGGATTCAAACCAAAAAAAAAAAAAAAGCAACTCAGTGCAGTTCCATTTATACTTTAAGTTTTAATTTGTAGGCTTGGCCAGAAACACCACCCCCTCTAATGACAACCATCAGCAAGAGAAAATGGCGAGTAAAAAGTCACAGTAGTTTTGTATACAGTGTTTCACTTAGGATGCTCTTGATTCCATGAGACAGACCATTAGTATAGAAAAGACCGTTATTAAGATTGGTGACAGACACCCCAATTTTCCGCACCAGGACCCTCGGATCATGAACTTTCTGAGTACCCGAGTAGAATTTCATTTTACAAAAATCACTTTGTCAACCGTTCGGCCATAAAAGCGTCCCCTTTGGCTAACGAAAAAAAAGCGTCCCCTTTGGCTAACAAAAAAAAAAGAGGGTGACGGCGAAAAAGGGGATTCTCAAGGGACAGAAACGAGACGGACACCCCCCATCCACCCAAAAACCAACGGAGGAGCAGAGGACCCGTAGGGCGAACGCGTCGCAACGCATCATGGGCACTGCGCGCCTGTCTGTGGGGTGTGTTTGTGTTTATGGGGCGGTTAGGTGCGCGCGCGCCCGTCCGCACCAAAAGCGCGAGGGGGTGTCCGCTCCTTCCCTGCCCCCTCCCACAGCCGAAATTCCTCCGGCCCAGGCCGACCACAACCGGTTTCATCCGGTTCCTGGCGGGCCGTTTGTTTCCGTGCGCGCGTGCCGCACGCTGCCCGCTGACGTCAGGCGTGTGTGGCGCGCGGGCGGGCGCCGGGCGGAGGGGTGCGGCGGCGGCGGCGGCGGCGGGAGCAGCAGCAGTAAGAAGCGGCTGCGGGTGTTCTCGCTACGTACGTGTAGTGCTGCGGCTTCTCGGGCTGCGCTTGGAGCGCGCTGGCGGGCGCCACCGGCCCGGTCGCAGGAGGCCCGGTCCCTACCGGGCCCTTCGACATGCTCCTGCCCTCCGCTCCCTCCTCCACCGCCCGCTACCACCGAGGAGGAGAGCTTTATTATTCACTCTGCGCGGTCCGCACGGAGACCGCAATGCGCAGGCGCTGCCGCCGCCATTACCGCCCCGGGTTACCCAAAGCATGCTGGGGCTTGTAGTCCCGGTGATGGCGGGAAATCCCCCTTTTCTTCTACTAGGCTTCCGGCCCTTGAAACTACAAGTACAGAGGGGCTCTGCACTTGCTGTCCCGGATATTGTAATAGCGCAGGGATTTATAGGAGTAGTAGTTAGAAGCAATCCGTCCATGGATTGCCCTCGAGAAAACGTAAGCAGGGTTGCTGTTTCGCCAGCTATGGATCGTTTAATTACATTTCCTCCCCCCAATTATTTCTATTTCGCGATGTTAGCATTATTAATTTGGAAGTAAATGTCGTTAGATGCTGTAAGGTTTCCTACTGAGTGTGAATTAAGAGTGCAATGTACCGTAGGTGATTATGCTAAACGATGATGGATAGGCTGTCATACTAAAGTAATTGCAAATTAAGGACAAGTCCAATTTATTAAAAAGAAAAAAAAACAGGCTAGGTGTGATCTTTTCTTTGGATAATAGATTGGTATTCCAACACAGAGAGACAGTGCCCTCAAAATTATCTCACAAGTCTACAAATTGTGTATGTTACTATAAAAACAATAGAGGGATTGTTGATCCTAAAGCAAAAGTTTAATTTGATAAACTTGAGTTGTTAAAATTGATATATCTAATACTGGATTCTGATCTATCAAGTATTTTGCCATAATAAAAGTAGTATCACAAGACTTGCCGATAATACTATAAGTTAGCCATACCTTGACAAATTTCTGCCACAACAATACTTCATCTTTGTTGTAACATGTCATGACAGTATTTGATTACTCATATGGTTATTCACAGAAAAATCTGTATGGTTGCAGAGTCAACAATGACTTGATGGCATTTAATCATATGGTTATACTTTACATATAAAATACTTTACAATTCTTACTTTGTCCCTATAGTTAAGGCATGAGTCAAAACATTTACCCTTTTCCAATAAGCATGTAATACCATGTTATCTGTATACTGCCAAGTTCCATCTGTGTTCTTTGAAAGTAAGTCCTAGTATACATATTGAGTTTAAATTATGCATTTATTTGAGATCTCAGACTGTGATGTTTTGTTTCATGGACATTAATGTATTTTCCCCTTAAATAGATATTTTGTTTGGTTGTTTCTAAAGCAAACATTTTTAGAATTGAACCATTTTCAAACATCTAAGCAAGACTTTTGATATTCTTTCTTAGTTCTTTAGCATCTTTAATAATTTAAATATACTGTATTCTTTAAGTTAACTATCACGGTCAAGCTTTCTCCAGTGTAGTTCTCCAGTGTAAGTTAAGGAAAGCTGATCATCATACTTAATCTCATCCTATTTAATCTTTATTGGAGTCTAGGAATTAATTGTTCACATATAATGCTAAACCATAGTATTTATTTGGAGCCAGCCACTATTGTTTGTAAACTACTTTTGGCCATTATGTGTGAATCAGAGTATTATTCTTAGTAAGTTATATATACTGTAAAACAATTGTAGTTTATTTGATAAGTAAACCTAGGCAATAGTGCTGTTATTTGACTATTATCTAGGATCATGGAAACACTGTAGATATTTATTTACTGAATTTCTATTGTATACTAATGAATTGTACATTTACTGTGATTTATAATGTAATTAGAAAAATACATAGTAAAAAACCAATAATCATTCATAAATCCAAATGAGAAAAAAGTCAGTAAGAAACATTGTCATACAGTATTTAAAAAGATAAAACAATGTTGGATACTATCAACATAGATAACTTTACCAAAGGACCCTTGATTCCATTTGTATTGCTTTACAGAACAATGATAATGTTTTTGCCAGTCTGTAATGTAAGAAATGTTGCCCATGAACCTCCAGTTATCTCACCTTCCATGGTGGAGATAAATAACTTTTGCTGTTGAAATGAGCACGTTGGCTGCAATGGATTTTGCCTAGAGAAATCAATTCTGAATGCACCTATGTAGAAGATTTCAAAGGTCAAATGAACTGTATTTGGAAATCTATTGGCAACCAATGCAGCATCTATATTATTGATGTGATATGTTTGAAGCAGTTCTTGACTGCCAAGTACATAGCTAGCTGGATTTTTCAGTAATTTCAGTTTTCAGAGATAGTCCCAGGCAGAGGATATTGCAGTATCTATCCTCTGATGATGAGAGCATGAGTTCCATTTCCAGGTTCTTTCCTCATAAATATGAACACAGTTGGCACACCAGTCAAATCTAGTCGAACAATAATTCCTGATATAGATAGAACATAACAACTACCCTCACAACAACTAGTAAACTCTCCTGTTAGCTTCTTATTTACTATATTTGTGGAACAACCAAAGTACCAATTCACAACAGCTACCCAGGTATTTTGTGAAACAGCAGAAGGGCATGCATAATTATTTGGAGCCATATGGGACATCACAAACTGATTAGTACTCTTCTCCATGATGATTATTTCATTATTTTAAAAAAATCAAATTACTTTCTATTGTACTCAAAAATCAGTGGTGGAGGATGAATGAAGCAGGCATGTAACATTCTTTTGTTGAGTGTTGTTGGGATCTATGAGCATAGGATTATGGTTTGGCTGGATAGAACACTGTAAGGACCCACCCCACTTTGCATCTTAAGAAGACAGAACTCTTGGAATAGCTCTTCCAACAGGAATCCTTTATTAAGAGAAAATGGTTGCAGGCATGCTAGACAGGACTTGGGGTTCAAGCTCTCCCATTCAAGGTTTTAAGGGGTTCCCCAGTAGTCCCACCCAATCAACCCCCCTTCCAGTGATAGTTTCAAGTATCACAATTCCATCCCCTTTCTTCTTCCGTCTGGATGGAGACTTCAGATAACTACATGAAAGGCAATTACTCTTCTTTGATATGTTAAAGCTTAGAGGCCACAATAAACACACATTCAGTCCTTTGAAGTGTGCTGAAGGAAGTGAGGGCCATAAAGCCCCTTTGCTCTCCCCCTTTTCTCCCTCTTATGGCAGAATCCAGAGAAGGCAGAATTGGGAGTTTCTATGTTTGATAATTAAAGATGAAATATAATTGGATTCTGACATCCGGCCCCTCTTAACAATAAGAGAGATCCACCTGAAAGACAACACAAGTAAAAAATTTAGTTAGGCTTGTTAGGATACTCTGTGTGAAACTTCTTCAATAGCTTCGGGGCTCTGACGTGACGTTTATGGACCCACTCATTTTGTGAGGCAGGGAGGTGTTTCCAGGCAACTAGGTACTGAGTTGTTCCACGATATCTCCTAGAGTCAAGGATCTCTTTTATTTCGAAGTGTTGTTCCCCCTCCACCATGATTGGAGGTGGTGGGGGGGGGATTTTTGGCCGTAGAGGTGACTGATGCTCTCTTTTCAGCAAGCTGCAATGAAAAATTGGGTGTATTTGCCTGAGGTTTTTGGGTAATTCTAATTCTACTGTTACTGGATTTATGATCCTTTTAATTGGAAAAGGTCCTATATATTTTGGTCCAAGTTTTTTACAGGGCTGTAGGGACTTTAGGTATTTTGTAGATAAGTACACCATTTCTCCTATAATGAATGGTGTAGGCTCAACCCTTTTTTTATCGGCTTGTGCTTTGTATGCCCGCCTAGCTTCATCTAGTGATTTTCTGACTATTGGCCAGGTGTTTTGTAGGCTTTTCCATCCATTCTTTCAGTGAAGGGATCGTTGGTTCTTTTGGGGTTAACTCTGGCATAGGGTTGAAACTTTGGCCGTTGGCTATTTGAAAAGGAGTGTAGCCTGTGCTGGAGTGGACTGCATTATTGTAGGCAACTTCTGCAAAAGGAAGTAAGTCCGTCCAATCACTCTGTTGGAAATTTAAAAAACATCTCAAATATTGCTCAAGTACCGACTGGCAGCGTTCCGCTTGTCCATCTGTCTGAGGGTGATGGCTAGATGTCAGTCCCTGAGTGGTCCCTAAGAGGGATAAAAATTCCTTCCAAAATGTAGACGTAAATTGCACTCCCCTATCAGAGATGATGCGTTGGGGTGCCCCGTGCAATCTGTAAATGTGCTGGATAAAAAGTTTTGCTAAGGCCTTTGCAGTGGGAATTTTTTGGCAAGGGATAAAGTGCACCTGTTTGGAAAATAGGTCCGTGACTGTCCAGATAACAGTATTCCCATTGCTTTCAGGCAATTCCACTATAAAATCCATGGCTATTTCCCTCCAGGGGGCTGAGGGACTTGCCACTGGTTGTAACAGCCCTGGCGATTTCCCTTGCAACCTCTTTGCTGATGCACAGGTTGGGCAGCTGGCAACATAACTTTCTATGTCCTTTTTTATTGATGGCCACCAAAATTGCCGTTTAATTAAGTGTAAAGTTTTTACAAATCCAAAATGCCCTGCTGATTTTGTGTCATGGCAAAGTTGCATGAAAGTTAGTCTTTGAGTTGTTGGTATATATAACTTTTCCCCTACCCAAGGCAATCCGTCTCTCATTGTGCACACATGTTTGTTTTTCTGGAACCAATCATCTGTTTCCAAACTTTTTCTGAATTCAATCCCAGTTTGGCTGTCCAGTTGTGGTTTTATTTTGGCTTGGGTTCTTGTGGTTACTGGCGCTGCCAGTTGTGATTCTGCCATTATTGGTCTAGAGTCTGTGGTTCGTGCGCTGTTATATTGGGGCATGCGAGATAGTGCATCTGCCAGGAAGTTCTTTCTTCCTGGTAAATGTTTGAGCTTAAATTGGAATTGGTGAAAATGCTGGGACCAGCGGGCTTGTTTGGGATTGAGTTTCCTGGAAGTTTTCAGGGCTTCTAAATTTTTGTGATCAGTCCATACCTGGAAGGGGATTTTGTTGCCTTCCAGGAACTGTCGCCACGTGAGTAATGCCCAACGTATCCCATAAGCCTCCTTCTCCCATACGGGCCAGCGCTGTTCTGTTTCCGTGAGTTTCTTAGATGTATATGCACAGGGTTGCAATACTGCATCATCATTTTCTTGTAATAGCACAGCCCCCACTGCCACATCACTTGCATCTGCCTGTATTATGAAGGGCTTGTCCATATCTGGGTGCCTTAGTACTGGTTCGGCAGAAAAAAGTCTCTTTAGTCTCTCAAACGCTGCTTGGCACTCCATTGTCCATGTTAGTGGCTGGCTAGGTTTTACTGAGGATGTTCCCTTCGTTTTTAGTAAGTTGGTGAGGGGCAAGGCTATCTGTGCAAATGAGGGGATGAATTGGCGGTAAAAATTTGCAAAGCCCAGGAAACTTTGTAGTTGTTTTCTTGTGCGGGGTGGTGCCCATTCTAATACTGCTCTGACCTTCTCTGGGTCCATTTCAATGCCCTGTGGGGATATGCGATAGCCTAGGTAGTCTATCCTTTCCTGGTGGAATTCGCATTTTGAGAGTTTGGCATATAGGTGAGCGGCTCGCAGCTTCTTTAAAACCGCTCTGACAAGTTTGACGTGTTCTTCTTTTGTTTCGGTAAAGATAAGAATGTCGTCCAAGTAAACAAGGACCCCCTTAAACAGGTGCTCCCTTAGAACGTCATTGATTAATTGCATAAAGACTGCAGGGCCCCCTTGTAATCCAAATGGCAAGACTTTGAATTGATAGCACCCCATGGGGCAGTTAAATGCAGTCTTCCATTCGTCCCCTTCCTTGATTCTCACGCGATAGTAAGCTTCCCTTAAGTCTAGTTTAGAAAAAATTTTCCCTTTCGATAGGTGTGACAGCATGTCTTTCATGAGGGGCAGCGGGTATAGGTTGCTTTCACTGATTGTGTTCAGGGCCCTATAATCCACGCATAAACGTAAAGAGCCATCCTTCTTCTCTCTAAAAAGGACCGGGGCAGCCACTTTAGGCTTAGCTGGTTCAATGAAACCTCTCTCCAGGTTTTTTTTTATAAATCTTTCCATTTCCTCCTTCTCCTTTGGGCTCATGGAGTATAATCTGGGCTTCGGGAGTTTTGCCCCAGGCTTGAATTCAATGGTACAGTCTGTGGGTCGGTGGGGGGGAAGCTCATTCGCCCTCTCCTCACTGAAGACTTCAGCAAGGTCCCTATATTCCTCTGGTATTTCTGTTAATCTTTTTTCCTCTCCTATGGATGCTTTTTCTATTCTTGATTCTGGTAGCCTCTCTTGGGGTTTTAAGTCCATAGGGTCCCCCTTCGGGAATTTGATTTCTGTCGTCCTCCAATTTACCCAGGGGTTCCATTTTTTCAACCATTCCATCCCTAGAATCATTGGGCATTCCATACCTGGGGTCACCACAAACGTTAAGTCCTCTTCATGGTTGCCCAGGGAGAGGTGTATTGGCAGAGTGGCTAGGGTAGCTGGCACCCCCCCTGCTATGGATCCATCTAGCTGGCCAAATGAGATTGGTTGTTCCAGTCTCCTGGATGGGATGCCCAGATTCCCCACTAGTGTTGGGCTAATGAGGCAGCGGGTGCAGCCAGAGTCTATTAAGGCTTTCACCTTCACAGCTTCGGGCATGGGGGGGATTAATATAGTCACTGTTTTGAAGATGGGTGTGATGCGTCCACTTACCAGGGGTTCGCCTTCCGAGCTGTCATCTGAGGCATCCACCGTCCCTGTGGTGTAGGCTGGAGTTCTTTCCCCTTGGTGAGCAGAGGTGGGGTTTTCTGCAATTTCCATCATTTTCATGGCTGTTTCTTTTGGCTTAGCTGAATACCCTCTGGGTTTGTTGATTGGGGATCTGTCTGGGTTGTGCTGGGGGGCCTTTGAGCGGCATTCTACAGCTCGATGCCCTTCTCTTCCGCACTTGAAACACCCCATCTGCTTCTTGGCTGTATCCGATGATTTCACCGGTTGGTGTGTCAGCTCAGGCGGGGGGCGGCTCCATTGTTTTCCTCGGCGATGCCTCTTCAATATGTCGATCTCTGCTTCCTCTGCCAAGACGTACCATTCCTCAAGTCGATGTGGGTCTCCTCGGGGCAGGCAAGCATCATATAGATCATAGTTTAGTCCGTCTTTGAAACGGCCAAGGAGGATGTCTTCTGGCCAATTCAGTTTGCTGGCAATGGCTCGGAATTCTTGTGTATACTCAGCCACTGGGCGTTTGCCCTGCCTCATCGTTGTTATTCTTTCACGGGCTTTGCGATCAGCCAGGGGGTCTTCAAACGTCTTCTCAACGAGGACATGAAACGGTTGAAGTTACTGAGTTCTGGGGCATTGGAGTCATGCAGGTTCACCACCCAATCTGCAGCTGGTCCATCCAGGGCAGATTGCACGATCCGGATGCGGGCTTTGTCGCTGGGGATGTCCTGCCCATATTCCTCCATGTAGCTGAGGACTTGGGTTAGGAAAAACCCCAAGCGTGTTGGCTCCCCTTTGAATTTCACCTCCAACGGTGACGTCTTGGAATGGATCGGTGCCTCCATTGTGGGTGGTAGTGTCTTCCGTCCAGATTTCCATCTGTGGTCCGGTAGGGGGTGGGAGCTCCTGGATCAGTAAATGTCCCTGGGGTTGCAGGTTCCACGTCCCCCTCGGTGTCTCTCCCTTTGTGGCTCCAGGAACTGGGGCGGGCGTAGGGCTCAGGAATCTCCTCTCCTAGGGAGCTGAGAGTTCTCTTCATCAGGTCAATAGCTCTCTCTAGGATCCAGTCTGAGTACGGCATACAGCTTCCTCCCTCTTCACTTGCGTGCAGGGATTTCTCCATCTCCTGCTTCCATTCTGGTTGCTTGGTTCCCCGTCTCAGGGTCACTTTTCTTGATTCCTTTCCCCACTCGCTTTTCTTTCCAACGCCCATCGACCAGCGAGGCTTGTGGTCCTGTGTCTCCACCACTTCTTCTTCTGAGAAATCTGGCCTCTCGGATCCCAACATCTGGCAAGGTTCCAACTGGGTCAGCGGCTCTCTTTCCAGGGAGTTTTCTCCCTCTCTTGCTTCGTTGTCTGACATGGTAAATTTTTGCAAAATCCCCCGGCAAGGGTCTACCTTCCAGGTGGATTAATTTTGCAAGTCCTGTCTAATGTAAGGACCCACCCCACTTTGCATCTTAAGAAGACAGAACTCTTGGAATAGCTCTTCCAACAGGAATCCTTTATTAAGAGAAAATGGTTGCAGGCATGCTAGACAGGACTTGGGGTTCAAGCTCTCCCATTCAAGGTTTTAAGGGGTTCCCCAGTAGTCCCACCCAATCAACCCCCCTTCCAGTGATAGTTTCAAGTATCACAATTCCATCCCCTTTCTTCTTCCGTCTGGATGGAGACTTCAGATAACTACATGAAAGGCAATTACTCTTCTTTGATATGTTAAAGCTTAGAGGCCACAATAAACACACATTCAGTCCTTTGAAGTGTGCTGAAGGAAGTGAGGGCCATAAAGCCCCTTTGCTCTCCCCCTTTTCTCCCTCTTATGGCAGAATCCAGAGAAGGCAGAATTGGGAGTTTCTATGTTTGATAATTAAAGATGAAATATAATTGGATTCTGACAATACTCAAAAATCAGTGGTGGAGGATGAATGAAGCAGGCATGTAACATTCTTTTGTTGAGTGTTGTTGGGATCTATGAGCATAGGATTATGGTTTGGCTGGATAGAACACTGTTTTATCCGAATAAGAATTTTAACATTATTACAAATTAAATTGGTATAGTGGAAACCTCCATCTCTTTTTCACAAACATTGCCCAGATGTTCCACTATTTAATCCACCTGTTGCTAAATAGTCACATTTAACCAAAAAACATTGCAGAAATGGCAAGGGTTTAAAATTTTAATTAGATGGGATAAAGAACTCCTATTCATTATATATCTTACAATAACTGATTGATCAAACAGATTTATCATGGCAAAATGAAAAATTAAAATGGTCCTATAAATAAAGAATAGATAATTTATAAGAGCATCTGGAAGGTTATAGGTTGCCTGTGCTGGTTCTATAATAATGTATGTTGCTTAAAACGAATTGTATTTATCTACATTTAAAAATGTAATTATGGTTGGTATTGTTTTATACCATATCTAGTACTTTGTAAACTGACAGTATATTGGCAGTATATTTATATTCTGTATGTGAATGGAAATAAGATTATTATATCCATTTTTTTCTAACTTCAAATCTGATTATACAACAGTATCTATTGTTTTTTAAAAAATCTGGCTGATTGTGCATTACAAATATGTTTTGTGGAGAAGCATTCTCAGTTTAGTAATAATGCCAAAACAAATAAAATTGTGAATTCATTGACAAGCATACTAGTAGTTTATTTTCTGCTTTGTTAACCTAATTTAAAAATAACATAATTATTAATTTGTACCCAGGTTCTGTACATGGTTAGAAATTGGCCATAGGATCCATAAATGCTACATAATTACATTTTTAAAAATATAGTTTTGAGTTCTAATAGACAGTTACATGCATGTATTTATATATGACAGGTCCAAAATCATCCAGACAGCTTTCATGGTTAAGGTGGAACTTAGAATCCATAGTCTCCCGGTTTCTAGCTGGTGCCTTACCTGCTAGACCAGTGGTTCTCAACCTGTGGGTCGGGACCCCATTTGGGGTCGAACGACCATTTCATGGGGGTCGCCAAACAACGCAGTCCGCCATTTTTTTCCCCTTTTCCTTAGCTGTGCTACTCCCTTTTATTCTATTGGCTTTTGAAAGCCAATAGAATAGACTCTCTTGAATAGAGTCTAATTCTATTGGCTTTCAAAAGCCAATAGGAATTGTCCAGGCTGTCTCTGCCCTGCTGAGCCCGCCAAAAGTCCCATTCTGCAAACGGTGCTGCACCAGTTGAGTAGTCCTCGACTTACGACCGGTTGAGTAGTCCTCGACTTACGACCGGCTGGGGGTCACAGCATTAAAAAGTTTGAGAACCACTGTGCTAGACCAAACTTGTCAAATTGAACTTGGTATACATTTTATATCTAAAAAACACTATCAATGTTGTACTTTACATGCAACAGCCAACTGTCATTCTAAGAATCTAGATTCTTTGTAATCAAACTGACATCAGTTTTGTCATTTTACATTTTGTAAATATGCAGCATGCCATTATACATAGTTATTTGATCATGAAAACTAGATAATAGTCTGTTAGTTTTGCTAATAAAATATTTATATCATATAAACCAGTTCTGTGTTTCATGTTATTTCTTTAAAAATGTATTAAGAAACTTTGGTATATGTTGTTATGTTAAAAGTATTAGGCAAATGAAATGAAAAATTCTGGTTTGTGTACTGTTTATAACTGAACTTTACAAATGTTCCTTATTTATAGGTAAACATAAAGAAACTTTGAAAAATGAAATTTGGTATGATGGCAAATGAACGTCAGGTATAGTCAACTACGTCCTCCTACCTCTGCTACCATTTCATATTCCCTTCGTATTTGCCAGGCTGTGTTTTCTCTAATTTGCCCTCCCCATTGAGTCCAGGACACTCAGAACGGGCTGCTTTTCTTTCCCATTGACTTTCCATTGTAGAGCTTTGCAACAAAAAGTAGGATCCAAACCATGTTTTCTATTGTCCAATCAGAATCACCAGCTTCACTGCAATTGTAATTGGTTTGCTCCAGCCCACGATAGCCAATCAGTGTGCAACTTTAACAACCAATCGGGTTTCGAGCTTTCATCCAATCGCGTGTAGGATGCGGGGAAACTGTCTTTGTATCAGTTAACGTCATGGCGCCGGCGAAAGTAGATGCCAATAGCCCCGCGCGTTGCGTCTATGTATTGTGATGTCATGACGTTTAAGGTTCCCTCCCTCTATAAAGGCAGGATCCCAGCAGAGGGAGGAGACAGTTAAGGTTTCTTCGGAGGGTGTGTAGTACGTACTATTTGTGTACCTACAGCGGAAGTGTTTTTTAAAAAGGATTTGTTCCTTAAAGAGGTGAGTTTCGGCTGGGAGCGAGAGGGGAAAATGAGACGGGGGAAAAGAAAGAGGGTTCCTGTGCTTTGGGGAGCAAATTTTGTGACGAATGGGTGGAGGAAGATGTGGAAGGCCGCTTTGTTCTGGGTCCGCTGCTAAGGGAGGGCCGGAGACTTAATGTCGGCGGTAGTTATCGGTGCTGGGAACGAAGTCGGGCTCCCTCTCCAGCATCGCGCGTGAGCAAGCAGGAGAGAGCAGTTCCTGGCGTTGCGCCGCGCGGGCTGAACCTCCTTGGCCCTGTGCCCGCACGGAGGACGACTCCGACATCTGCCGCTGCCCTCCCGCCAAAGCGCTTCCGTCTCGGGGAAGATGAGCACGAATAGATGGGTGGACGCTGAAGTGCCGGAAAGCCTACTTAGTCCGGATCGACGTTCGGGAACCTTGAGAAAGCTGCCGCGTCGTCCATCTCATTTATTTTCTCTTTCAGAAGAGTAAAGAAAAATGGCCCGTACCAAGCAGACTGCCCGTAAGTCCACTGGTGGCAAAGCTCCACGTAAACAGCTGGCTACTAAAGCTGCTAGAAAAAGCGCCCCCTCTACTGGTGGAGTCAAGAAACCTCATCGCTACAGGTAATAAGACAACAATCCTGGAATGTGTATTTTAGGACAACAGCCAAGCTAATCTGTGGAAATAAAAGGATTAGAAGGGAGTGGTGTATGTTGTAACAAAGCTTCTTTTACTGTGATTTTTGTGTTAAGCCTTTAACTATAAATGTCTTGAGAGCTGTTGTCGGTGCCCAGTCTGTAGTGTATTTTTGCGTATTTTTACTTCGTTGAAACTGTTTTGAAAGACATGTACTTAGAAACTTACTGGAATTGTTATATTCTATGAACAGATTGCCTTACTTTTTCTTTCATCTTCAGACCTGGTACTGTGGCACTGCGTGAGATTCGCCGTTACCAAAAGTCAACAGAACTTTTGATTCGCAAACTTCCATTTCAGAGACTCGTAAGGGAGATTGCCCAAGATTTCAAGACAGACTTAAGGTTCCAGAGTGCAGCCATTGGTGCACTGCAGGTATAAACCTATTCGAGTACTGCTATTCTATTATGTGGGGAAAGGAATAATGTGTCCCTGTAAGCTAATGTCTAACCAATATCTTTTTTATCTTTCATATAGGAGGCTAGTGAAGCCTATCTGGTGGGTCTGTTTGAAGACACAAATCTCTGTGCCATCCATGCCAAGAGAGTTACCATTATGCCCAAAGACATCCAGTTGGCTCGTAGGATACGGGGAGAGAGGGCTTAAAAAGGAAGCAGTTTTTATGGTGTTTTGTAGTAAATTCTGTAAAATACTTTGGTTTCATTTTGTGACTTTTTTTGTATGAAATTGTTTATAATATGTTACATTTGTACTTAAGTCATTCCATCTTTCACTCAGGATGAATGCTAACAGTGACTGTTCACATAAAACTCAGTGATGTGAGCCCTGTTGCTCAGTAGTGACAAGTTGCTAATATGCAGAAGGGATGGGTGATCTTTCTTGCTTTTCATGCATGTTTCTGTATGTTAATGACTTGTTGGGTAGCTAAAATTGTAAGGTACTAGAATTGATATAAATGTGTACAGGGTCCTTTTGCAATAAAACTGGTTATAACTTGATTCAAGTGTTTAACAAATTGGGGCTGTTAAGTTTGACCATACATCACTGTGACAGAATGTGGACTTTCTGAGGGATAAAATACAAGTCTTAACCACAGTGTAACTTACAGTTTCCTAAAAAAATGTAAACCTGGCAGCTATAGAATACACTATGTGCATTTATAATAGCTATTTTATATATTGTAGTGTCAACATTTTTAAATTAAATGTTTTACATTCACATGAGTCCTGTCATTGTTGTGGGAAAAGTAGCATTTCTACTTGGGTTTATGCTTAAATCAGTTGAAGCACGTTTATGCTTTGTATTTATTCCCAATCGCAGTAATAGTTTCCAGCAATTATGTAACAAGTCAATGAATAATCTTTCTGATTTTGTCTGTTTATGTTTTCAGAATAATATAGAAACTAGGAAATGCCGCTCAAGTTCTTAGCTTACAAAATTATTTCAGCCTTGTTTCTAGACTAATTAGGTGACTCATGGAAATGAAACTAGGTACGAGGAGTCCAGCTTTCTGTGCTGCCTCTTAAAGCAATAAGCTGTTCCAGGTATTTCAATCCATTGTTTGAGAATATAAGTTTACAGGTTGTTTTTAAGATTCTGCCCTACTTGTTGGGTGACCCATAATGAGTATTTTAAATTTAATGAAAATTGCAAAGTTGCCTGCTGAGAAACTGCTCAGTTATTTGACTTGTTCCATCAAACTTGTTTTCGGCAAAGATACACTACCTTATGCAAACAATTGCTTCAGCTTGATTTTATTCCATTTTGAAAATTGACATTTATCTAGAACAATTACATCTGGACAGAACTTTAATCTGTGCCAAGCGACTCCATAATCCAAGAGTTGACCCATCAAGATATCACTGATTGATATTAAACTTTAGCAGGCCATTGAGGCTCCAAAAGTAGATAGAAGCCCAGCAGTAGAGCATCACATCTGTCAGACAAACCACTCTGTATGTTTAAATCCAGCAGCTAAAGAAACAAACACAGTTTGTCATGCCCAGAATTATTTTTTGGATACATCACAGATAGCTTATTGCTATATTCATAAATACTTTAATGCTAGATGTGTAGTTGCTAGCACTGCGTGGTGGCGCAGTGGTTAGAATGCAGTACTGCAGCTACTTCTGGCTGCCAGCAGTTTGGCAGTTTGATTCTCACAGGCTCAAGGTTGATTCAGCTTTCCATCCTTCCTAGGTCAGTAAAATGAGGAGCCAGATTGTTGGGAGCAATGGGCTGACTCTGTAAACCACTTAGAGAGGGCTGTAAAGCACTGTGAAGTGGTATATAAGTCATGCTAAGTGCTATTTAAGAACCTTATCTATCTAAAGGACATTTTGGATTTTAGTTCAAGGGATGTTTACTCCAAAAGTGAATGAAACAAATGGATACAAGTTTCGAAATCTTCAGACATCAAATATAGGACTATATTATGTTACTGTGCTGCCTTGGCCTACTTTTTTATTTCTTAAGCCATTACCCCTTTATTGAGGAAACTGAATGTAAGAATAGATTAGTTAGAAAGCCTAACCAAAGTGATATCAAAGAACTATGAGCTTTATACTGTATATATTTGGCCATAACTGGGTTGACTTAGCAAAATTTCATTAATACAACAGGACTGCCCATCCCAACCCACGCATTCTGGAGAATGCCTAAGCGGAAGGAAATGTAGAAGAGGTATAAGAAAATGCAGCTGAAGTATAGAGTAATACAGAAACCTTAATAGAATACAATAGTGTTTACTACAACATGTATTCCAAAACGTATTCCTTACCAATCCGTTTGATGATTTCTTCACTTTCCTCTTCAGAATTTGATTCAAAAACTAGACAATCAAAAGTGCTATCTTCTGGAGAGTCAGGTGAAGCTCTATAAAGTAAAGATGGTAACTTTAGATATGCAGTACATTTAAGATAGCATATGACTCATCGCCCATACATATAGCATTACTCTAATGGTCTAACTGACAAACCAGGCTATCAATAAAATGGACTACTTGGTTCTTTCATGCAGGTAACCTAATTCATCTTGGATATAAGCTAGTTTATCAACAATCCAATGTATTCAGGATAACATTCTATGTGGAAGGGAATATTTAATCACACAAACTTTGGTAGAACATTCTAATCAGCATGATTCACAAAGTCTAATACAGTGGTTCTCAACCTGTGGGTCGGGACCCCATTTGGGGTCGAACGACCATTTCACGGGAGTCGCAAAACAATGCAGTCTGCCATTTTTTTCCCCCTTTTCCTTAGCTGTGCTACTCCCTTTTATTCTATTGGCTTTTGAAAGCCAATAGAATAGACTCTCTTGAATAGAGTCTAATTCTATTGGCTTTCAAAAGCCAATAGGAATTGTCCAGGCTGTCTCTGCCCTGCTGAACCCGCCAAAAGTCCCATTCTGAAACGGTGCTGCACCAGTTGAGTAGTCCTCGGCTTACGACCGGTTGGGGGTTGCGGCATTAAAAAGGTTGAGAATCACTGGTCTAATAAGATATTCCTTAAGATTCCTATATTGTCAGTAAAGGACACACTGAAGCATTTGAATGCAATTGACGGATACTGCCTACACTAAAAATTACTACCACTGCCACCACTACTACGTGATTAATGGGACTGGTAAATATGGTCCTGAAATGTCACGTGTATAGATGGTTTTTCAAAATAAAACTTACAAGCTACAAAAAGCAAAGAAATTATTGCTATCCAGACGGCGTCCCACGCAGGAAATGTCTGTATAAGAATAACGGAAAAGAACCTGAAAATGGCAACAATTCTCAGTTAAGGCATTGGTCAAAAGTTCATTTTTTGGAATTATTTTTATTGAATATTAAAACAAAACAAAGATTAGATCTACAATTAAAAATAACAACCCTTAGAAACACTTCCAGTGTCTATTTTAAGTGCGCATTGCCCAGATTATAAAAAATAAATGCAATAAATTATTGAGAGGGCATGATCAAGCACAGTCAGCAAACAAACATTCTAACCTTTGAAGTTGTTTTGTGTTGAACAATTACTTCTGTTTCTTTGACATCAAATAAGATTTCCTGATGAAATAATATTACAACTGTTAATAATGGTGTTAAGTGACAAAGTGTCCCTAATAGAAACTTAAAATTGGACCTGCTATGTTTCCAATTTTCTTTTCCTGTTTTTTCCTTCCACCCAGACAACATCATAGCAACATAGCTTCAACTGAATCACTTTATAGATAAGTGAATTTACCACTTAAAGATCTATGCAATCATTTCTGCAGGTATCTGAAAAAACAATGAAAACCAATCCTTTCAATGTTTCATTAATGTAGCAGTATGACTTTAAACAGTTCTATCTACCGGTATATGCAATGTATAGCAGTTTCAGTTATTACATATTCAACGATGGCAACCTTAGTCAAAGAAAGTGATGAAGTTTGGCCTATTGCAGGGGTAGGCAACCTTGGCTCTTTTATGACTTGTGGACTTCAACTCCCAGAATTCCTGAGCCAGCCACGCTGAGGGGAAAGGGAAAGGTTTCCAAGCTGAACCAAGATGGCTCAGGAATTCTGGGAGTTGAAGTCCATACGTCATAAAAGAGCCAAGGTTGCCTACCCCTGGCCTATTGGCTTCACTTTGCCTTTCGACCTGATATAGTGCAAAATGTTCCCATTAGGCCTTTAAAAACCATCCTGATGCACCTGAGAGAGCTATTATTTATTAATATTTCAGCTAAACAAGAGCAACACATAGACTGGAAAAATGTCTTTTTTATGCCTGCTCAGTGGCATTAATAGGCACCTGATCACATTTCTGCCATATCTCTAAGATGGCAGAGCAAAAATTGAATGTTTGTGTTGATTTGTTATCTAGATCATTACAAAAATGCACAGACAAGTGAGCAACTTGCATTGCCATAGCTATAATATTTGGGTGAGACAAGTTGAACAAGCCAGTCCAGCTTAACACTGGCTGCCAAAGCCAGCCATCACTTAAATTACAAGTAAACCAGGAACAGGCAATTTAGCATCTTTAGATGTTTTGGGTACATTTCCACCATGATAAACACTGTGTGGGATAATGTAAACATATTCTACTTGTTAGAGTTCTGCAGTTCTTTCTGATAGCAGAAAAATCTTCAAGATTACATATATTTGATGGATTTGGCTGTGTAGCATTGCCAGAGTGACCTAGATTTATGTTTCTTAGAACATTTCAAACCCAGGGAAAAAAGGAATACTGAACGAAAACAGGGACACAGGTAGTCCTCAACTTGCGATGGGTCTCTTAGCAAATATTTCAAATCATGACAGACAACCCCCCCCCCTCAGAAAATACTTACAATCCAGTTCCAAAGTTCTAATGGCAGTCCTCCCCACCCCCCAGTCACATAACTGCATTTTGAGTGCTTGGCAACCAGCCTGTATTTATGGCTGTATGCAGCATCCCATGGTCACATAACCACAACTTACAATGTGTTTGGCCAAAACTGGTGTTTACTTCTAATTTGGGGCAAGAATATCCCATAGCAAACAATGGGCTCATTTAACAACCCCAACATTTGCTTTATGACTGCAACATTCACTTTAGGACTGAGGAATTCACTTTACGGCCACTGTTTTCACTTAACAACTGCTGTGTTCTCTTAATGACCACCACAAAAAAGGTTGTAAAATTGGGTTTGGTCACATGACGATTTGCTTTAAGACCATCACAACTTACAGCCGTAATGGGCAGGCACCATCACAGTTGTGATTGGAGAGCTAGCTCTATGCAAAACATTCCATGCATGTACTGCCCTAGACCAGCCAGGACTGAGCAGTCTGTGCCCGGTCTCAAACCCAGATGTTTTTTCCAGGTATGAACCTGATAACATACATGTTCTGGAAGATGTGTTCAGGGATGACAAGCAGCAGGAAAGGAGAGATATGGTGCTGGGAAGATTATGGAAAAAAGGGGCAGCTGGATGACAGTGTCTAATGGTTAAAAAAAAACATCAAAGAGAGGGGCAAAGTGCATAGTGAAGAAAGTTAGGTGAAGATGGGGAGAGGGACAGGTTGGGTATGCTGCACTGGATTCAAATATGGCAGCAGCTGCATGGTTATATAAAGGGAGGAACGAAATTGGAAATATCAGCAGGTGGGAGATTGCACAGCTTTGTAGGAGAAGAGGGGAGAGGGACACCAGGTTTCTCCTATTCATCTCATAAGACCTTTTTTTCCCCTCAGACTTCTGGGAGAAGTATGGCAAACTGAAGACAGCTCTCCAAAAGTAGAATACATGATTATGGCAAAGATCAAGCAACTTGTAACTAGACCGGTTCCTGAAACCTCCTCCTCCTCCTCCAGGTAAAGAGAAGATGAGCAATCGCCACATGTGTTCCGGATGGCTGCTCCCTGTGTGAGAGATCACAGGCCAGCAATTTTCTGCAGGTTTGAGCACTGGGAGATGAGGGGATTAGCCATCTTGCTTGCAATCATGTCAGAGGCTTTTAAAGTACCATATATTCCGGCGTATAAGACAACTTTTGAGAGCGTCGAAACAGCCTCCGAACTCGGGGGGTCGTCTTATACGCCGAGTCGTCTTATACGCCGGAAATAAGGTAGTTTCTAGGCATATAAGACGACTTTCTAGGCATGTGACTCGGCGTCGATCGTCTTATACGCCGGAAATAACGTAGTTTCTGGTGTATAAGACGACTTTCTAGGCATGGAAATACCGGTAGTTTCCGGTGGATAAGACAACTTTCTAGGCATGCGACTCGGCATCAATCGTCTTGCAACCCGGCGTTGAACTAGGGGGTCGTCTTATACGCCGGGTCGCCCTATACGCTGGAATATACGGTATACGGTCAGCCTCATGGGGTAAGCTAAGTAAGAATCACAACCTGATGAGCTAATTCTATTTTATTGTGCAGGTGGTCCTCGACTTACAATGTTTCATTCAGCGACTGTATGACATTACATCATTGCTGAATGAAAGGATTTTATGACACCTGCCCAAAGTTATGGCACCCTGAAGGTCACACGAACTAAATTTGGGAACTTGGCAATCTGCCTGCCCTTACCAACTGACAGCGGGGACGCCTACTGGGTCCCACACCCTCTTCTCCACCACCACCCCATCACAGCTCAGTCATTCACCTTTTCCACAGATCTCCTATGGAGATCGTATTTGGGAAGGAGAGCCAACTGCTCTGCCCCTCGGCCTCTCTATAAAGTAGGGAAGCCACATGGCACTGTCCTGGGATCAGGCACCATTTCAGAGCAGGCATAGTTCATTGTGACCACTTCCCAAATGGCGCCTGCTTCTGGGATGGTGCCACACAGCCTCTGTGTTGGAAGTTCACACTGTGAATTGACTGCTTCCAGAAGATATACAGAAAAGGTGACTGAGCTGTGACAGGAGGGTGGGGAGGTGAGTGTGGAACCCAGCAGGATGCAAAGGCCTGTGGCAACCCAGTGGGGCAGGAAGCAGAGCATGGGGTTTCTCAGGGGATGGAAAAGGCCTTGGGAGGCCTAGGACAAGCCATATTTGAGCTGGGGAGGTGCTGCAGTGTAGGTTTGGGCCTGCGATAGGTCACCCAGAGCCTTCCCCATCCCTGAAGCCCCCCCAATCTACTTAATGACCCCAACCGACATAGCAGGAATTGGGGTCATTAAGCGAGGCAATCACATGGGCACCTCACTTAATTACCATCATAATTTGCTATTGTAATGGGCAAGGTCTATTACAGTCGTAAGTCGAGGACTACTTCTAAAGCTACATTAACAGAATCTTGCAAGCCTGAAAGTACAGTCCTCCCCACCATCTCTTTCACAGCCCAAGACACTAGGAAGGGTCTCTTCTGAAGCTCTTGCCCCACCCATTATCCAATTGCAGGGTGTTCTGTCTCTTATTTGACTGTTCCCTTAGCAGCATCCCTTGGCACAATCTCCAAAGGTCTTTTCCACCATACCTTCACATCACCCTCCCTTCAGACTCCTCACCTTTTCATAACTTCTCAGAGGAAACTGATTGTGGGCTGTAAGATGGGTCACTCCCCTCTTCTGCTGGTAATTCCCAACAGTTCACAAGATCTCCTTTAACTCATCTGTGCTTGTAGAGGTGATTGCTATCCCTCCACAGGGAATCTATTGGACTCCCCCTCTCACGTCTGGCATGCCTGATGTAGAAGGAGCTGTATCATTCCCCACGTTCCCTACTTGGTCAGTCGGTCGGTCACTCACTCACTCACTCACTCACTCACTCACTCACTCACTCACTCATTCATTCATTCATATATTTCACACTTCTTAACTGACCATCTTCCTTCCTCCATTTTGCTATCCCTGAGGCACCCACCACCTCATAGAACAATCTACGGTTCCTCTTGGTTAGTGGCAAATTCCTGCAAGGCCAGGAGTTGTAAAGGATAGTATTTGTTAGAGAATGGTAATGAAAGCAGTGCACCAATTGAGGCACCTCCATATCCACTGTTGCCTCCCATGATTTCCTAATGTGAATTTACCTATAATATAAAGGCCTGGCAATAGAGGATGAAGTATGGGGGTCACCTTAATCCATTATAACTTTCATTCTTTTTTTAAAAAAAATGGTACATGGAAAAAAACAATCGGCTTTTGTGAACTGTCTATCTGCAGAATAGAAATAATTGACGAAATAGATTCCCCTTTACTGTAACAAATCTGTTCCAGAAGATGAAGAGGGCTGAAGTCAATTGGAAAGGTATGGATGATCAAGGAGAAATTCACTTGCGTGAAGATGAGTTGCTAAATGTATCGGGCCGAACTCACCATCATGCAACAGAATAGAATCCGTAACTGAACTTCAGTAGGACCAACTTCCCCCTATCAGCTTAAATATTTTCATGCCTTCATGAACTATTTCTCAATGGGAAAAAAAAGGTCATTGAGGTGTTCAGTCAGTAAATGTGTTGCAAAATGGCATTTGTCTATATCTGCCTCAAACAGTGGATTTCTACTAGTTCTAATCTACAAAATTCTGATACCTGATTTACTTCTCATTCATGACTTAAATGGCACTTCTCAAAGCATTTCCTATTAAAAACAAAAGTTCAGCCACGTTCTGTCTCAGAGACCTAAGGATTACAGAATTTGTTATATAGAAATATGTTTTTATCTAAAATATAAGCCTTATCACCTGTGCTGTTTTCTCATTTCAAATAACCCTATCACCTAAATTCCTATTGGCTTTATTAATTAAATTATCAAGACTGCCATCACAATGGGCTGTAGTGATCAACATTCAATCTGCTTCTTTATTTAAAAACATAATTTAAAATAATGATTTAAGAGGAAAATAAAGTAGTTTGATAAACATTCATCTCTTATTCCCAGCATGGATCTTACCTGCTGTGGTAAACACTTATCTAACACCATGGGTATGCCTACGTCTAATATCTCTTTGCCTCCATACTGGAAAAGAAACCAAGAGATGAAAAAAAAAGTGAGAAAAATGCAGAGTACTACTGAAAACTGAACAAACCCCTTTTCTCTTTAGAAACATAGTCTCACCTTCCCTACATTGGCCTGGCCTATGTACCTCAGATTGTACAGGAGTCTATGGAGAGATGAGATTAAACAGTTAGTTCAAGAACTCTGTGTACAATTTCTTTATTTTCACAATCAAGATACAACGTGTGAAAAAGTTCCAAAAGCAAAGTGAAATTCTTTGCCTTCACAGAAGTTAGGACTGAAGAGCTACGCTTTTTTCCTCAGCCTCTCGTTTCAGTAGTCCTTACTGACAGCACAAGAAGAGTAGTTCTACTACTAAGTAGGCAGTCGTTCTATCATGTCTCATTAATCATGCAATCAAATGGTCTTAGTATCATCAAGACAGAAACCTGAAGCTCTGTTTTTCTAAGAAGGACATATATATGTTAATAGGACTCCTCTTATATTGATTGATCAGTTAAGGTAAAACATATAAATACAGATGATAATAACTATTAAATAATAAGAACAGCAAAAACGATATAGTGGATGACTACTAACAACTGTTAAAAAGACGAGTGGTGTCTCATATTATGGGACTTTTGCCCAGCCTGAATCATAAACATACATTCAAATAATGAGAGAAAAGGAGTATTAAGTAATCCAAAATATTGTTTTTATTGCTGAGATATGAACTCAAATCTTTGAAGTCCAGGAAATGATCGGTTGAGATTCTCCACTCTTTTGCTTCAGGACATGCACCTGCATGGACAGCTCTGCTCTCCTACCTAGTTTTCATGGAGTTCTTCCCTATTTCAGGAAGGGAGGTGCATTCCACTAAATTAATTTTGTATATTGCCAGTTAAAAAAAATATTTATTTAGTATTCAACTCGCAATTCCCAGGATTCACAACTGCATCCCCAACACTTCCAGAGAGCTGGTCTATAATCATCACCAGCAAATTTATACTAGGCAGCTGAGTAAAACCTAGATGGCACGCCACACATGTGACTGAGAAATGCAAACCTGCGTTATTAGTTTTCTCTATAATAATAGATGAAAATGGTGAATGGAAGAAGTTGATCTATCCCAGTTTGGGATACGTTATATAGAGAATAAGCCATATAAACACACCTGTGCCATTCACATTCCACAATGCAAAACATTTCCCTTCCACTGAATCTTGTACTTCCAGGAGCAAGATCTCCTTTACACCATAAGGGCGCTAAAGCTGCAGCTTGTATGAGAACAGGCTGAAAAAAATTGTTTTAAGCAATAGAATAGAATTTCCTAGGCTGGTTTGACCATCAGCTGGCTATTCGCCAACATTTACTAGTGCTTCTATGACTTCCCTGTCACAGTTGATACAGCTTTATAAGAGAACAATGCATATATTATAATGTCTTCTCTAAATCTAATTCTGTTTCTGCACTCAAAAGAAATTGTGTATGTGGTCTTACAAACGCCACAAGGCATTACTTTGCTCTGCCTACGGCAAATGATAGCACAAAGAAATTTGAACCTGACCATAAGTGGTCCACCTCAATTAAAGACTGTTTTCCACCTTTACTCCAAATCTACTACCTTTATTGTAACAGGTAGCCAAACCATGAGTTATAGCACCCATAGGGAAAACCCACTCGTAAAACTAAAGATTCCCCATAGCACTCTCCTAATGCATCTACAATCTGCTGATGATTCAGTTCAGGCAACCTATAACTCCATGTTTTCTGTAGCCACTAGAAATGAGGTTTGTGAGATCTGCTGGACTTCTGTTTCAGGAGGGATATTCAAAAGTATGTGTGTCCCCCACCCTTTATCTGACATTTGAAAGAGGCTGGCTCCCTTCCAGGATTGCCTCTCAGACTAGAGACCGCAAACTGCGACAGCTGAAGGATTGGTGGGTTAGATTTGGGGGAATGACCTATGCACCCAACCAGTGATGATAAGATAGGACTTGTGAAAATCTGCCACACTTTTGTTTTCATAATAGTCCTGAGCAGCCACTACCTGCCTCCTTGCAAACTTCGCTCCTCATTCTCTTCTTTAGGTTTGTGCTCATGCTGGAGTTGGAAGCTGGGGATTTTTTCTCTGAGAACTTTTAGATAGGGCAACAATGGCTTGTACATTCCTCCATCGTGCCATTTCCACCGGATAAGGCGAAAGCTTAGTGGCTTGCCTTTCAGCTTCTGCAGTACTGAACCAGCCTGCAATGAACAGATAAATGGATGATCAGCAAAGGCCTCCTAACATCATCCATTAGATTAGTTATTCCCTGTCCTTGTAATAAATCTGGATCCAGGGAAAGCTGATCTAAATGGTCACTCTGATTGCTACTAGGATATGTCAGTGAAGCTTAACTTATTGTGTATTTTCCTAGTGATTAGAAATCATAACACAGTATCTCAGTTATTATCACAGAGCATATAAGAGTTAACATGTCCTTCACTAGCATATTCTTATTATGGTGAATCCCACAGTCAACAGATGTTTAGATTGGATTTGGCATCTTTATTCACCTATTGAGGCCTTCTCAAGGACCTGGGATAGGCAGATATTGTCATTTAATGATATGAAAGGTACTATGGCAGTGATGGCAACCTTTTAGAGACCGAGTGCCCAAACCACAACCCAAAACCCACTTATTTATTGCAAAGTGCCAGGGCCACATCAGCATTGTGGTGCCCTACGGGGGAAGCGGGGGGGCATGGCTCAGTGGGTGGGTGTGGCTATGGTGATCATGGCAGACTGGGTGGGCATGGCTGGGGTAGGCGTGGCCACCTTGATGTTGCTAATGGGAGGGACACCTGTGGGGGCTGGGCAGGATTGGGATAGATCCAGGGGATCTCTGGTGGGTGGGGTGGTGGGCAGGAGGCTTTTCCTGCAGGGTGAGGCAGGGGGTAGAGTGGGGGTGCCATGGCTGCAGGGCAAGGCAAGGCGAGACAGGGGTGGCTGCTGCCTGACACCATCTGCCCCCACACACAGAGGCCAGCAAGCATGCTCTACCACTTCTACTCGAGCTTGCTAGTCAGCCGCTTCGTCTCCTTTGTGCTGGGCAGGGCTGTTGCTCCAGGCGCCAGCAGTGGCCTAATGGACCTGTGCGAAATGCTGGCGGCGGCGGGCGTGCCCACAGAGAGGGCTCTGAGTGCCACCTCTGGCACGCATGCCATAGGTTCGCCATACTGATCTATGCTGTTCCAAAGAAAGCTGCCTTTTGCAATTGGCCGATGAGTATTATTATATATCCAACATGAAATCACAGCTGCCAGTTCATTAGTTGGTGTCAGCATCCATACACATTATGTTCTTCCCAATAAGCTAGGATGGTGTACAGTAATGTATTTGTATAGAATGTATGTGGATCCAAACCATGTGACCTTTTATAACTAACAGGTGAAAATTTTGTCAACACACACAGTTTCAATGTGGCATCCAAGATCTTTTGGTATGGCACCTGTGTGCCAATAACGACTGGGATTACTGTGGCCAGTTTATGCTATAATCTTTCAATTTAGATTTTTCAAACTTTGATACTTTATGTTCTTTTCCAATTTTTAACATGCACCAAGGATTATTATTTTATGCCAACTTTTTCATGTATAAATCAAGATGGAAAACATATTAATAGATCTGCTTCCCCCCCATAACAATAACTCTGTGAGGTGGGTTAGGCTGCGAGAGATTGACTGATTCAAAGTCAACTACTTGGCTTTCATAATTAAGAGAGGCCTAGCACCTTCAACACTACATCAAAACTGGCTCAGTAATATAATATGTGGATCACTAACAGATTCTTCAGTAAAATGTTGTAGTGTGGAGTGCTTCAGTTTCTATTACCTTCCCGGAAGCTCATTCACATTTTTCATCCTTTCCCTTTCTCCATCACTTTTCTTTCTCAGGATCTGTCAACATTCTGGATTCATCCACTGTATATCCTTGTTGGTCTGTTTTAGAGTGTCCTTCCCTTGTTTCTAAAGACTTTTGTTTTTAATACTTCTGCAAATAGCGCAGTCCCACCAAACGTATCATTGCCTCTTTTTTAAAATGGGAAGATGCTGTTTTGCCTACATCAGTGGTTCTCAATCTTTTTAATGCCGCGACCCCCCAACCGGTCGTAAGTCGAGGACTACTCAACCGGTCGTAAGTCGAGGACTATTCAACTGGTGCAGCACCGTTTGCAGAATGGGACTTTTGGCGGGCTCAGCAGGGCAGAGACAGCCTGGACAATTCCTATTGGCTTTTGAAAGCCAATAGAAATTAGACTCTATTCAAGAGAGTCTATTCTATTGGCTTTCAAAAGCCAATAGAATAAAAGGGAGTAGCACAGCTAAGGAAAAGGGGGAAAAAATGGTGGGCTGCGTTGTTTGGCGACCCCCGTGAAATGGTCGTTTGACCCCAAATGGGGTCCCGACCCACAGGTTGAGAACCGCTGGCCTATATATAGTTATACTCAAAGAATTAAAATTGGCTCTTAGTAAAAAAAAGATTGCAACAAGGTGTTACCATACCTCCTAAGAGAAGCTTCTATATATATATATATATATATATATTACTTTACAGAATTGTACATAACCATTTGAGAGTGATAGGTACTTCAGACAAGATCGGATGATTTTTTAAATCTTCTTTTCCTTTAAAAAGTTCTAGAGATGACACGTTCTTTATCCACACTTCATTTTAATCGTTATTTGTTATGTTTTGTAATGCTAAGAACCATTATTCCAAAGTGTTCTTTGGCTATGACAGGTGCCCTCTTTTTTCTCCTATTTTTTTTACATACTGTATAAAACAGTCTTGATCCTTCTGCCTCAGCAGACTGTTCCTGAGATAAGAGTAGAAATGAATCATCTGTTCTGAGGAAGATAAGGTAGACTAAATAGTCATCTGTGCATTGACACTAAGCATCACTATTCCATGTAAGCCACCCATTCGTCTTCATGATCTCCATGCAACAGACATATAAGTTTGTATCTGAACATTCTATGTTGACTCTCGTAGAAGGTCATCTTATGGAGGGATAATATGGAAGGGGAGGGGATGGGAAAGTATGCTAATAGTGGGGTACTGTTTTAACTCTTTAGCCCTTAAATAACCCACTAATATCCAAAATTTACATTTCTGAAATCTTAAATAATAATCCTAAGTAGAAATCTCATAAAAGTGAAAAGAAAAGGATTTTAAAAACCTGGTACGTTTTCTTTCCCAGTCTTTCTAGATCTCTCCCGCCTTGACTTTTCATCTTGATCTCCAGGTCAAACCCAAGAGTTTTTGTTCAGTACAGTTCCTATAGCAACAATGCCCAACCATCTCTTCCATTTCTTTTCAGGTCAAAGTAGCAGACAATACACCAACTTTCCCTCTTCCATCTCCAGGGATCAGGATGTTCCTGCCTCCCATACCTGTCCATTGCATGCATTCCTTAGTGAAGATCCATTTATCTCATCAATGACATCACCAACTAGTACTACCTCATCCACTTCTGCCTGGGTCTTTGGAAGCACTTCTATTATGAAAATCCGTCCATTTAAATACCTGATATAAAAAAGAAAAAAAATAGAACTATCCTTCAAAAATTGAATTGTTAGAAACTCAAACAAAAGAAGGGAGGAGAAAATAATGAGGTTGGGGACAGCACATTAGGAAAATAATACACCGATTAGTCACAAAACACACATAAAAGACCAAGAGAGTTCCACCCAGAGGTCAATGATGCAGGTGGTCCAGCAACATACAAAATCTTATCCTTCTTCCAAACCTGAATATTTTAGTAAACTGAAGGATGTTACAAAATGTTGGCAAGAGGGGAAAAGGAAACCAGATCAAAAATGCCTGTGCATCAACAACTGTTAGTGGACACGGGGCAGAGAAAGCAGATCTTGTAGAGCAGGTTTTTGTTTGAATGGTTTAGACTACACTTCCATCTGGCCAGCAAAGCTAGTGCTAAGGCATGATGGGAGCTGCAGATCAAAACACCCTGAAACTGGTTATATACTGTACTGGAAATTACCTTATGATGAAGATCTGATGTCAGATGGGGGGTTTTTTTAGGAAAAGGAATGGAAATGGAAAGTTGGTATGATATATGTACTGAATTAATTGAGGAGGGCCCAGTTCAAATGTCTAGCTCCTTGAGACCACTTGCTGATGGAAATGCATTAAGTTGAGATATTGCAAAGAAGTTCAGTTGTGAAGATATAAACCCTATACATCTTCTGGAAATAGTTAAAAATAGTGTATCATTAATTTTGAGCAGAGAAGCAAAACCTCTTTTCCTGCCCATAATTTTTTTGTTTAGCTCACCCACCACTAAGTTCAAAATACTACATATGAAGTTACACTGGGAAGGGGTCAGAATAATTTGGAGGAGGTAATTTACATACAAGAAACATATTAAGTACTCCTTTCCCATCTTTTTTCTCAAATTCGTTTCCAAATTGGTTTCTTCTTTTATATAATGTCCAGGCTTTACAAAAGGCAAATCTATCTGACAGATAGATTGCAAGAACAAAATGCTGAACAATGTTTAATAAACAGCTGTTTTTAACAGAAACAGAAACTGAGTATACTTCAATTATATAAAAACACAGAATTTACTGATGGATGCAGAGTTTATCATGTATGTATGTATGTATGTATGTATGTATGTATGTATGTATATATGTTAAACTTGATTTTCAAGGAATTCTCATAAACTCGCTTCTTCAACCTCATAAGAGCCAAGCCAATATAGTAGTACCTAGCCCAATTATATTCTCCTGAGAAAGTTTTTCAACCTCAGTTTCTATGATTTGTTGAACTTTTATCCAAGTAGGTTTTTTTTTTCATATCCCTTTTCAGCAATGTCCACTGAAATCTCAAAAGTTGAGCAGAATACATAGAACTAAGTTAACATTGTGTGCCAAAACACAACATTTGGATTGGTTTGGCTTAGTGAACTATTATGATTTCTAAACCATAGTTTATTATGCCATTGTTGTATATGAATCCAGATACTGTGATTTATTCAATTAACTACAATTAAAAATCATAGCTTGGTATGATCTATGAATCCAGCAATTGTTTTATTGATTGGATCTTAGTGCTAACTTTCAGGTTAAATTTAAATATTAAACATGGCTGCTAAAACCAAGGGTCGGAAAGCGATATATGAAAGTGCCAAATATCTTACCTCAGCACCATTCCCAATTCTCGGCAGGGGACAGTTTCATAAGTCTGGCACACCTGGAAAACACAATTTGTTAGTAGCACATTTGAAGAAATCCTCTGTCATCAAGCTAATCAACCATTGACAAAAACGGAACATTTTGCTTCTATAGAGCCTCTACATACATCCACTCTTACATAGCTTCTATTAAATGGGATGAAGTATCAAGGCTGGCGAGGTAATTTATTCATTTATCAGATTTATGCCTGTCCATCTCACCTCAGTGACTCTGGGCCACAGGTCGGCAACTTGCGGCTCCGGAGCCGCATGCGGCTCTTTGAGCCTTCCCCCGTGGCTCCCAGCCTCCTCTGCCTTTGCAGAGAGAGACAGAGACAAAGAGAGGCAATTGCGCTTCCCTCCCTCTCTCTCTCTCTCTCTCTCTGTGTGTGTGTGTGTGTGTGTGTGTGTGTGTGTGTATGTGTGTAAAAGAGAGTGCACTCACAGTGTTCTCCGAGGAGCTGAAAAGCTTACTGGGCGGAGCTCCTCCCTTTGCTGCGTCTCTGCAGGAAGCAGAAAGGGCAGGAGAGAGCTAGCTAACCCAGCTAGGCTGACTCAGGAATTCTGGGAGTTGAAGTCCATGAGTCATAAAAGAGACGAGGTTGCTTACCCCTGAGCTTGTTGGACAACAGCTTGAAGCTTGCCAGGTGAGCAGCAGATAGAAGGAGGGGGGGAGAAAGAGAGAGAGAGAAAGAGAGGGAGGGGGAGAGAGAGGGGGGAGGGAGAGAGAGGAAAGAGAGAGAGAAAGAAAGAGAGTGGGGGAAGAGGAGTGGCAGACCAAGGGCAGATAGAGAGGGAGGGAGGGAGAGAGAGAGACAGAGAGAGAGAGACCTTTTGACATCTAAAATGAAGATAACACTGCATATATCCTTTTTTTACCTTTGTGTGTATGTAATTTTATTCTCTTAAAGCATTCTCTTTATCATTGTTTTAATAGTATGGATATTCCAAGAGTCATATTTTTACTTTTATTTTTAGTGTGTGTGTGTGTGTGTATACACACACACACACACACACACACACACACACATACATACACACACACACACACCTATAATAAAGGTAAAAAAGGATATATGCAGTGTTATCTTCATTTTAGATATCAAAAGGGTTTTGCGGCTCCCGGTGTTTTGTTTTGGTGGGAAACGGGTCCAAGTGGCTCTTTGAGTCTTTTGGGTTGCCTACCCCTGCTCTGGGCCCTTTACAAGCAACATCATAAAATAATACAAAAATGTGACTAAAAAAGCACACTTAAAAGCCTACTTACTCTGGGTGGTGAGTTTATTCTTCCATAAGGTAACAATAAAATTTGGGAAATATTTTGTGCAAGATACAATATTTTCTGCAATATTTTGTGCACAGAATATAATTGTGATCTTTATTAGAAGAAATGCATGAACGTAAGAAATTAGGTTTATTGTACACTTGATTTTGAGAAACAGTACAACAAAATGATAACCTTCCACTTGAAATGTTCTATATAAAGTTGACAGTTGTTGAGCGTGGTAACAGTTGTACATAAGTTGTAAATAAGGCATGCCCAAAGATAAATGGAATGCTTAGCAAAAGGTCTAACACTGAGGAAGTGGTAAGTGGAAGTGGTAAGATAAGGACATGTGACATTTCCTTTGCTCCTTACTTGCTGCATAAGATTTGCAGAATGATGATGCCAGAGGTGTGTTGATTAGGATATGCACTTTTTATGCATAGGATGCCATATTGCTAGTTAAGAACTTGAATGATATGCAGAAAATTTAAAATAAAACTGTATATGCACAAGCCATATAGATTCCAAAATTAATGTTAATACTAATGGAATTAACGTAATGAAAATAGCTGTATTTGATAGAAAAAAAAGCTGAGTCAAGGATTTCAATGGCAAATGCTACAGTAAATCAATTATTTGTATACCTGTCATGTTTATGGAGAAATTATATGTATTTTTCTATGTGCATAAGCACTTGAAATGGACTTTATAAAAGTCACCGAAGCCTTGAAATGTCCATTTATTCACAAAGGAAAAAACAGAATTGTTGTTATAGAGTGAAACAATAGCATTAATTGTAGGGAAAGCAGGATTCTAAGGCAGATTTAGTTTCATCACAACTTGAATTAAATTATCCTGATTTTGAGAATTAAGAGGGCAAACCAATCATAGCATGTCTGTATGTTGCTCCCAGCACCTCTCACAATTAGTCATGCTATAGGAGTTGTAAGAAGTCATAATTATGCAAATGCAGAAGCTTATCTCGATTTAATGCACTAGAAACATACTGGGTCAGCCTGAGGCTCAATTCAATAGCATGAAACTATTTTCGTCTTACCATAGTATCTTTTCTCTCCACAAAAGATTATAAACATGTTTATAACAGATACAATTTAAGAACAATTATTAAACTGACAGCCTATTTCCACGATCCAGCAAAAATCAGAACTCTAAACCCTTAGATACAACTGAAATACTGAAAAGGCAAATATTAAAATTTCAACAAAAACATACATAACAAGAGAAGTACTGTTTGAACTTGAGGCTCAAATTTCATAGAACATTTTTTTTTGTAACTGAGGTTGGATGCATGATTAGAAAGCACATTAAAATCTCATTATCAAATTCAAAAACATGCCCCAAATGCAGATTTCTAAAAGTTCCGTGTCCTTGTCACCAGTTCTGTGTAAGATAGTATAAAAATTAAATTCCAGACCCAAAGATGAAATGCCAGTTTGGCCTTCCACTCATGAAAATATTAAGGCTCACATGATCAGTAAAAAAGAGAACAGCAGAATATTATGAGTTATAAATCAGGACAGGAGAATTAATATATATAATTAATTATATAATAGGAGGCATCAAAGAAAGAAAAATTAAACATCTCTTACCGGAAGTTGCCAGCTTTCATCCAAGAAACTGGAATTCTGCAAACAGAAATTCAACAATCTATGATACCCATAATTAGAGATTAAACTGAAAGGCTGAAAAACAGCAAGAATATCAACAAATCCATCATAAGAAAGATACAAAAAAAAAAACAACCCATGATCCAAAGCTATCAACTACTGTACCTGCAAATCTAAGGAGAAATTCATTTCTGTAACCACCAACATCATGGAGAAGAAAGGCTCTGGAAAGCAAAAAATATATATAAGATTTTAGGTCATTACCCAATCACTGACCAGTACTGTAGTAATTTATTAGAATGTCATAGAAATGGTTATGGGGGCACAGCAAATGGACATTTTGTTGCAGTGAGATTCAGACTTCCCAAGATAACATTCAAGCAAATGTCAAACACAGGCAGGATTATAAACTAGGAAAAACTAGGCAGGATTATAAACTAGAAAAATTTAATCTCAAATCAGAAGGCAAGCACATTAAAACTAAGAGTGAGGAGGAAACATATATTCATACCCATAATGCTATGCACTTTCAGAACAAGTGCCTTCACATAAACTGCTGAAAGGAGTAAATTATAGTTAAGCCAAGGAAATCAAGACCTGAGATAAGAAAAGGAAATAAAGCTACATCTAATTTTCATCAGCACTGTTTACTATTCCTCTCTATATACGGTATATATTTCTATTTTTATTTCTACCACATCCATACATTATTTCATACACTGACATTGATGTTCATAATTGTGGCCTCTTTCTTTCAGAGGAACTTCTCAGTTCCTTCCAACCACAACTTTTGCTCTTCCTTTCCTCTCAATCCTTCAAATATTTTAAATACTGTAGTCCAATTCATTCATTCTGCCTATATTTTATTTATTAAATTTATAGCAATAGCACTTAGACCAGTGGTTCTCAACCTGTGGGTCGGGACCCCATTTGGAGTCGAACGACTATTTCACGCTGGTCGCCAAACAACGCAGTCTGCCATTTTTTTCCCCTTTTCCTTAGCTGTGCTACTCCCTTTTATTCTATTGGCTTTTGAAAGCCAATAGAATAGACTCTCTTGAATAGAGTCTAATTCTATTGGCTTTCAAAAGCCAATAGGAATTGTCCAGGCTGTCTCTGCCCTGCTGAGCCCGCCAAAAGTCCCATTCTGCAAATGGTGCTGCATCAGTTGAGTAGTCCTCGACTTACAACCGGTTGAGTAGTCCTTGACTTACGACCAGTTGGGGGTCACGGCATTAAAAAGATTGAGGACCACTGACTTAGACTTATATACTGCCCCATAGTGCTTTACAGCCTTTTCTAAGCGGTTTACAGAGTCAGCTTATTGCTCTCCAACAATCTGGGTCCTCATTTTACAGACCTCAGAAGGATGGAAGGCTGAATCAACCTTGAGCTGGTCAAGATCCAATTCCTGGCAGTGAATAGTGAGTTAGCCTGCAGTACTGCATTCTAACCATTGTGCCACTGCAGCTCCTATTATCTTGCTATAGCGAGCAATTCTGAGTGGCTACATTACCAAGTCAGCACAACATACTTTTTATTGGTACAAATCACTTTATTTTTGTATTCTCTGTAACAATATTTTAGCACCTATTCATTCCTGACCAACCCCTTCTTTTACCACACAGTCCTTAAGTTTCCTCTCCCACTGTATTCAGTTTATTTCTCTTGTCCTAACATACCCAACTTTCACTTGGATATGCAACTTTCACTTGCATATAAAAATCAGACAGAAACATGCTCTTATAAACATTTTTGTTTTTTCATCATTCATTTCTCACAATAGAACTCTTACTGCCTTCCACTTTTTAACCTGCATTTATTTATTTGTCATAAAGTTTCTCCATTCGCTTATCGGTCTTTATTATACATTTTGCCAGGTATAAAAATTCCTCTACTTGTTCTTGTTTTTTTCTCATTTATTCTCCACTCAATCTTCTCTGTTAAATATAACTCCTTTGATTTATTAAGTTTCAGATCCATTCCATTTGTAGAGTCACTCAAGTTTACGGAAGATTCACTTCAAATCATTTGGGAGCCCAGCTAACAACATAGCATTGTTTTCGCAGAACAGTATAGGAACACTCAGGTTCTCAACAAACTTCCAATATTGCCACAAGCACTTAAAAACATCTTTCATAAACAAATTTTAAACAACCCAATGTAACATGACACACCTTTGCCTTACTCATTGTTTAGGGTTGAGCCATTTGCTAACCATAAGCATTACATTTATTCTCCTGGATGTTTTAATTCCATGATGTACAGCTATTTTATCACATTCACTAACTATCAACTTCATATTTGTGCAGAATATTTTATAATTCGAGGTTATTTACTATATCATATGATTTTTCAAAATTAACAAATTTATAGTAAACTTATTTTCTGTTGTTCATTTCTCAGTGTGCAATTCTCCAGATGTACTGGACTTCATTCTCCCAACCATTACCTTGGGATAAGATGGGAGGCCTATAAATTTTATAAGTAAATAAATAAATAAAATAAACCAGCACCTCTAAGTTTTTTATACCGAGCTTGAAGCCTCCAATCACTTAATTAAATTATTATTTTACTCTTCCTCCACAGCTCTTTGAGTGAAATAGCCACTCTGGGCGTTTCACAAGATGACTAGAATGTATAGACAAGTGCTTCATAAAATGCCTTGAAAATAGCTGATGTGCAAATTATCTGAATCCTCATATAAAAGTTTGATGAAGACAAGATGGATTTGCACTTTTCTACATCCCTATGGCGAAAGTTACTTCACAGCAAGAGATAGTCGTAAATTGTTATTAGCAGCAAAATGTGTTTCCTTAATTTAGATGGTAGGGAATAGGATATCCCAAAGTTGCTAGGGAACAATACCATGAAATTAAATTGTACACTACACTGCTGGTGTCCTGGGCATCTGGAGAGCATGGAGCTGTGGAAAGCTGTATTAGCAATTTTTTTTTTCTTGTCTGAGAAAGGAGAAGATTCCAAATGAGAGATATCAGCATAAGATTCTAAGAGAGTTTTAGGATACCTAAAGGAACAAAAAAGAATCAAGCAAGAGCTAAAAAAAGCATTACTAGAAAGAGAGGGGCTGCACAAAATAGGAAGAAAATAGGAAATGGGAAAGAATATGTAAGAATATATAAGGCTATTCAAGAGATACAAAACGGAGAGTAATTAAAACTGAATATTTTTTCTCCTTTAAATATAGCACAATAACAAAAGGCCACGAACATTTTTTTGGATTGGACTTTTTCCAAGAGACCTGGCAAAATTTAAGTTACAGGTAGTCCTCAGCTTACTACCACAATTGAGCCCAAAATTTATGGTGTTAGATGAGACATTTGTTAAATGAGTTTTGTCCCATTTTACAACTTTTCTAGCCACAGTTTTTAAGTGAATCATTGCACTTCTTAAGTTAGTAACAAGATTGTTAAGTAAATCTGGCTTCCCCCACTGACTTTATTTGTTAGAAGGTTGCAAAAGGGGATCACATGACCCCAGGACAGTGCAACGGTCATAAATATGAGTCAGTTGCCAACATCTTAATTTTGATCAAGTGACCATGTGAATGCTGCAACAGTTGTAAGTGTGAAAAATGGTCATAAGTCACTTTTTTCAATGCCATCATTACTTTGAATGGTCACTAAATGAACTGTTGTAAGATGAGGACTACCTGTACTTATATTTTTTTAAAAAACGATTACAATAAAAGCTGCCAACCTTTCTGGGCATAAAAGTATGTGCAAATTCATGAGCTAGGTGAAATTAATTAATTTCCAAAATTGTTATACAGTACAATGATATATTCAAGGAGACATCTTGAGATCGTAGCATAATGATAGAACAGAATTTTACCTGAAAATTCTTCATTGCTCAGGATGGATGTTATTGGATCATAACACTGAAATCAGATTATAAAAACAAACATACAATATACTAAGAATAATTTAAATAAGCTGAAAAATATATGTGTATCATAATATGAGATAATGAGTACAAATCAAGCAAAAAGCGTAAATTTGAGGTTTGACATGTTAAATGTAGAATATTGGAAAACTGTCAAGACTTCACAGGATGTAAAAATAGTAACCCACTCCATTTTTCTGCTAAAAAAAACCCAACGCAATTGGACATTTCCAGTCAGAACAATGTCAACACTATTGCAACATAAGCTTCCCATTAAGAAAGTATCCAGTGTGCTACCAGAAAAAAGCAGAGGACAAGTACAAGGCGCATTGGTCCTTTGATGTAATTAAAATTTAAGTGATGTCTGAATGCAGCTGTGCCTGGGAGGAAAAGCAAAGATCTGAGGGGCAAAGATACCTACACCATTTGTGCATGGAATGGCAGAACAGAAAGCAAAACAAACTAGATGTTAGCAGAGCAGAAATGTCAAAGTGAAACACTGACATTTTGGAAATCAACAAACTGAAATGAACTGAAATGGCTCATTTTGTATCCAGGAAGCAACATATCTTTGTAGACCAGGGGTATCAAACTGCCGGCCCACGGGCCAGTTGCATCATGCAGAGGCTGTGCCCACCCCAGCTCCAGCAATGCGAAAAAAGTTGCGATACAGTGCGACACGTCACATGATGCGGCGAGTTTGACACCCGTGTTGTAGACAAAGAAAAAGATATGCAAAATAGCTGTTATTATTAAGAAAAGCACGTCAAAGTCAGTATTCGGATGCAACACCAAAATGATAGACTTATCTCAGTTAGAATCATAGAATCATAAAGCTAGAAGGGACTTTGGAGGTCTTCCAGTTCAACCCCTGACCTTGGATTGTTGAAGTCCAAGGTAAGTCAATCAATATTACAATACTACAGATCTATTCTCCAACCACATAAACCTTGTTGACACCCCCCCTCCTCCCCAAAATCATACTAATTATAGGAGATAATAATTTCAACATTGGAATCATAGATTCCAGCACTGGATCCAGTCATGTGCTGGCTTGCTTTACAACCACATTGACCCACAACAGAAATTATAGTTCCAATTGTCTCCATAAATTGAAGACTGCCTGTATCTAGTGTTCAAGGACAGGCCTCAAGCAAAAAGACAAAGACACAAATCAAAGTATGGTAATTATTCAAATTATCTTAATTCTTTTGGATTATGTAATCACCTCAAGCAGCCTGGGAGTTCTGATGAGCTGCTGAACAGCAACTGCTAATAACTTCCCATTCAAAGCCAGACGCAGGAAGTACCGCCCTCTTCCTTGAGCTGTCAGCACCTTCTCACAAGAACTTGTTTTCTCAATCATCATGGACAGAAGGGTTCTACTACAAGTGGAAAAGTTCTTGTTACCACAGTCTCTGCTATTGAGTATTTTTAAATGTTGTTTCAATAGTGTTAAAATAGGCGCAAAATAATACAGGCAGTCCTCCCTTAACGATGGCAATTGGGATCCGCAACTTGCTGTGTGCTGCAGTTGTAAAACATGACATCACATGACCATGTCTACTTACAATGGCAGTTGAGGCAATTCCAACTGCCATCATTAGTTGCAGTATCCTGTGGTCACATGATTGCCATTTGTGATCTCCTGCCAGCTTCCCTGTTGACTTGGTTTGTCAGAAGCCAGCAGTGAAGATTCCAAATGGTGATCATGTGACTCTGGGATGCCGCAACTGTCATAACTGCAAGCAGTTGCCAAGCACCAAAATTGGGATCATGTGCCTGTAGGGATTCTGCACTACGAGGAATAGTTATAAGTCTTCTTATTCAACTTTGAATGGTCGCTGAACAAGTGGTCACTGAATGAGGATTACTTGTATGTGCCTTCCATGAATCCTTTCTCTGAAGCAAGTCACGAGATTTTAGCAGCTGTGAATTCCTCACAAAAAGAAAATATTTCACCCTACTGTTCGTTAAAATTATGCTGAAGCTTATAAAATAACAAAAAACACAATTTCTCCATGCCTAATTCAAAAGCAATCATGGGTACGGTGTCAGTGAAACCTGTAACAAGTATGAAAGGCATTAAGTTAGAACAGTGGTTCTCAACCTTTTTAATGCCGCGACCCCCAACCGGTCGTAAGTCGAGGACTACTCAACCAGTCGTATGTCGAGGACTACTCAACTGGTGCAGCACCGTTTGCAGAATGGGACTTTTGGCGGGCTCAGCAGGGCAGAGACAGCCTGGACAATTCCTATTGGCTTTTGAAAGCCAATAGAATTAGACTCTATTCAAGAGAGTCTATTCTATTGGCTTTCAAAAGCCAATAGAATAAAAGGGAGTAGCACAGCTAAGGAAAAGGGGAAAAAATGGCGGACTGCGTTGTTTGGCGACCCCTGTGAAATGGTCGTTCAACCCCAAATGGGGTCCCGACCCACAGGTTGAGAACCACTGAGTTAGAACATCTCTGACTTGCCATTTCCTACTTTTTCAATATGGGACTACAACTCCTATTATTTCCAGCTGACGTGAGCTTTCATTGGATAGGAACGATAGAAGGAAATCAAGTCTGGGAACTTTGAGTTCAAATTGCAACAGTGAGAGAACAGAATCTAATATTCTGAGTTCCCGTTTACAGCATCATCAAAGGCTACAGGAGACTACCCACCTGTGGTGGGTTTCCTGCTGTGGAAGCTGCTCTAGCCAGTGCCAATAGTCCTTCCTCTTGAATCCCAGGACTGGCTCTGAAGTGGGTAAAAGACATCGTTTAGCAAGAATGGTAAGACTGAGAAGTGATTATATCCCTTACCTCCCAGCATACGACTTTTTATCATCTGATAAGAGATAGTCATTTTAGCAGACCTATAATTAGATGATACCTTGGGTTCATAGTGCATTGGCAGAGAATGACCTGGTTCTGTTTTGTGCACACATCAATGTTTTGTGCCTTCCCCAATTGTAAAGAAGTGTTTTATTATTTAAAAACAATTTTGGGGGTCTTTCACACAAAGTACAGTTTGATTACCCATATTTATATATCCTTGAAGCCTGCAAGACATGAACTTTATAAATGTTACATGCAACAGTTTCCTAATGGTGCCATATGTTTCGCAAACTATACTTTACAGAACTGTTACGGTCTGAATCCTGAAGAAGAATATTGAATCAATAATACTAATATTATTATTTAATCTAATAATAGATTAAATATGTAAAATACATACAAAAAATCCTGATTTGAATTTTGGCTGGCTGAGGAATTCTGGGAGTTGAAATCCACAAGTCTTAAAGTTACCACATTTGGAGACTCCTGGTCCAAAGTATGACTTCTTATATCCTTTCTAATTCATTACTCATTCATTACCTTATAGCAGTGGTGGGATTCAAATATGTGAACAACCAGTTGTGTGTGGATGCCATTTCTGGAAGTCCATTCTGGGCCTGGGCAACAAAAAATTAGCTACCGGTTCTGCCAAAGTGGTACGAATTGGCTGAATCCAACCACTGCCTTATAGCCTTTCTAATCCATTAGTGGAATAAACCATGCTCATAGCCAGTGGTTCCTATGGCCCAATGTACAATAATTTGGTATTGCTCATGCTAGTCAGCCTCTATACCAGTGGTTCTCAACCTGTGGGTCGGGACCCCATTTGGGGTCGAACAACCATTTCACGGGGGTTGCCAAACAAGGCTGTCCGCCATTTTTTCCCCCTTTTCTTTGGCCACACCCCTGGCACCTGGTGATGTATAAGTGGTTGGGAGTCACCACAACATGGGGAACTGTATTATGGGGTCGCGGCATTAGAAAGGTTGAGAACCACTGCTCTATACTGAGGCAAATATTTTTAGATCTAGGCTTTCCTTTTTGATTTCAAGAAAAATATTTCCTCATTAGCATGACTTTCTGTAAATCAGGCCTTCAAAACCAACAAACCTTTCAAGTGTATTTCTCAATATTAAGCTGTGGAGCAAAAAACATTACTCACGTTTTAATCCTTTCCGAAGAATCATTTCCAGGATCTCACAAAAAGATTGTAAATGAGGACAGGAATCTGTGTAAGGACTATTGCTTTCCTGAAAGTTGAGAATGCACACTGCAAGAAAATAGAATTTATAAAACTGCATTTTGAATGCAGATTGCAGTAACAGGAGTTAAAATAGCTGTAGAAAAAACCTTTTTTGAAAATATAGTACTGTACATGGTGATTTTGGGGACAAATCTTTTTTTCTCATTTTATAGAATAAAAATGTTAACACATTATCTCAATTATTTAGAATTATTTAAAAACCCATTATTTCTCTTCAATGTAATGGCTTCACTAAACTCTGACACTGGGGATAAAAAGAGATCTCTTAAACCTGACTGAAAGTTTGGGCAATTTTATAGATGATAAGGTGCAGAAATGTCATGTTGTCCCCATCAGCAATTTAGGTATAGCAAACGAGGAACAAGTAAACTTGAAATAAATTACAACATACAGCAAATCAAGCAATCCTATGTTTATTTGGAAGAAAGAATTTGGAGTTTTCGGTTTCAAAACCTTAATTGCTGGCTGAAAACACATCGGAAATCAATAGATTAAAGCAGATTAAACAGTAATTTATATTTAAAATTTAAGATATTTTATAGATTTTATACTTTTCTTTTTTTTACTTTTTTCTTTCTTCCTACTTTCTTGTATTTCCTTGTATTTTTGTCTTTTTATATATATATTATTGTTAACTATTTCACAACTTGTTTAATTAATGTATTTAGATTTGTTAATGGTTTATATTTAAGATTTTTTGAAAATTTTTTAATTAAGCCTGTATTCAGCTCTGGGAAGGTCGGGGGAGGGTATGGGAGGGTTGGGGGGGGTCGGGGAAGGGAACTGTATTGTTTTGTAAAATTTAAAAATTTTCAATAAAAAAAAGCAGATTAAACAGATTAAATCAAGTGATTTGTCTATTTAAATTGTGCTGGACACACCTGTTTAGATGCAATTCTCATTACATTCAGTAAGGCTCAATTTTTCTGAGGAAGCAGGTATAGGATTTTACTTCCTTCTCTCTTTCTGCTTTAATTTCATTAGTAAGAGCATATCCATTGGAAATGTTCTAAGGTGGCTGACTTCCCTTTTAATTGCATTTGCACACAAAGACTAATTTATGGTATTCGCTGTTTTTATAAAATGCTTTTGCTACTTTGGACCTACAAAAACAAGCAAGAAATATTTAATATAAATGTGTGCAAAAAGCCATCAACCATAGGCGTGATGATGCAAATATTGACTGTTCCTTTGAATACAAGTTCCACCTATTAAACTCATTGACTATTTTAGGAAAGAGTTCTTCCTGCTATTTTTTTGTTTACTAAATGGAATAACAGTACTGTATAACAGATCCTGTGTCCTTTCCCCTCTGTCTATAAAGATGATGACTGTGTATTATTTGAATATTTATAACAATTATCTCACCTTCTGCCAAAATGTTCAACATGGTACAATGTGGTACATGTGGTTACATAGAGTTATCATATCTGGGCAGCCAAAATCTGGACCATTACTAGATGGTAGCAGAAAAATATACTGTAGAAGACTAATTCTTTGCTGCTATCTAATGATCATTGATTTCTGCAAGGAACACCCAGCTGGTAAATAGTTTAAGATTGCACAAGAAAGTGCACTGAATATACAATTGAAGCTCATTAATATAATCCCAACTGCTTAGTATTCAGTTTCTTATATGAAATGAATTGCAGGAACAGACTATAATACCTGGCTATATATAAAATGTTGAGCTAACATGGATTCACTTTATGAGTAAGTCTTAACATTTATATCAATCAATCACCCTATATCAATTTGCTTAGGCTCCATTATTGTCACTGTCATCAGTCATTCAGTTGTGTCTGACCCTTGGCAACTCTATGGATCAGCACTCTCCGTGCTCCTCTGTCTCGCAGTGCCTCTTTCAGATCCACCATGGTCATCCTGGTATCATCCTTTATAGGGTCCAGCCAATGGATACTAGGGTGGCCCCTTCTCCTTTTTCCACAGATCGCTTCCAGCATGACTGATTTTTTTGAGTGAGTCAGCTAGCATGACATGGCCAAAATATGACAGTCCTTGTTTTGTGATCTTGGCTTCAGGTAATATCTTAGGTGAGGTTTGGTCTAGGACTTTAGAGCTTAGAGTCCAGGAAGATGAATTCTTTACTATTTCAATGGTCTCACTGTTGATCTACAATCTGACCTGTATGTTCTCCGTAGTTGTCATTACCTTTGTTTTCTTGATGTTAAGGTCAATCCAAATTTTTCATTTTCATTTTTGAATCTCAGGAGTCAAAGCCACTCCAGATCCTTCTTGTTTTCCACGAGCAATGGTAGATTCCTCCAAATGTGCATTTCTCACAACTATTATAACTAGATCCCTCATAACTGAAATTAAAAGTTCACTTTATCCCCTATCGCCATCATTTATATAATCTAGGCACTGTTGTTACACTTATCATTTCCTATAATCAAGTAATCAAGGCCCAGCTAGATTATACTTGTAAGTCCCACCAGTGGTATACATACTACTTATCGAGAACCATCTGGGCTAGACTGTAGTGCAGTGTATTGTATGAACCCAACCTATGTGGTTAAGTTTATTTATCAAATTTACAAACTATCCATCTCCCTCACAGAAGAACTCTTGGTGGTGTACAAATAAAATATTAAAATATTAAAAACTGAATATAAAAAAATTAAAATAGAGGCAAGGATAGCAAAATTTATTATTAAAAGGTAAATAAAAGTGGGGGGTAGGGAGGGCCTTCAGGGCACTAACCAGCCCATGGTTTTGTCTCTTTTGTGAGCCCTAAATGAGATGGCAGAGCCAGGTCTTTAGATATTTTTGAAAGGCCAGGAGAATTGGGGCCTGCCTTGCCTCTGGGGATGGTGGGGGGAGAGAATATTTCAAAAGGCAGTGGGCAACAGCAAAGGGCATTCTTCCTGGACCCTAGCAGATGGAATTCTTTAACTGACGAGGTCTGCAGTATAAATTCCCTGCCTGACCAGGCAGAATGGACTGATATGAAGGGGAAAAGATGGTTCCATAAGTAATCTGGTCCCATGCCATGTAGAGTTTTAAATGTCATAATCAGCACCTTGAATTGGATCTGGAAGCAAACTGTCACCCAATGCTGTTCAGGCAGCAGAGGTGTTGTATGCACTGTTCTTTGGTGCCCAAGATTGCTCACATGGCCACATTTTGTATCAGCTGAAGCTTCCGGGTACTTTTCAAGTGTAAACTCATGTAGAGCACATTGCAATAGTCCAGAGCATGAGAGACCGAATGAGAGATGGCCAGGGCATGAATGACTAAGAGGCAAGCTTCCCTATCCAGGAAAGGGCATTACTGATATACAACATGAAGCTGAAGAAAAGCGCTCCTAGCCATAAATGCAACCTGCTCTTCAAACAGGAGCTGTGAGTCCAGGAGGTTCCCCAAATAACAAGTTCATGGTTTGTGTTGTCAGATCATAGGTTAATTCAGTACTATGTAAACCATGGTTCCAAACCGTGGTTTAGTTGTTATGTGAATGCAGGCAAAAGAATAAAAATCACAATAAAATCCTATGCATGTCTACTGAAGTAAATCCCACTCTGTTGCATGTCATTTATGTCCAGGTAGGGACATGCAAGACTAGTTTGAAGAAAAAGGATAAGGAAACCCATAGGACAAATCATTAAATGAAGAAATAACTTAAAATCAAACTCATCATTTTTAACAATCCCCAGTATGTCACTGCAAAAAATAGATATATGGGGAGATCTGTAATCTATGAAGATTTTATGTCTTGAGACAAAACCTAAACATAATTATATTGTTCATACAAGTAAGAGCCACTACAGAAATTAAGAAGTAGTATTTTTCTTGGTAATGGTTGCATATATTTCTTACAAGATATTGATAGGAAATTAAATTGTTAGCTTCACATGATTTCAGACCTTAGAAAAGTTCATGTTATGTCATGCAAACCAATTTATACTAGTGTGATTCAAAAAAAATGATAAAACATCGTTCTTCTAGGAAAAAAAAATACTTTATCCTATGTGTTTGCACACTTAGACTACAATCCTATCTGATTTATTTTGGGAAAAATCCTATAGAATATAAGAGGATTTACAACTGTACTGCAGTTTGTTTTCTTTATGGAAAAGGAGCAGTGAGAACTTCAGTATTTGCACATTTTTTTCTCTCTGGGCTAGTCCAGTAACTATCTAGTTAGAAAAAAAGATATTTTGGCTGGAAAAAAATCAATGTTTGTAGCTTGACAAAAATACAGTCCCCTAGTTTCTTACTGATGGTCATCAACAACCAGCAGGAAATAGCATTTTAAAAAGTAGAGGCTGACATGAAGACAACAATAAGAAATTACTCTAATAGTTATTCCATACACATTTTTGTCCTTGGGCATCAAAAATGGCTACAGCTATGGACAGGACATTAAATGAAGTAACCCAATATGACAACTAAAAATATTTTTAGTTAAGCAGGACACTGGAGGTGATGTTTCTTACCTGCATATCTATACAGTAGTAACAAAGTAGTAGCAAACATGAAATTGTCTCTTCTATGTATCCCCATGAATGAAGGACATCTGTCTGTCTACCATGATCTTGTCAAGTTTTCATGAGTGGGTGATCATATTACTGGGGGGGGGGGGAGAGACCTGTAATTGACTATACAATGTCCCAACCCCAGCATTTATCCTGCACACTTTGCTTGGACTTCTGGTGAGCAGTTCCCCGATTCCATCCCCTTCTTAACTGGAATCTAGAAATCCAATCTTAAATATTGCCACAAATGAGATAAGAGTTCTGTAATCACTTGAACGTGGGGAGCGGAGAACACGTGTCCGGTTCGGCGGTACCAATGTTCTAACAAAGAACCAACTGCTTTCATCTGACATCTCTACCGGGCTTTTCTTCTCCATGACAACTGGGTGACCATCCGAACCCCGCTCCATTTAAGCCCCAAACGCTACGTAAGACGGCTACTCGGCTCTCTCCAACACTTCGTTTTTCAAACACCCCTTCTTCGCACAACCCGTCACGAGTCTCTCTTTCCCTCACTCACCTTTCAGAGCGCCCAAGAGCGGCTCTTTCCCACTCATCCTACTTTGCTTTGCTCCGCTCTGCCTTCCCCAGACTCCGGCTCAGCCCAGCGTCCCGGACACAGCCTCCGCTCCCGCCTCCGCCCGATGAAAACTGTCCGCGAGCGACTTTCTCCGTCAAACACCCGGCGGCAGGCAAAACTCTGGAAGGTACCATTTCTCCGGCGGGGGAGTGTGTGAAAGAGAATGGAAGCGATCTTCGGGCCGGCTCAGTCGAACTTGCCAGGGTTTGGAGAGAGGTGAAAATAAGCCCAAAAGTTCAGCGTGTATCCTTCCCGGATATGATTAACGTTGTTAGATCTTCCGGGATAACTAATTGTTCTCCCATCTCTTTCGCGTGTGTCCGACGTTGATGTTTTGCCCCGCCACTGCTCGCCAGGAATCAGTTGTTGTTCGATGAAATCTCCTTAATACGGAGCTAAAACTGAGAGCCCAGACAAGTGGCAAACTTTACTAACCGACGTTGGCTCATTTCGAAAGCTGAGCAAGGTCTAACCTGGAGCAGAATGCCCGTGGAATCCTTGAATGGGAAACCAACAGGAAATTCAAGGTTGTAAGCAAGGTCAGCTCAAGGGTCTGTGGTGCCCCTAAGCCACATTGATTGAATGTCACCACCTTCTGCCAAAATACAAGATTTTCCTTTTTAGAATGATTCAGAAGGAAAAGCAGCATTGGCACAGCCCCCTAAATTTTGGCAGCTAAGCCAGTGCCTACTTGGTCTTAACCTAAAGCTGGCCCTGGATGTAAAGCAGAATAGGAAGCGGAAGAAACATCTTTGAGGGTGGCAAGAGTAAATCTGACTTAAAAACAAAACAAAACAAAAAACCTTGCATGGGCATGTCCATGAAGTCAGCAAACATCAAACTTCACTTGAATATTTTACAGTGGACGGTCTGTCATCATACATCTTCATGATGCATGTGACTAATATGTTTGTTAAATACCTGCCTTGTCTTTGAATGTAGCTCTTTTCAATCAGTAGCTGTTTTCAATCAGTCACAAATTCTAGAACAGGGGTCCTCAACCTTGGCAACTTTAAGACTTGTGGACTTCAACTCCCAGAATTCCTCAGCCAGCTTTGAAGTCCACAAGTCTTAAAGTTGCCAAGGTTGAGGACCCCTGTTCTAGAAAGAAATAAGAGAACTGCAAGAAGGAGGCCACCAACAGCAGTTTTTAACTCCAATGAGTGCTGGCTGCCACGTACACAGCATAAGTTGTCTGCCAAGTTTGGCAGGTTTTTCTTCATAACAATAAAGATTCTACAAAGGTTAACTAGGCATCTAACTTTACTACTGAGTGCAGTCAAATTGTTTCTAGTTCACACATGTTCTCTTTTTTATTGTATTTGTGAATTGAGCCCTACACATAGGAGTGCTATGGCACCTTGCTTGTCTGTGATGGTTTTAATTCTCTAGAATTCCATATCTTCTATGTTACTGTTAACTCCCCAAGATTCTATTGCATAATTTTATAAATCTTTTAGAAGATAGTATCAACATCCGTAAAGACAAGGAAGATGGAAGCAGTCATGGAAAAACAAGGAAAATCCCCCCCCCCCAAATCTTCAAATTCAGAAAGAAGTTCCAAACTCAAATTGGTATGTGAAAGAACACCAATAAATAGATAGTAACTGATTTAAAGATCAAACAAAGAAGAAATATACTAAAATTCTATATATCCAAGATACATTAGAACAGGGCCCCCAACCCTTGGTCTGTGGACCGGCACTGTGCTGCAGCATGCCAGAAACTGATCCAAGAAACATGTGAAGCCCCATCCATGGGATGCAGGCAGCACACCAAACCATGCCCCTCCGGTCTGTGGAAAAACTTCTCTCCACAAAACCAGTCCTTGGAGCTCAAAAGGTTGGAGCCACTGCCTTAAAAATAACATGAACTTGTCTTACTATCATAAAAAGTGTTGAATGTTGGTGTAGGAGAAAACATTTGGAATACCACAGATAGACAAGAAAATAAACAAAGGGGTCATAAAACAAATCAGTTCAGAATTCGCATTCAAAGCACAAATGACTGGGCCCAAATTATCGTATTTTGGACCCAATACAGGAAGACACAGTTCCCTTGAAAAGTCTCTTGTGATGGGAACCTGGAAAGAGGGCAAAGAGCAGCAAGGTGAATGGACTCAGTTACAATGGTGGTTTGTGCCCAAGAGCCATTTTGAGGACAGATCATCCTGGAGAAGATCTAATGTAGTTATGTGGTTGGTAAGAAATAGTCCTGACTTAATGATACATCAAATGATTTTGCAAATTCTGAAAGCATTTTCTGCTCAGGTTATTGGGCAGTTAACTTGAACTTTAAGGAGTCCAAGATATTAATCTTAGTTAATTAGTAATCAGTAGAGAGGTTTTTGTTTTCTTTGCACTTTTGTTTATTTATGCGCCACCCTTCAAAGAACATTAACTTAGAAATAACCAATCATTATTTACGTAAACTATAGCAAAGCCTTTGGGGGGGGGGTAGATTTGCACTTTCGTTCCCTCAGTACCAGGACGCTATTTTGCAGCGGAGATAAAAAGCGCAGAGAGTTCTTTACGAAAGAAAAAGTGAAGACAAGATTTGAAGTTACACCAGCGACCCCTACAGGACACATAGGAGCTGTGCTGGCGGAGGAACGAACTGGACGCCCGACAAAAGGCCCGCCCGGCGGGCCGGGCCTTGATCGGAACGCGGATGTTGGAAGTGAGAGCAGTCGCGCGTCTGCGCAGATCGCCGGTTCGCTCTTTCCGGGGACGGTAGTTTTAATACTCGAGACTGCAACTTGCAAGTAGATCGGGATCATGGAAAAAAAGAGCGAATCCAACCCAGTGGGGTCGTTAGTAGTAGCCGCTCGGGAAGTGTACAAGAGGGTTTATGGCGGAGAAGATCCTAAAATTGCAGTGTCGGCCCCCGGAAGGGTAAATTTGATCGGAGAGCACACCGATTACAATCAAGGTTTCGTGCTGCCTATGGTAAGGAAGCAAAGCCGTGCAGAAAAATCAGATAACTTCGGCTGTGCTTCTTCCAGTTTTATGGGGATTTTCCAAAGACATCTCGTGAAATTCCTTCTTGTTGACTTCATGGATGCAGAGGAGGAGAATAAAAAAGCCGCGTCTGCCATTAAGATACTAATGTTGTTCCTAACTATGGAAATGCCGGTATTTAAAGAGATTATTTTTTTGTCAATGGTAGGCAAAGCTGCTGAAGACTACCATTAAAGATTTGGCTCCTTTCAGGAATATTCTTGATCTTTTCCACGTCCAGCAAAGTTAAGCCTGGTTGGATTGCGCAGACGTGGAGTTAAATATTCACTAAATAGAAAATGTTAACCTATTTTCATTGCCCTTCCCTAGCATAGTAATGAATTCAAAGGCAAATGTTCCTTAAAAAGTTGAAGTTTATCTCTAAACATTATGGTTTCCTGTTGCAAAATTTTTACTGGATGAAGAAATATCTTTAAAAATTTAGCAAGACATAAAGTTCCCGAGTGTGAAAATGCTGTTCTGACAACATCCGAAGATATTCACTGAACCTAATTTCTTGAAATAACTCCAAAAACTGTATGTGTACAACATACTGAGTTAACCTGGGGCTAGGTTTGCACAGCACATTCTATTAGAATGTAGTTTTATTGTTTATAGCTTACTACAGTATAATTTGCTATACTGTATGTGAAGTGGTTTCTTTTTTTCTCCTTTACTGAATCTGTTTGCATCTAGAAATGGTTCTTAAGATGTTTGCCTCCATTACAAGTTAAAGGGACAGCTAAATTTTACTACATTAATATTTTACTAAAAATCTATTCTTAAATCCCAAAATATCTTTGATCACCCTCTCCTAACTGAAAGTATGCTTTCTAAAGAAGTTCTACTCTTTCTACGTCTGTGGACCATAGGCTTGGAAGTACTTTCCAGAACTTATTATGGGATGGTACCTACTTCAGTCCATTAGATATATTGAACTATAATGCCCATTGAATAATAAAAATCTCACCCGGATCCTAAAGAAGTACAAATGGAGTAATTGCATATTCTCTGTTCCTCTGTGGGGCTTCATTTGAAGTTGTAAGCCACTTATTTCTTTGTATTGTACAAGATATTCTGTACAGTGATGGCAATTTACGAACATTTGAATAACAGTAGACTAAATCCAGTTTGATGGAAGCAGTTATCTATCTCTATGTGTGCTGTAAGATTCCCTCTGCCTCTCCAAACTCATTTTCCTACCACTTTTTGCAGCTCTGATTTGAGGATATCTGGTAGGCGGAGTTGGACACCATTTTGCAATAATATCAACATTGTTTGAAAAAAAAATAGCTTGACAACATGCTGATCCATAATTTATGTAACTAAATTAATCCAAATGCCTTGGTTCATTGAACTCATCATACTGGCTGAGTTTGCATAATATCAAGCCATAGATTAGTCAGGTGTGGTGTGTGAAGTCAGCAATTATGTATTTTGGGAAACATGTTTTTACACAAAGGCATATTTTTAAGGCAAGTTTTTAAGAACTATATAGGAGAAATCGGTACAAATCAAAGGATTTTCTTCACTATAATAATTATCCATAGTGACAATCTCAAAAGAGTTATTCTTCTGCAGCTACACTCCTACACATATTCCTCCTCCTCGTTTCTATTCATTCTTGTACTCCTTTGCATTTATAAGGGGGAAATACCATGCCAAAAGGCTTTTCCAGAAAGCTTGCCCATCTTTTTTATTCAGTTACAGCACGCATGCCATACCTGTTGTATTCCAGATATTGTAGAACCACAATCCTTAGCAGTTCTAGCCTGTTGTGGGGGACCCTGGGAGTTGTAGTTCATCAACTGCTGGAAGAGTGGATGATTTTCCACTGCCGCCCTATACAGTGCTCTCTTCCTTCAGGCCATACAGATGAGAACAGTGGTAGTTGGGAGTCCAAGGGAAGATGGAATAATATCCATAACTACGACTGCAGAGGAAGCGGAAGAGCCTAAAACTGTGCACTTTCCAGTCCCAAGGGAAGATGAGTCCTTGAAACCCGGAGAACCTTGCTGGGCTAATTATGTAAAAGGGGTTATCCAGCATTATAAAGGTAAGATCCAAAATCAGTCAAAGATCGAGGTTATTACATTGGCAGTTGAGACATCCATAAGGAGGGAGTAAGGAAAGTTTAGATGGCAGCTATAACCATGCAATCAAAACTGCCCTTTCCCCAAGTGACCCCTCCCACAACAAACTCTTCTCTTTGGCAGGAATTTGGTGGTGAAAGACTATAATATAACATTATTTAATAGGGAGATTGAAATATTCCCTATCCTCTCACTCTGAGTAGGTCTTTAGGAAGATTTTCCTGCTAAATCCATCTAATGGGGTGCTAAACCATGGTTGCCATGTAACCCATTAAATGGGTTCCCATCACCCACAAAGCTGAGATAGCAGTGGGATAGGCCAGTGGTTCTTAACCTGGGCGATATTGCCCCCCTGGGGGCAATTTCATTTTTCAAGGGGGCGATGGAATGAAAAGGGGCAACGTGGGGGTGAAGGAACGAAAAGGGGGCGATATGGGGGCGATGGAGCAAGAAGTTTTGGGGACACTTTTGAGATTTTTTCGTACAGTGAATAGCTGTATATCTGTCGTACAAAAACATCAGATGATCGCTATTAATGGATTGAATTGTGTTTTCAAATGTTCCTCCAACTAGCTTCAGTACAGAACACTGTACATATGTGAATATGCATCGCTTATCTTCATGTGCATTGCGCAGCAGCCTCTACCCATACAGTGGCATGCCATTGGCCAGAATATGGGAGATATGGGGGAAAAGACTGGAAATAAATTATTTGCATCGATATGTCCTGATGACAATTTTAAAGAAAACAAAAAAAGTGTTTGCATAAATTGAAGAATTATTTCCTATGTTGTGATTGAGAGGTTATGTTGGGGGGGGGGGCGATGACAACTTCCTCATTGGCTCAAGGGGGCGATTTGTTCAAAAAGGTTAAGAACCACTGGGATAGGCAATTCCAGCCATTTTGTCTTTGACCCCTTGAAAGAAGTGTAGCTCTTTATTTAAAGCATCTTTCCCAAACGGTGACAGATTTTTAGTTAAATCAAAATAGTTAAATTACAGATTATTTGTGGGACGTGCCTTGAATTATGTTGTCTTCTCCCTATGCTGTTTTTCTGTTTCATTGTAGCTGGCCCTCTCCCAGGCTTTGATGTTGTGATAGAGAGTAATGTACCAATAGGTGGTGGTCTCTCAAGTTCAGCGTCCTTAGAAGTGGCCGTGTACACCTTCCTGCAGCAGCTCTCTTCTGGTAAGAATTATACTATGCCTGTGATGAAACAGCAGATTACTTGCATTTTCCTTAAAACAAGTGAAGTACTAACTGGATACTTCTTAGGAAGGAAGGAAAGAATTGTTCTTTTCCTTCTTTTCCATCACTTTAACTTGCCCCACCATCAACTGCCTCTCTTTCAATCCTTTCCTCTCAAAATTTTTTTTTCTTTCTTTCTTTCTTTCTTTCTTTCTTTCTTTCTTTCTTTCTTTCTTTCTTTCTTTCTTTCTTTCTTTCAACTTCGAGAGGGAAGGATTGAAATAAGAGGCAGTTAATGATGGGGCAACTTAAAGTGATGGAAAAAACAATAACCATGAAAGAAAAGGAGAAGCTCTTGTGATTTAAATCATTCTTTAAATAAACAAACAAGGTGCATTTTGGTTTTCATATCTGTCTCCTGTGTTTTCCATCAGTTCAAGGTTATTGTTAATGTTTTAGCCAACTAATCTGAGTTAATGAGAGAGAAAGGGAACATAAAGCTTTATTTCCCAAACCCAGACCATAACCTACCAGGAAAAGAATATAAAAGAACGCTTACCAGTTTAGGGTGCCAACAGTGACATTTGAAATATATTTATCCTCAAAATAACTATAGAAAAATATTAGAACAAAGAAAATTGGTTTCAACACATCCAGCATTATTGGGAATTCTGAGATAGAAAACGACCCATCTGGAGAACATCCATGTTGGGGAAGGTTAGGGACTGAGGTGTAAAATGCAGACATTGAAATGGAAGCAAAGAATGTTTCCTGCCTTTCTTTGCTGCCATCAACCAATTCCAGATTTTTGCAGTAGCCCTTTAGAAGGCTACTGGTCTGAGATATATTTTTCAACCTGAAATTTCTATTTCTTTTTTTACTTTTTTTAGCTAAATGAGACTGACTTGAGACTTGACCACAGCTCAAGAACTTTTGTAGATATGTGTTGCAATTCCTGGCAACTCCAAACTGTTGAGGAATGCTCTGCCAAATTAGAAAGCTGCTACCACTGATGGAAAAACACATCAGGCTAGATGGAGAAAAACTGACCTGTATAGGTTCAGGTGTTCTCTTTTTCAAGCACCTCCATGGTCACTGTTAAAAACAAAATAGTGAATTAGAATTTAGTTAGTGAATGACCCTCTAAGGCAGTGGTTCTCAACCTTTCTAATGCCGTGACCTCATAATACAGTTCCCCATGTTGTGGTGACCCCCAACCAGTTATACATCACTGGGTGCCAGGGGCATGGCCAAAGAAAAGGGGGGAAAAATGGCGGACAGCCTTGTTTGGCGACCCCCGTGAAATGGTCGTTCAACCCCAAATGGGGTCCCGACCGACAGGTTGAGAACCACTGCTCTAAGGCAGGGGTGTCAAACTGCTGGTCCACGGGCCAGATGCATCACATGGAAGCTGGGCCCACCCCAGCTCTGGCAAGGGGAAAAAAATCAAGATACGACATGACACATCACGTGACACGGCAAGTTTGACACCCTTGCTCTAAGGCATTAGTCATTTACAAAGCATAGCAGCTGAATTCACACAACATATCAAGGATTCTTGGAGAGCAACTATCCCTGTTGGGTTCAAGCAAGGAATCAGCTTGGATTCACTATGTAAACGTAAGAGGGCTAGGTGTGATCTCCCCGAATGCTTTAGAGTTTTATCTGCTCATTTCCAGATGAGATCTGCCACTCTGGGGAGATTCCTGTGTAACAGGAAGAGAACAATGGGCTGAATTTCTTGGCCATGCCCATTCTGAAGAGCTCAAATCCTGGAAAACAAGCAGTAGAAGGCTGCACTTTTTATATATATCTTCATGTTTTGGCTTGTTTTGATATATGAATTATCATTTTTTTATGTTTCTGTCTCTCCTTTATATGGAAATAAAGTACTAAACTATCAGTGGATATTTTTCTTCCTTGGTACAGATGACAGAAATCCAGTTACTAAGGCACTGGTGTGCCAGAAAGCGGAACACACCTTTGCATTGATGCCTTGTGGTATCATGGACCAATTTATCTCCGTGATGGGGAAGGAAGGACATGCCTTGCTGATAGACTGCAGGTGAGAATGTGACAATAGTTGACTTCCAGTTCCAGAATACGGCAACGCTGGTTGTGCCTGGAAACTTCTCTCCAGGCTGTCCGGAGTTTCCTTCGCCGGTAGACCCCCTAGGGCAGTGTTTCCCAAACTTGACAATTTTAAGGCATGTGGACTTCAACTCCCAGAATTCCACAGCCAGCAACGCTGGCTGTGGAATTCTGGGAGTTGAAGTCCACATGCCTTAAAATTGTCAAGTTTGGGAAACACTGCCCTAGGGGGTCGAAAGTCGCCCTGGAGGGGCGACCACCGAGGAGGAAGCTGGCTGGTAGATAGGGGAGGGCAGCAGCTTCCCCCGAATCTCCAGCTTCTCCTTAGGGCCAACGGAGCAAAGATCGGCCTGTAAGATGGCCGATCACCCTGCTGTACCAGCCAAAAGTCATATCGTCATCTAAGCGTTAACGACCCACCGCAGATGATCCGGGTGAGATCCCTTTTGTTCCTCTCCATACCCCTGCTGTTTTTGCCTGTAGAAGCTGTTTGTGCTATCATTTCCCTGTCTGGAGAAAGTGGCTTTAGTAATTGTGGGAACAAACGCGTTTTACAAAAAGGACAGAAAAAACAAATAAATATTCATTTAAAGACTATACTCTATTCCTACTTACATTGTGCTGTAGAAAAAAACTGTTTTTTGTGTTTTTTGGAGTGGTATTACATCGGCAGAGTATTTCTTTTTCTATTCTCCCTTTAAAAGATAGAAAAAAGGAAAAAAAACTGATGTTTGAAGAAATTGTTTTAGCTCTCTGAGGACACCTACTGGTCAAAAGTTAATATTGGATTGTTGTTTATTTGGAGATGAGAGAGCTTTGGCCTTCAAACTGTTTTTCAAGAAAAAAGGTAATTTGAGCTAGCTGTGTGATCTGTGGGGGTAGATAATGTTCAACTGTAACCTTCACTAAAAAGGAAAAGGACTCTTCTTCAATTATTGCTAAAATAGAGAAGCCCCAATCACACTTAAATGTAAACTTATACTGGAAAAGATCTATGAGGCTAAAGAAGAAATATGTACTACAATAAAAGAGGCTACTACAGAACTAAGAGCCAGAATCTCTACTTTAAAACTTAAAACTGACTCCCAAACTACACTTGACTACTCTACAAAACAGATTATACAAGAAGAGATTTTAACTGAGGATAAGGAGAATCTTATTTTGCCTTACAAGCAAGACCAGGGAAAGCAAAGACCAAACTTTGGACTTCTGAAGCAACGAGGCTTTATGGACAAGAGAAACAGAGGATTAAATCAGAGATCAAGATGGTCGGTATCGAATCAAGCAACAAAAAGAGACCTATTATCTGGAAGGGAAGCCCTGTTATGGAAACCTACCTGGCAAAAGAGGAAAGCTAGAATAAGATTGAAAAATGAAATTTAAAATTTTTTAAATTGGATTAAAGGCAACCTAGAACTATGGACTGATGTAAGGACTGAGATTTTGAGTTTGAAGTAAAAAGATGTCTTAGAGTTGGAGTGAATCAATAATTAATTGAATGTTAATTAAATAAGACAACTTGTTTGTCCTATAACATGTGAAATTTAAACTTTACTTAAAGGATTGAAATGCTTTAAGGTTTGATATTAATTTGTTAATTCAAAGAGATTGATTAAGTGAAGGATTAGATATCTATAGAATAGTTTGATAAATACATATATTTAGATGTGTTTAGGATAGATTAATATTTTTGTTTAAAAACGAGATATCTTTCTATATAAGGGATTAAAGAAAATTTAGAATATCAGGAATGTTCCTTTTAGAATGTTTATTTCTATGAAAATTATGATGTAATGGAATGACAAAAATTGAAGAGATGTTTCAGATTTGAAGTGAACTAATAGTTAATTGAAATTTAATAAGATGATATGATTTTCTGATATATGGACATTATTAGTCATGATAATTAATTGGAGATTTGAATTTTGTTTAATAGAATGACATGATTTAAGGTATGATATTTTTTTAGCTTGAAGAGATAGATCAATTGATAGATTTGATAGGTACAGGATAGATTAATATTTTACTCTAAATAAGGGAGAGTATTGGAAGAAGAAACAAATAAAATTTTGATAAAATTAAGAAAGTAGAACATATGTGGAAGGGATATTTGAATTGAAAATGTTTTTATTTAAAGTTTATTTGATTATGGTAGAAATTGATGAAGCTTAAAAACAGGTTCAGGTTGAATAAATTTAAGCTAGAATTGGATATTCTAAATATACTATGCTATTTGAGGGAAAAAGAGAGGGAATATTTGACGTATTGATCATATTATGTATATATGTCTTGTTTTAAGATGTTTGATTACCCCAACACCACGGTGTGTCCTGAATATGTTGCTTTAAGAACTTAAAAAAACAATAAAATTTGTTTTTTTTTTTAAAAAAGAGTGTGACAATAGTCGTTCTCTTGTAACTACATAGAGAGATCTACGTAGTTACAAGAGAACATTCCATCTACGTAGAGAGATCACATCTCCACACATCAGTTATCTCATTTAACTAAGCTCACAGTATTCAAAAGAGAAGAATAATGTTGCTCTGTAAAAAAAAAAAAAACTTCCTGTAAAATTCTCAAAGGGCATTCAGATAACCTTTCCGCCTTAAGCACTGGATGAGTTGCTGAGGCTGGGGATAGAGCTAAATCCATATCCTTTAAGTTGATGTTTAAGATCCAATTTTTAATGATTGTATGAATATTTTTATAGAATATTAGACATTGTTAGAATATAACACACACCAAACTCATGTCCGTTTTAGAATTCAGAAAGCAGATTTAAAGTTTAAAGCGTTGAATCTGTAAAGTTGTTTTATGTGGGCAGTGCACTTTGGTTTCTAATGACAGCTCATTTCGATATTTCTTATGTATAAGTAACTAAACTCAGCAACCACCTTTAGCATCATTTCATGTGGTCTGGTTATGTCTTCTTGTTATTCAAGGTCCTTGGAAACTCGCCTGGTCCCTTTGACCGACCCAGACTTAGTTGTTCTCATCACCAACTCCAATGTACGACACACTTTGACAGGCAGCGAGTATCCCACGCGCCGGCGACAGTGCGAAGAGGCAGCCAAATTGCTGGGAAAGGCAAGCCTGAGAGAAGCCACCATGTCAGACTTAGAGGGTAAACATTATTTGGACAGGGTGTCTGTGTGTCAGCCTCCAGCCTTCAGAACAACTGAAGTTTTGTATCTCTGCTCCAGTGCAAAGGGAGTTGAAACGGAGAGAGGCAATTTGCATACTGGGCATATAGGTAGTCCTGCTCCTATAGCACAATTGGGACTCGCAACTCAAATCATTAAGCAAAGCAATTGCTAAGGGAAACCGTGACTGGGCTTATGATCTTACTTAAGCTTGCCTTTGCTTTACAGACCTGCAAAAGCTATAAATGCTAGGATGGACTGTAAAGTTACTTTTCCATGACTGTTATTAATTGTAGATGGTCATTGTACAAGATAATTCCTTGTACATGAGGACTGCTACCCGTACTGTCATACAGGAGGTGACAGAATGCACATTGGAAGCTCAAAACTTTCCACTCGGGGATCATTTTTAACCTTTCAGCCCTAATTGAATCTTGTTTCATTTTGTTTTTCTCGTCTTCTCTCTCCAGAGTCCAGGAGCCTCCTGAGTAAGGAGATGTACAGGCGAGCCAGGCATGTGAGTGGAGAGATTGAACGCACGGCTAGGGCAGCCGAGGCTCTGGAGGCCAGGAATTATAAGAGGTTTGGAGAGCTGATGGTAGAGAGCCACAATTCCTTACGGTAAGGCCACAGTCTGAAGCTGATGTACAGTCTAGGTTATTCCTTTTTATTTTTTTAAAAATTAACATTTACAGAATCAAAGGGCCAGTTTTGGATTTCCACGTAAAGATTTTCCTGTATGTATGTAGATTGGATGTACATGTACACCCAAGCTATTTATTGCAGAAGATCAAAACACCTGGTAGTCCTCGACTTACAATGGTTCATTTAATGACTGCTGCAGCATCCCCAATTGTCACGTGATTTACATTTGGGTGCTTGACAATTGACTCAAATTTATAACGGTTGTAATATAATAAGGTGACCAACCGTCCTCCTTTAGGGAGGACAGTCCTTCTTTTGTAAGTTCTGTCCTCCCTCTAAAAGTGTCCTCCTCCATGTCCTCCTTTTCGATATTTGAAGACTAATCTGCAGGGCTTTTTTTCCCCTCATAGAACGCTCAGAACGGCGTTCCGGCACCTTTTTTTGATGGTTTTTTTTTTTTAACTTTTGCATGAGCTGTGCTACTCCCACTATTGGCTTTCGAAAGCCAATAGGAATTGCTGCTGAGCGCGCCAAAACACCCGGCTGGCAAACTTTGCACATGCAAGTTGTCTGTATTATTGTTGCAATGAATAAAATGTTTCTTTTATTTACGATATTTTTTTCTTCAATTTATTTGTGTCCTCCTTTTCATTGTAAAAAAGTTGGTCACCTTAAATATAACGGTTGCAAAACTGCAGTGATTCACTTCGCAAGTATGGCAAGAAAGGTTGCAGAATGGGGCAAAACTCATTTAACAAATTTCTCACTTAGTAACATCAACTTTGGGCTCAATTGTGGTCATAAGTTGAGGACTACCACTATTGTACATCTATCGCATCTCTTTGATTTCACAGAATTAAGAACACCTTAATGTAGACCTACTATTTATTCCTCTTACATTCCAAATTACTACTGTTTGTGTATCATCAGAGGGACCCCTAAACACAATCTGTCATGCCTTTGGCCAGCTAAGACATATTTTTAAATAAAATAGAGAAAGTATAGACTAGATTGTCAGCCTTAATTATACTTGTTCCACATGGGACATTTCTTCCTAAGAGTAAATGAAGTCTGTTTGGCGTATCATATTCTTTTCCATATCCCATCAACAAAGATCTACATGCAGTGTAATGACATAGAGTTTATCTGTTGCAAGTGATATACTTTAATGCAGGGGTGGGCAATTAATTGTCCAAGAGGCTACATGAGAAATTGAGACTATTGTGGAGGGCTGAACCAACAGGGCTGTGAAGGTGCATAGGCACGAACACATGCACAAAGGTAAACTGAAAAAAAAAAATAGTCACCTTCAAAATGAAAGCAATCAGTTGTATTGTGTGTATAGTGTACACTTATTTACATTTGATTTCTAATTTCTGATTGATCTCATGCGGGCCGGACAGGGACAGCCAAAGAGGTGGATGTGGCCCAAGGTTGTAAAATGCCCAGCTCTGCTTTACTGTATCCCAAGGTGAGAATTGGGTACTTCTGTGATATCAACCCACGTCTATCATTATATTGATTAGGTCTACGAAACTCCTAACCTTCCCCCCCCCCTTGTGCATAGCTTCCTTCTGTATAGTAATTGACAATTTGGGGGGGGGGGGGTTCTCATTTTTGTTTAAAAATCACTTATTTTTTCCTTCCATCAGGGATGACTATGAAGTTAGTTGTCCAGAATTAGATGAACTGGTAGCTGCTGCCATGGAAGTTCCTGGAGTTTATGGTAGCAGAATGACTGGTGGTGGTTTTGGAGGTTGCACTGTAACTCTTCTTGAGTCTGGAGCTGCAGAAAAAGTTCTGAAGCATATCAAGGTATGTGGGGAATCGGGCTATAAGGATGGGCTGCTAGTTCAGCTCTCTAATTTCCAGCAGAGATGAGCAAAATTTTAACATCAGATTTTCTTCTTGGATTCTACGTTTAGTTCTTCTAGATAAAAAGCACTCTCTGTGAGGATAGATATATGTTAGAATAAAGGCTGTAATTGATGCATGCAACTATTTTTGATATCAGAAATTCCAGTAGGTTCATCAATAAATTTCATTCTTGAATTCAGTCCTATTTTTTTACCTGGCTGCCTTTTGTGGTCTAATTCCTCACTGTAAATCTAAGTACAGATTTTTATGAATCTGAACATATATCCTGAAGAGATGTATAGAGTATTGGTTTAGGGGTATGAGTGATATAAGGTATAAGACCGAAATAAAACATGAGGTTTATGCTGTGAAAATGGGTGTGTTCACAATCAAGCTAAGCCAATAGGAGGGCTCTTTGGGCCTGGCATGTTGTATGGACCCAGCTACAGCAACTTATAAAACATGATTTGTGCCTTAGTATAATGGGTGATCCGGGTGAGTAGCCACTATTGTTTTTCAAACAGATTATGATGGCACAGTGGTTATAATGCAGTATTGCAGACTAATTCTGCCCAGAGCCAGGAGTTTGATCCTGACTGGGATCAAGCTTGACTCAGACTTCCATCCTTCTGAGGTCAATAAAATGAGGATCCAGATTGTTGGAAGTAATATGCTGATGTTGTAAACTGCCCAGAGAGTGCTGTGGACTATGGGGAGGTATATAAGTCTAAGTGCTATTGCTATTGCTATGACTAAAGTAAGGCATAACTTATGTTAGGCTTATATCTTGCCCTATTAGCAAATATTTATTTTATTTGTTACAAAATTAAATGGTTTTATTAATTTTATTTAAATCAGCTAGTATATTTGGACAAGTGCTTTTGGATTGTTAAGATTGTTAAGATTATTGCCATTTCCAAAATTTAGATACTCAAAAATTTGCCTGCTTCAGAAAAATGATACATAACTAAAGTGATGAATTTAACAACAAATTTCATGTCCCGGTAGTCCAATTTAATCCACTGAAATGATATACCATCTCCAGAAATAGCTTTGCTTTAAAGATAGAGCATATTCTTGCTAAAATTCAAACAATGCTCTCTATAATTCTTGACAGAAAGGATAAGAATAAGTTACCTTGTTCTTAAAAATGAAATTGACTTGTTTGCAAGTTGACAGTTTGCCAGAATACAGGTGTTACATTTTGAACAAAGAATCTAAATAGATTAAGAGGAATTGTTTCTTGATTACAGGCACTAGTGATTTTATTAATAATACTGCAGTTGGAAAACAATATCAGAACATTTTCCACTAAGGTCAAATTCACCAAAACAGGAGTTATTTATCATTTTACTATGTTTTTTTTATAATTAGTTTTATTTGATTTGTAGTCTCTGATAGATAACCTTTATTATCATTTTTTATTATGGGCACACTGGCGCACATTAAAAATGATATTCTGTTGCCTGCTCTCAGAAGTGTACACATACATAACACACATATAAACATGCTATATACAACATATGTATATACCTGCACCCTTACATATAAATACAACACAGCTGAACAGAACTGCTATTAAGTAGAAAAGCTTCCAGCATCTGTGTTATGGTACAAATCTAGGTTGCACACAGCACGAATGAGTGCATAAAACATTGTTTTATTTTGAACATGAAACAAAATTTTGTATCCTGGAAGTTTTGCTGAACCATTTTGGATCAATTATGGTTTAACACACACACACAAAAGAAGGCAAATCTAAAATGTTTGTGTTGTTTCAAGTTTCAATCTGAAACAAACCTTGTAGGATCCCAGAATTATTTTAAGAAGTGAATATAGCCAGAATGGTGCACATAGTAATAGTAGTAAAGTTGGAAGGGACCTTGGAGGTCATCTAGTCCAACCCCCTGCTCGGGCAGGAAACCCTACACCATTTCGGACAAATGGCTGTCCAGTGTCTTCTTAAAAACTTCCAGTGTTGGAGCATTTACTGCTTCTGGAGGCAGGCTGTTCCACTGATTAATTTTTCTCACTGTCAGGAAGTTTCTCCTTAGTTCTAGGTTGCTTCTCTCCTTGATTAGTTTCCACCCGTTGCTTCTTGTCCTGCCTTCAGGTGCTTTGGAAATAGCTTAATTCCCTCTTCTTTATGGCAGCCCCTGAGATATTGGAATACTGCTATCATGTCCCCCCTTGTCCTTCTCTTCGTTAAACTAGACATACCCAATTCTCGCAACCGTTCATTATATGTTTTAGCCTCCAGTCCCCTAATCATCTTTGTTGCTCTTCTCTGTACTCTTTCTAGAGTATCAACATCTTTTTTACATCGTGGTGACCAAAACTGGATGCAGTATTCCAAGTGTGGCCTTACCAAGGCATTGAAGAGTGGTATTAATACTTCACGTGATCTTGATTCTATCCCTCTGTTAATGCAGCCTAGCACTGTGTTGGCCTTTTGGGCAGCTGCCGCACACTGCTGGCTCATATTTAAGTGATTGTCTACTAGGACTCCGAGGTCCCTCTCACAGTTACTACTATTGAGCATGGTGCCACCTATGCTGTACGTGTGCATTTGGTTTTTCTTGCCTAAATGTAGAACCTTGCTTTTTTCACCATTGAATTTCATTTTGTTAGTTAGTGCCCAGTGTTCAAGTCTGTCCAGATCCTTCTGTACCTGAAGCCTGTCTTCTGGAGTGTTGGCTATTCCTGCCCGCTTGGTGTCATCTGCAAATTTGATGAGTTCCCCATCTATCCCTTCATCCAAATCGTTGATGAAGAGGTTGAAGAGTACTGGGCCCAGAACAGAGCCCTGGGGCACCCCACTACACACTTCCCTCCATATAGATGCAGTTCCATTGAGGACCACTCGCTGAGTACGGCCGGTCAGCCAGCTACGGATCCATCTGGTGGTGGTTCTGTCTACCCCACATTTTTCTATCTTGTCAAGTAGTAGGTTGTGATCTACTTTATCAAATGCCTTACTGAAGTCCAAGTAAATTATGTCCACAGAATTCCTCTGATCCACTAATTTTGTCACTTGGTCAAAGAATGCAATAAGATTTGTCTGGCATGATCTATTTTTGACAAACCTCCTCTCTCCTCTCCTCATCCACGTAGCATATGCACTGGCCTATCTCTCCCTCCATCTTCTCAGCATCTAGCCTGCCTCTCTCTGCCTTCCATCAGCCATGACCTGTCACAAGTGTATTGGCCTATGTGCCTGCTTATTCCTGAGATGATCCCAGCAGGAAGAAACAGGCTCCAAACATATCCTTCTGGATCCTGAATTCCCAGCATCTTCCTTTCCTCCTCTGCCTGTCTCCAGCCACTGATGATAATGTCACACCCTCTATCTGCCTCTCTTTCTCTCTCAGCAAAATCTGAGCATTAAGGAAAACAAAAGTCAATCTTGGATTTCCCCCCCCCCCTTCTTGCTGCCCATTGTAAACCACATTTGTCCAGAACTACCACATTTCAATCCATACTGGAATGAAACACCCTAATTTTGTTCTGTATATAGACCAGAACCTGCATGTATGGAATATTTTTTAGATCTCTAATGTAACACTATTAATTGTGAGGGAAGCATTTTTATGTCTTTAGAGGAATGAAATAGAAAGTGTCTGTGTGTGAGAAAGAAAGATGTTAACAACATTTAGCATCGATAGATGAATTTAGTTCTGAGGAGAAAAGTCTATGCTGGGGAGCATAGAAACTATCTTGGTCCAACTGCTGCTTATCTTCCCACAGTTTCTTTCTTAAGAACTGTTTCTTTCTGCTACTATTAGAACTGTTGTTGTTTGTATAAAAAGACTTCAGTTCAGACACAGGCAATCTGCTGCCTTCTGGGTGTCTAATTCCTTGACATTGGCAGTTTTGCCTACAGTAGATAGAAGACCAGAACATTTGGAAGAAACCAGGTTGTCCATTCCTGGCTTAAATGTCCATTATCAGCATATGTTTTCCATTGCTAAATTTGCTGTTTGAGAAAACTCATATGCTTGCTGATAATATCTTTGGCTTCCCCCCCCCCTTCAATTGTGTCCGATTATTGGAGACTGTTTGAACACGTCTTTGCAGTTTTCTTGGCATGGTTTTTCAGAAGTGGTTTATCTTTGTTTGCTTCGCGGGTCCGAAAGTGAGTAGCCCAAGGTCACCCAGCTGGCTATGTGCCTAAGGCAGTACTGGAACTTATAGTCTCCTACTTTCTGGCCTGAAGCCTTAACCATTGCACTAAAATGGTTCTTGTTTTCGGTTTACCTCTTAAGAATTGTCGTCTGACTGATATAAAGCCATCCGTTATGCCCCAAGTCAAATTTCCACACTTGTGAACTCCCCCCCCCCCGATATATTTTGTGTCCCTTGATCATTCAGATAATTGCATATCATGATTTTTCCTTTTATCAATTAGGACAAATACAGCAGGAGAGCGACATTTTATTTCACAAAACCCGCTGATGGATCTAAAGTGCACCTCCTGTCTTGAAAGCTCTTCCGCCTGGTCTATAGGATTCACTGCTGTACTAAGAAAAACATGATGCTTTGGGACAGCCTCCCTGGACATTAGCTTGGAGCAAAGACTTGACTTCTTCCATAAAAGGGAGCATCAGTCACAGATCAGTGAAGTCATTGAAAACCTGTGCGCGCACACAGATGGTTTTTTCTTTCAACCAAGAGCCCCAAAGAGATTTTTTTTGTCTCCTTTACAAGACAGTTTGGAGCACAAAATTTCCTTTTCAGTGAAACACTGTGATGAGTTTGACTAAATAGTCCTTGATTTCTGCATACAATTTTCTATAAGAAGTTCCTTCAACAATCTGGATGGAAATACTGGGTCGGACAAAGTCTGGCATAAACTCCACAGCTCCAAAGCAATTCCTTTTTTAATCTTCCTAAGTAGAGACTAATGGAACTAGGCTTACTCCTTTAGATTGTGCTCTAAGTATTGCTTCTATTCTTTCCTTCCTGCTTACCCATTAATGAGCCATCTTCCAATAGTGAATTATCCACTAAACATCTCTTGAATAGAGTCACTTTGTGATGAGTTTCTCTATTGCATTCCATATTATCATTTGTTAATGACTAGGACAGGCTGATGTGAGATAATACCCTCAACCCATATAATTGGTATAGTTAAGTGTTGTGGTAGAAAGTGACAACTGTAGTCAGTCACAGTGAAGTCAAAATAAAACAGGCATCATAATGTCTATGAGATGATGTGATTGTGTAATTGCATCATGACTTCTGATGCAAAATTGTGTTATTTGTATGATGCCATGATGCATGTATCTTTTGTCTCCCCTCCCTCTGCCCAAATTCTGATCCAATGGACATATGTAATTAAATTAAGTAAAATTTACAGTAATGATAACCTTTCTTGCAATATGATTTTCAACTTAAAGTAATTGGCTATGCTCCCTTGTATGAAACCTTCATGTGGTTAATTGGTTTTCATTTTAGCATGATATTGATCCAGCATGATTTGTAAACGTTATGCATAAGCACAATGTCTTAATAAATCAGGGTTAAACACATCATGGATTAGTAATGTGTAAGCCCAGCCAATACCTGGTTAATATCAACTGTTCATTAACCAGATTTTAAATTATCAAATACCTAGCCTGTGTTATCATGTAAAGCTTAGTGTTTTGTGCAGCCATTATATCCCAACAGTACTATTTCAACTGTATGTTTTGCAATGGCAACAGTTGCGTTAAAAATGAGCTTCAGCTGGGCACTTAAATGCATTCACAAAAATCATTCAATTATTCTTCACATATAACTCAGCTACTAAACAGATGCAAACTTAACTTTTTCCTAATAATATTTTTTAAAGACAGATCACATTGCTATTAATGCTAATCTTTAATGCTAATCTTGAGTACCTTATCCTTTCAACTATAGCCATTTTAGTAACATTTTCAGTAGAAGTTATATATTTTGCTTGTATTGCCTAAGCCTATTGAGGTTTAGGTCTGTATAAGATTTGCATCGTTGCCCTCATTAGCAATCAAGGGGTTTTTTTTACACATAGCATATTTGGAAATAAAAAAAACAACTGTGATCATAGAGAAAATGTTTATTAAGTGCAATACAAAGCCATCTGGTCCAAAGCACCATCTGTCAGATCTCTGAAATACTGAAACTGCATATGTACTTAATTCCATCAACCTCTACAAGCTGTAATGATCTACAAACATGTAATTTATATTATAATGTGTTTTTCATTATACATCAGTGAAAGCATAGGATGCCTTTTAAAACTTCTATTTAGAATGATTATGTTACTAAAATATGGCCAATAGATACCTCCAGGGACTCTTTGGATTATACCAAGATGTATGGCTCTTATGATGAGGGAAAAGTTTATTAATCAGTAGTAAGAGTTTGCAAGAAACTGGAAATCATATCAGAAAAAGAAATGGGAAGCTCTGGAGATAAAAATTCATGCAGCTTTTCCTAGGAAGAAATTATTTGGAACTCCCTTACAAAGGATCCAGGAAATCATTAATCCTGTTGAATACTAAAGAAATCTCGCCCTTTTAAAAGGCAGTCTGGGAACTTTAACAATATGATTCACAGCACTGAATATGGGATTCTAAGAGCTCAAGATTGAAGCATTTTACCTGAATGGCCCAGCTGCATTACTCTTCCTACTGGCATTGATAAGCAAATGTTTAGTTTCAGGAAATGTTATGTCCATCTGTTCTGAGAACCACACACAACTATGGGGCAAGTCGTGGGGTGCAGGATAAGCCAGTTAGAGTTACCCACTCCTTGCGTGATGATTGGTACTGATGAATAAACTCATTTAGATCAGGGCTCTCCAAACTTGTCAACTTTTAAGACTTGTGGACTTCAACTCCCAGAATTTCTCAGCCAGCATGGAGTTGAAGTCTACAAGTCTTAAAGCTGAAAAGTTTGGGGACCCCTGATTTAGATGGATAAGCTGCCACATAATTGTATTCAGACTTTCTCAGTGAAGAATTCCTGGGCAGTTTCTGAAAAATGCAACCACAGCCTTAACATTAATTTGAATTTCAGTTTGTTTCCAGATGGATGGGTCTTAGGATTATTTCCCCCTCCCCCCCCCCAAAAAAAAACATCATGACATGATTCTATCATTGTCAGTTTACCAGTTTTTATGTGGTTGAAAAAAACAAGACGGAACAAGTAGTAGAAAAATGCATGGAAAACAATGACATTTGGACTATGACTGAGGCTGTTGTAAATGCACCATAAGAGCCTCATTCAAAAGTAACTAAATTGTTGGCTAAAAGAAACTCAGTTTATTTTGAGGGCTTCCTCTGTAATGATATTATCCATAGCACAAAACCAAATATTTGACACTAAAGTTCGAACATTGCCTTAATTGTCCCCATGTTGTATCAAGGATTTTTTGGAAAAGGTTTTACAGGTAGTTCTTATTTAGCAATCACAATTGGGACCAGCAACTTCGTCCTTAAGGAAAGCAGTTGCTAAGTGAAACTATCTCTGCTTGTGCTCTTGCTTTAGCTGTCATAAATATGAGGATTGGTCATAAAAGTTACTTTTTCATCACGGTTGCAACTGTAAATGGTTGCTAAACAAGGCAGTTAAACAAGGACTACCTGTATTTACAGTAGTGGCCAAAATTGTGGAAACCTTTTGGGAAAAGTGTATTTTTGAGGTTTGATGGCTAATAACACCACTTTTTTTTTGGAGTAGCACCATGAATTTATATATCAATTGAAAGATAATTTAATCAAGAATGTAATGCAACATAGTTTGTTCAATTATCTGTACTGTATTCTATGAAAAGTTATAGCCAAATAACCAGAAAAAGGAAGTACAACGTGCTTAGGTTGATATCAGGTAGCTTTCCTTCATCTGATTGTAGCCAATGAGCATGAGTGTTTAGAGAGCCAATCAGGTATCATCTTGTTTAGGCAATGGGCCAGTCAGATCACAGTAGGATTCAGTTATTGATGTCATGTATTAAAGCTGACAGGAGGACATTTGTCAGTGTGTTATGTGATTGCTATCAAGTTGGTTGGGTTTTTTTGTGTTCTTTCATTTAGTGAGCTTGTAAAACGTAATAAAATTAAAGTAATGCTACAAAGAGTTGACTGATTGCCCAAAAAGCGATGTAAAATAGTATTATTAAGCGAACAAGGCTACAGTTATAAAGAAATTAGAAGAAAAATTGGTGGCAACTTAACCAAAGGTGGCATTTCTACTGTATACTTTTCCCAAAGTATTTCCACAATTTTGGCCACTACTGTATTTTAGCAACCTTACATCATAAAATAGGCAACAGTATTTTTGTTAATCTGCCAGTGAGTTCCTATATACTGCACAGCAGGGGATTGTACTTACCATACATACAACAATTAGACTAATTCCCCTGCATTGCAAGAAATGTATGTGACAAACAGGATGTTATCGGAGCTCAGAAGAAAAAAAAACTGAGGATGATCTTAACATCAACAAAGAGGAAACAATCCAGTTAAAATATGCAAAGTTAAAAGGAATGGTCTGAGGTAAAGATTTCAAACCAAATCCAGAGCAGCAAAGCAGATACTTATGAGTTGGACTCAAGAGTAGAACTAGCCAAGAGAGTTTTATAACCAAGTATTCTGCTAAAAGCTCCTTTCACAAGATGCTAGGTTACCAGCTAGGCTGTGTGCAGATACCACCTGGTGGTATTTCAAAAGCAGTGGCCAGTGAGTAGCTTTGGGGGCTAATGGAGCACAGAGGATGCCATCTGCTTCCATCTGAAAGATGGCCACAGAACATGTTGTTGAAATTTGAGTGTCTTTTTGGCAGTTTCCTTGTGGATTTAAGCTTCATAGAATTGTCTCTCTGTCTGTCTGGAGAATGTCCCACTATTGCTGGACATTGTGCTGGTGATGTATTCTTTGGTGATCTGTTTGGTAAGGGTGCCGCCACTCTCCACTCGCTGAGTAGTCATCAGCATCCCATCTGAAATGAGGGAGTCAAATAAAGATTGCATAAACAGCAACTTCCCAGTGGCTAGATTTGCAGATCATACTTAAAGCATAACATTGACCGTTTGAGTTTTGTTGAGTATGTGGTGTAAACCCTGGTTTATAAAAGTGCATTTTGCAAATCCTGCTAATTCTGGTTTATTCACTAAACTGTCATTAAATGATGGGTTATGTACGTTAAATCTGGGTATGTGCATAAACACATGGCCATGCGTATGTGAAAGCTTACATAGTTTATTTTTTGTTTTGTAATCACTAAGCATCACTTTTACGACTTCTGCCCCTGCACGGGGATCTGTTTAGGAACACTCTAGAGCAGGGGTGTCAAACTGCCGGCCCGTGGGCCGGTTTCATCATACCGAAGCCGCGCCCACCCCATTGCCAGCAATGCAAAAAGAGTCGCAATACGTCACGACACATCACATGAGATGGCGGGTTTGACACCCATGCTCTAGAGCCATTTATCTGATACCCCCTAGACCTGTTTAGGCACTTGGGAAAGAGTTAAGCCCCCTTAAAGGTAGTAAATATTCCAGCCCTTCCTGAAGTCATGCTTCTGATATCATCTAAACGACAGACCTCTTTCCTGTGAAATCATCCATAACCTAAAAAGTTTTACATATAAAGCAACATGGACATCTGTCTTAAAAGAGCTCACAGGTGCAAATGCAGGCACTCAATACTGTTTGTGTGATTAATATAATCCTTTCCAAAGGGCCTGAATAGTGTTGGGGTGCTGGTTCTAGTGTGCTTTAAGTAAAAGCTGAGTTTTCTTGAATAATATTGGGCAGAAGTCTCAATTTAATTTTTGCATCAAAAAAGCAATTATTTAACTTAGAAATAACTGCTCTGGTCTTAGCAGTGATAGGAGAGTTTCCTCATATTATGAAAAGAATACAGTACCATTCAGTAAAGCTATGTATGAAAAGACCTGTTCTTCCATCTTTCTGGGGGGGGGGAGGGAAATCTCTTTATTTTTTTATTTTTATTTTTGAAGTAGATTGGAAAACAAGGAAAGAGGCATAAAGGACCACATTCTCTTAACATCAACATAAACATAACTTCAGGAATAGACTGGATTCCTTTCATTTAACTATTTCCGAGTAAAGATTTAAACCTTCCCCTTGTGATCCCAGAGTAGAGATTCAGGTTTGTTCTCCTCTCAGATGAATCCCAGATACTATTCATTAACACTGTTCCAAAGATCTCAGTGAGGTCATTGAAAATCAAGGCATCCCCTATTTCCATCATTCCCTTTTTTTACCTGCATATAAAGGATCCAGTAGGGAATGAGTGATGCTTGTTTGGGTGTTGTATTCTGTAGGGAGATTGAATACTTCCTCCCTGGTGAATTGATGTGTTCCATATTGAGAGAATACTCCTGAAGCAGAAAGAATTGGGGGGGGGGGGATGTAATTCAACGCTTGGATATTTAATTCTCATTCCATCTAATATTATAAAAAATGACTCTGAGAAAAAATACAAGAAGGTGGTGTCTAACGTAAAGCAAAACATTTGTTTTCACAGAGGCATACAAAGCTCTATTCTTTCAAAGACCAAGATGACAAAAAATTATGTTACCTTATTTCCAACTAATCTTCCTAAATATTCAGTTCATTTATTATTTCTCATTTATCATCTATCTCCCATTGAATTAAAATGGGGATGGCAACAGCTTCAAAAGCAGAAACTTGTAAAAATAATTTGCATTACCATGAAGATCAGTTTTCTACTCAGTAAGAAAACATAATTTAGATTATTTAAAATGTCTACCCGTACATGATGTTAAGGAAAAACTGATTTACTGTTCAAGATGCTATATACTCCCATATATTACATTTACACAAATTGGGTTATGAGAGCCCAACTTTGACATATCCATATTAACCTAGCTTTGGGTTTTGGATGCCTTACCAACTGTTCTTTAAGAACACATTCATGTGAGCATTTTTTTTTTAATTTCAAAAGACTTATAGAGCTGCTTATATTGTAACAACTCTGGATAGTGCAGAAAACATTAAAAACAATCAGAATACAAAGTCAGTGAAAACTACAAAAATCCATGGAATCCTGAGACCAAACTTTCCCATACATCTAAGTGTCACCTTACTGGATTCCAGCCTCGTCCTATCCAATGCTTGTGGCAAGAGCCAGCATTTTCAGAGCTTCTAGAACAGGGGTGTCAAACTCACAATATCACGTGATGTGTCGTGATGTATCTCAACTTTTTTTCCATTGCTGCAACGGTGTGGGCGCGGTTTTGCCATGACACATCCATCCCGCGGGCCAGCAGTTTGATACCCCTGTTCTAGAAGTTAAGGAGTATGGGGGCCTGCTGGATTCTGGGAAAAGGGTGTTCCACAGTACAAGGGCAGCTGCAGTGAAGGCATACTTCCTAGGCCCCACCAGAGAACAACATTTAAGGGAAGCAACGTGAAGTATGCTTATCCCTATCTGTCCTTCTGATCTCCAGCCCAAAGCTAAGGCCATTGAATTTTGGGTTTTTCACACCTGATTGGACTGTGCAGTGTTTTACACCTTCTCTGGAAACCAGCTTTGTTACAGGTACAATCTTCAGAACTTCAGAGATTACTGTGATGGCTAAGCAAAGCTTGACATCTGCTCAGTTTTTATTGATCACTTCTTACTAGTTCCTAGTGACACTAGTGACATACAGTCCTAGTGGATAATTACTTAAATATGAGTCAGCAGCATACGGCAGTAGCCAAAAAAGCCAACACAATCCTAAGTTGCATTAACAGAGGGATAGAATCAGGATCATGTGAAGTATTAGTACTGCTTAGTAAAGCCTTAGTAAGACCACACTTAGAATACTGCATTCAGTATTTGGATCCTGCATCCAGTATTTTGGTCATAAAAAAAGATGTAAAGGTCTGGAAAGAGGGCAGAAAAGGGTGGTGGTGGAGGCTAAAACATGAACAGTTGCAGGAATTAGGTTTGTCTAGTGAAAAGAAGGAGTGGGGGTGACATGTTAGCAGTGTTCCAATATTTAAGGGGCTGTCACAAAAAAAAAAGGGGGGGGGAAATCAATCTATTCTCCAAAGCACCTGAAGGCAGGACAAGAAGATGGAAACTAATCAAGGAGAGAAGCAACCTAGAACTAAGGAAAAATTATCTAAAGTGAGAACAATTAACTAGTGGAACAGCTTGCCTTCAGAACAGCTTGCCTCCAGCTCCTTCACTGGAGGCTTTTAAGAAGAAACTGGACAACCACTTGTCTGGAATTGTATATGGTCTCCTGCTTGTGCAGGGGGTGGACTAAAAGACCTCTAAGGTTCCTTCCAACTCTGTTAATCTATTATCCTGCTCTCCTCCAGTTGCTGGCAACTCGCCTTTGTAGCCATTTCAGGTTAGGCAGCAGGAGTAATCAGGCACCACCCATTTGCCCATGGAACACCAGACCAGAGCCAGCACTGGTTATTCCTATAATTTGTACTTTACAGTATGAAAGGAAAGAGGAACTGAAATTTTGTAATTTTTTTACACCTTGGTTGACAATGTGCCCATAACAGCACACCAAGAAGAACAGGTGATAGAAGTACTTTGGCGCCAAAGCATACCTGCGTCTTGAGATTCAATGGTGATAATACCCTCTCTTTCAGGGCCAAAGCCTTGAGTGGTCTTGGCTTGCACTTTGAACTTATATGGAACATTTTCACTCAGGTAAGGCACTGTAAGGGTGGTCTCTGGGTTATCCCCCTCCACATAGATAGTCCTGGGTTCCCCTGAGCAGACAAAAATAAAAACAACAGGTAGGAATAATACATATCCACCCATCCCCTCCTCTTGCTAGATGCTTCATTTCAGGTGATTTTGGTTATTTTATGCAGCCCGGGGCTGTCCCACTTTCTTCTATAAATTGGGAAATGCTATGCTTTAGCCGGGGAAGCGCTGCAACTGAAGTGGGATGTGTTTCAAAAGGCTAACCTACCTCCACCTTGCAGGGTCTCACAAGTGACCATGTAGCCCAGAATTAAGCCATTGGGTTGGCGGGGTCTCTCCCAGCTTAGCTGAAGCGAATCTGGACTCAGGGCTGTGAATACGAGAGGCCCTGGGGCACTGGGAGTGCTCAGGGTAAATGGTGACCCTATCAAATAGAGAAGAATGGTCAGAGTCCTGTTAAAGAGAAAATCAAACCAGTAGCAAGTAGAAGTTCAAAGATTTAGAACAGTAAAGCATTTCACCTTTTCTAATATCTTACACATTTGTTGCTTTGTTGAATCAAGAAAACTAACCCAATTAAACTTGAAATTTACAGGAATTAAAATACTACTCAAGATTCAGTATAATAGTGGATGAATGTAGGATTGGCACTGGGGAAGGCCAGATTTAACTTCTTACTCAAGTTGACTTGCCCTTCTCTCTCTCTCTCTCTCTCTCTCTCTCTCTCTCTCTCTCTCTCTCTCTCTCTCTCTCTCTCTCTCTCTCTCTCTCTCTCTCTCAGCCTAACCTATCTTAATTTTAAGAGAAGATGACACTTCCCAAAAGAAAGGTGGAATATGAATAAAGACTACATGCATTGTTTTCATGAAGAGTAAGCACAGATCTACTTCGAACCACTTTCCCCAAAAGTGCAGCTCAAAAATCAACATTTGGAAAAGTAGTAGCATATCTATGAAATTATAAACACTTCAAAACAATTACCTGGCACAGGACTGAGAGGACTGCGTGGATCCACCTGTGACTCAATAGTTATCACACCTTCTCTTTCTGGACCCCATCCCTCATCACTTTGGGCCTTCACTTTGAAGACATAGGAGTGGTTAGGTAATAGATCATCCACTACCACAGAGTTCTGCATTGGATTGGGAATTGTAAGTCGTTTTATTTCGCCTAAGAAATAGGAGAAAAAACAGCTGTCAATCCCACAAACTATGATAATCAAAACTGCCATTTCTATTGGCAGAATAGGCACTGGTAGTGAATGCAGTAAGCTGAATGCTACAAGTCACATCTTGAGGCAACCATGTGTATAATCTTTTGTTCAAAACCAATTGTGAATGTTTCATGTAAAATTCTTCACAGATGATCAATGCCCTTCATTTTACGATACTTCAAAAGAAAAACTGCATCCTTGTCTCTTTTGTAACACATTATCTCAGAGAAAATGAAAAGAAAACTAAATCTATCAATTCTGTCTGTGGATTATTTGGGAATTAAGGATTTTACACATTTTGAACTTAGTGTTTTTCATCAGGACCCAAATTCACATTACCCCAGTGGTGGGATTCAGCCAGTTTGCACTGGTTCAACAGAACCGGTAGCTAAATTTTTGTTGACTTTGGCAAACCGGCTGAAGCCCTAGCCCTTTTTCGCAAGGCCCAGAACAGACCTCTGGAAGTGTGTGGATGCTGCTTCCAGAAGTCCATTCTGGGCCTTCCGGAAGACGCCACTTCCGGAAATGGCGTCCATTCAAAGAATCGGTTGTTCATGTATTTGAATCCCACCACTGCATTACCCCTATTCCAGTCAAACAGCTCTCTTCTAATAGATCCTTAGATGATATATTAGGAAACAATATTTATTTATTTATTTATTTATTTATCAAATAAATAAACTGTCCATTCCCCTCACAGAGGGTCTATGACGATTCTGCCCCTGCTATGGTGTGTGGAAACATCTGTAAAACATCAGGACAGAGAAATCTGAGCAGTTTAGAAACAGGCCTCAGTAATAAGAAACACCATTTTTTTGGGGGGGGGGAGGGCTGTTCCATGTTACAAACCATGTTCTGATCCCTCTAAAATGGTGCCTTTTGACAAAACAGGATTTTAAGTATATATTTCCAAATCCCACTTTCACCCTAGAGAGAGCTTCACTGACCTCCACTGAGAAGCTGGTATTGCACACTGTATCCTTGTACTTCTTTATCACAGTGGGGTTCCTGCCAGCTGACTTTCAGGGAGGTTGGCCCCAGGGCAGAGAACACCAAGCGAGTAGGAGTGTCCGGAACATTCAGAAGCTGCATTCTAGAATCTGAGACAGACCAGAAAATAGCAGGATTAGATTTGAAGGCAGGGAAAAGACCAAATGCAATCTTCTACATCAGAATGTAGCCAGAAGAAATAAGGGGAACAGCATTGGGCACTGAATGAAAAAAGTGTCTTGGCTGCATTACCTGATAACATATAGCAGGAAAAGAAGAGGAGATTTGAGTTTGTCAGGGAAGCAATTCTTTTTCTTGTCCCCAGGTTCTAGATCCCCAGGGCATGGCAAGGTTCCAGCTGGAGGTTAGATTAAACTCACCCACCCAGACAAACCAGGGCCTAGTCAGAACTTCATGGACATCTTCAGAGTGAGTGGCCTGGCCTTCTGAGGCTGAGGAGGACAAAATGTACCTTGGACTGTTCATTTTGCAGAACTTTTGCTGCTCTCTAAGCCTGGTTGTTTGCTTGCAGACATTTCATTACCCAACTAGATAACATCATTAATGTGAGTGAGTGGGGGTTTTGCTATCTTTTTATAAATAGTAGCTTGCCTTGACAGTTTGGATGGGAATGTAATTTCCTCCTTGGTGGTTTCTTGATTAGAATATCATTTTTTTGCCTGATTGTTTGTCTTGTGTTAAACCCTGCTTATCTGAATATGGGCTGTTGGAGGGAATGTATTCTAGTCTTTTTGTTTCATTCCTAAGCTTTTTCTTGGGTTTTTTTTTTGAACAGTGCATAAATATGGTTTATTTCTGTATGTTTACTGATGGCTGATTTGTCTGAATGTCCTAGGAATTCCCTAGCATTTTTCAATTTGGTTTATGAAGTTAATAGTTTCCCAGTTCAAAGTGAGAAACTGAGTTGGCTGTATTGTGAGATTAAGGAATTGTCTGTGGAGATTCTCAGTCATCCAGGTCATAGTTGTCCCAAAGGTGCTTTTTCAAGAGGCAACCGAACTTTGTTTTTTCTTGAAGATGTTTTGCTTCTCATCCAAGAAATTTAAGATTAAGTTCTTGTTGTGTCTTTCCACTGCTAGTTGGTGTTTCTGAATGTGCTCTGCTAGTCTTTTGCCTGTCTGGCCTACAAAGTGGCTTTTAAAGTCCTTACATTGTTGTTGTAAATGACTCCTGCCTTTTCTGTTTGTTTTGCCCTGTTATTCCGAATGGGAAGGGAACAATTAAATATAATCATAATGGTAGTTGTTCTGCACCCTTGAGAAGTGGAAGACAAAACTATATAGCAATTGTTATTTGAACTACAGCAATTCCTAGAATGTCTCCACCAGGAGATATGGAATTGGTTTCCATGCAAGCTCAAGCCAACCCACCAACGTTTGCTTATCTTCTTGCATCTAGGCAGAGCAGTCAGGAGAGAAAAATCTAAAGCATTTTGCTTCCTCCTTAAAAGATTAGACTCATCTGACCAGACAACCCCTTCCTTTTGTGGAATAAGAAGTTTCCCTCTCTTCCAAATATTTATTTTGGATGCAAGCAAGGTGCTTTCCTTTCTACTGAGGACTAGGTAGTTTCAAAACCAGAGGGAATAGCTGTAATTATAAGGTTGTGAGCTATAATAAATGTAAGCCATGAACCTCAGCAACTCCTTAAACTATATAAATATGCTTTAAAAGGAACATATTGCAATATTTGCCTGTTATGGTCTGGGCAAATGGACATGGAGACACAGAAGAATTGCAGATTGCTAAGGATACTGCCTGAGCACTAACTCCTTTGAGTATGTAATATAGTAATTGAAGTGATGTAGTTAGAACATGAAAGTCAACAAAGTCAAAGAGATGAAAGGTTAGAAGGGAGACCAAATTAGCACATGCACCCAAGCAGGTCTACAAGCAAAGCCACTTGAAGGAACTTAACATGAATAAATTAGCAGTTTATGAGATTTAATCACTTAATTTTAATGTTTAATCATTTAAACAGCCTTGCAGATGATTAGCCATGCTATGCCATTTGTTGTACCTAGATATTTGGAAATCCAAGAAGGCCCATCAGTCATGACTATAGAATCCCGAGCATCACTGCTGTCAGAGTAACCCATCACATTTGCCCTCCTAAAGCCCACATCCTGTGGGATCTGGGGTATCCTTCTACTTTCTTCACACATGGGAGAGAAAACATTCTTGGATGGGTCTAAAGGACATGCCAAAATAGAGAGAAAGAAAGACACACCATTGAGAGTACCAGAAAAGATTGCAGCACCAACACCAGGCACCGTGACTGAAGGAATAGCCTTAGAAAAAAGGATTTTTTTTTTTTCCTATCTAATGCTAACTGGTATGAGAGACTAAGTGAGAGAGAAAGAGCTCAACTAACTGAAATCTCCTTCTGATAGAACACTGAACATTCTCAAATCGCTAACAGATTAACACACATTAGTCACCTACCATGTCCAGACACCGTAGTATACTCTCTTGTTAGCGATGAGTTTCCGATCACTCTTCTCTCGTGGTATACATGTGGACTTAGATGATTTCGGGTTAAACTTCCACTACCAGCAGGGAAGGCAATATCCAGTCGGCCATTCATCAGATGTTCTGGAAATTATTCAATTTGCTGCAGTTAACATCCATAACCAGTGGTATGCATCTCAGCCAAGTTAATTAATATGAGATTTGACATAAAGATATCTTAGAATGCTTGGGCTCACAGTCTGTGCTAATAATGTGGTTTTGTTTTTATTTAGAGAATTCAAACACTACGGTTCATATATCAAGATTCATGGTAGCATGCTGTATGAAATCAGCCAACTGAGGTTACATTAACCAATCCATGTTTAAACAAAATACAGTAAACGGCTCAGTAAGATATGTGAATTCAAAGTTTCTGGTATCAAAATGTAACCAAGTGCCTCCAATAATATTGACTTCAGTTGTATTATTTCCAACCAGATATGTTGGTTGCAGATTAATGGGATTCAAAGCTGAAGACATCTGAAGAGCATCAGTTTGGGAAACATTGACCTCATCTTTATTCTGCTCCTTATCTGTAAAGTACATTTTGGGGCTCCATAAGAACTAACATCCCTTGTGTCACATCACTTAAACCCACATTGCACAAAGAAACATCATTATCAGAATTAAACAAACTGAAAGAACCAATAGTAATAGAGCAAGGGTTAGTTAGGTCAGAAGATGGCTTCATGAATGCCAAATGATGTACCAAATACTAAAGGACATTATATTCAAGTAATGCTATAATTGTTTGAAGAAGAAAATGTTATTACTATGTTAATCCACTTTAAAACAAGCAATCATAAGTTCCAGGCTCTTCGAAAAGACAAGATATGACTATAATTGCTAGCAATTTTAGAGCATTCATTAAGTTCCTGTAAAACTAATATACTCAAATATCTGTCTGGATAATTAGAGACCCTTCATATTCAGAGGCATTATATATACAGGAACCAGATATTAATAACACGCACTCTGGCTGGTCATCTCTTTTTTCTGTTTTCAAGATCTTCAATCAATTCTGTTAACCACTATTGGAAATAATGAGGGCAAGATGGAGAGACATTCTTAAATGAATTATTACAGCAAATGCTCAGGGGAAGGCATTAGTTCTGTCTCAACGGCTCTAAGAATGTGCTGAATTTTTAATAGTTGTTGCAATCATTGGTTGATTACACAATGTAATATCCCCTATTTGGCATTGTACAGATACTTAGGACAACAGGTTCCATCAAGGAGAAGCTGTCACATGAAACAGCTGGAACATACCAATTTAGCATGCTGAAGAAAATCACAGTTGTGAGGTTGCTGTAGCAGACAACACTATTTTCTTATGCTAATGAGATTTCAAATGGGGGGAGGGGACTTCAAAAAGTTGTTGGGGGCGTTCTTCAGAGATGAATGCCAGCAATGGAAAAGGTTGAAGGAAAGAATGGGTGGCACCATCCAGCCTATCTTCTGACCACCATTCCCCCCCCCTCTTTTTTTCACTTCTTCTACCTGGTAGGAGTAGGAACTCTTATTAGATGTCTGAATTGATGGTTTGCAGAGGATTTTTGAAATTAGCATGTGAGTTACATGAAGGGCAGAAATAGGCAACAATTATCTCTCTTTGCACTTCCATTCTGTTTCATTCAATTCCATAGCACCGACTTTGGAGTTAATAACCAATCACAAGCAGTATTCCATTACAAATGCTAAATGTATCATGCCAATAACATGTGCGTGTAGCTTGTAGAGGGGTAGCTTGAATAAATTATATATTCCAAGGCCCTGGACTAGGATGAGACATCATGGTTACTGGGAGGGAAGAAGGTGGCCATCCTTCACCTGGTTGGGGCTGGGAAGTCCCACTCCTTGGTAGGCTGCCGCTGGTTGCATCACTGTCCACTAGCTCAGAGGGGGTGCTACCCTCATGGAGGAAACCCTCTGTGTCCGAGGAAAAGCAACTGCTGTCCGAGTAACGAGGGATCAGTTCTACTGGAAGCCTCCAGGTGACGTGACGAAGGTCCAGCTCGTCCCCCAGCAGCTGCACATATTTCCACCGAGAGCCTTTTGGAACAAGTGAAGGACTTGCATTGACACAATCGGAAGAGTGCAGAAAGCGCCATGAGGGGTACAAAGCAGCTGGTCCATCACCTGCAAGCTACCTGCAATCCTGCCTTAGTGTTTCCTAGCAGCATTTTAGAGGAAAACACAAGGATTCTTGTCGCCCTGAAAGGAGTCTGCGACATGTGCACTGTATTTGTGCTCAAAGTGGAGACCTGAGCAGAATCCATAAGGCCCACTCTCTGATTCTTACCAATAATAGTAGAATTATGACAAAAAAAGCATCTAGAATCAGCAGATCATAGGACTGGAGGTGGCCTCCCTTTACCCTCTATATTTAATAAACGTAATGTTGGATGAGGAATAAAAAAAAATCACAATTAGGTATAAAATCAAATTAGCCATGAACTAGAGTAAGTACTCTGGATATCTCTGAAGCAAGATATGCAGCAACAGGGAGCAAGAGCTAGTTTCTCAAACTGCCTTATTTGCACTAAATTCATCATTAAGCCTTAGTTGTCATCAGATACAAGTAGTCTTCAACTCACAACCATTAGTTTAGTGGGCAAAGTTACAACAGCATTGAAAAATGTAACTTATGCCCATGTTTCACATTTACAACTGTAGCAGCATCCCTGTGGTCACCGATCAAAATTCACATGCTTGGCAACTGACCTGTATTTATGACAGTTGTAGTGCTCTGGGGTCATACCATCACCTTTTGTGTCCTTCTGACAAGCAAAGTCAATGGGGAAGCCAGATTCACTTAATTAACAACTGCAGTGATTTGCTTAACAATTATAGCAAGAAAAGTCATAAAATGAGGGCAAAACTCACTTAACGACCATCTTGCTTAGCAACAGAAATTTTGGGCTCAACTGTGGTTGTAAGTCAAGGACCACCTGTATTGATTTCTTTAATTCAATATATAGCAGGACTCCAAAATCCACATATATCCCATGCAGATTCACCTGAAAACAAGTTTCACGGAGTTATTAATTCAGTAGGATATACTCCCAAATATGCATGTATAAAGAGTTCAGTGTAAGAATAGAAGGGGGAAATCATTTTCAAACTTTCGGTATGATATCAATAGCTTATAAATGGCCCTAATCATACAGCAGCTGAATCATGCTGCATTCAGTTGTGGTCACGCCCAAATAAATCCATCTATGCATTACCGCAACCTCAAAATCACATTACTGTATTATCCTTATCATGTATCTACACACAAACACACACAGGCATACACACAGCTGAACTGAAGCATTGGTTTATAGAATAAAAGATCAGAGCATCACTGTGCTTGCTGAAGCATTTTTTTTCAAATGGCGAAATTACATACAGATAGTTGACTTATGACTGCAGTTGGGACCCGGATTTCATTACAATTAAGTGAGTCACACCCAATTTTAATCCTTTTTTTGCCATGAATATTAAGTGAATCACCGCAGTTGTTAAGAGAATCACATGTTTGTTAAGCAAACCTGGTTTCCCCCATTGACTTTGCTTGTCGGAAGCCAATTGGGAAGGTTACAAATGGTGAGGAGCCTGGAATGCTGCAATCAGTGGTGGGATTCAAATATGTGAACAACTGGTTCTCTGTGTGGATGCCACTTCTGGAAGTCCGTTCTGGGCCTGGGCAACAAAAAATTAGCTACCGGTTCTGCCGAAGTGGTGCGAACCGGCTGAATCCCACCACTGGCTGCAACGATTGTAAATACAGTTCAGTTGCCAAGCACCAGAATTTTGATCACATGACCGTGGGGATCTGTGACAATTTTAAGTGCAAGGAATGGATACGAATCATTTTTTTTCAGTCCCATTGTATCTTTGAAAGGTCATTAAACAAATGGTTGTTCAGTTGAGATCTAGCTGTAAAATGATCAGGTTCTTTAGAACCCTTGAGCTGTATGGAAATTAGTGTATCCACCCCTCTAGTAATCAGTGTTCAATGTCGGAAAATTATAATTGTGGCCTTGTGGATGGGCTAAAGGGGCAGCTTCATTTCAGCACAAGACAATGCAATTTTCTAGTCTCTGGAGTGGTTTATTCTCAAATATGTATACATTGAACAAAACTAATTAAGAGATAAGTGAAGCGGAGCCAGCTACTTCATGGAAGATTATTTCCAAAGCTGAATATAAATAAGGCTGAAGGAACAGCTAAAATGGAAAGGAATGGCCAAGGTAATGCTTGGGAGAACTATACTCTGCAGCAGACAGACAATGTCCAGAAAGAACAAATTATTTTAGGAGAGCCAGACTGGAGGGTGGGGGTGGGGTGGAGTGAGGGTGGGGGGGGGAACCTCTATTCTTTGAAAAGGAAACAGGAAATTTTGCTATTTGACCTTTGAAAACAGATAATTCAGCATCTTTACATATGCTTAACACATCCTAATGTGGGAAAACATTTTAAGATAATATCACTGATTATTTTAAACAATAATTATTAGAATATTTTATTATGTATTACCATCAAGATCTTTTGCTTTAAAAATGCACAGTATTTCCATGATCTGCATTCCTATGGAATCCATAGATATAAGCACTATGTCTGTTCTTGTTCAAAAGAGTCAAAAAATCTTTTACGGCAAGGAATAGAGATGGGGTAATTTCCAGAAGTATGCCTTGGTCAAGACTAAGAATTGGAACTAAATGCTGAATCAAAACCAAATGCAAAATACAGTATACTTGAATCTTGAAATAAATCATATGCCTAAATACAACAACTTATGAACTGCTTCTCATCTATGCATCGTTTATCTAACCCTCAAAAGGGCAAGATTTTGAAATGATGGGCAGTATCCTTTTCTATCTACTACCCAGGTCAAGATGTTAGTGTCAATGCTGCAAATACTGTATATTCTTGCTTTGACAATATGCAAAACTGTCTGGTATTTATTGGGTTAATACTTAGCTTAGAGTGAGGGGGGGGGAAAGCCCAGGGAAAGAAAGAGGAAGTAAACTTTTGACCTTCACACTAATTGGATAATGTGACCTGTGACTGCATGAGAAGGGAGGGGTTTAGCAAGAAAAGCTTGATGCCAGCGAAAGGAAATCAGATTCTGGCATCAACAAGTCCATCATGGTGCCCGGCAAAAATTGTAGCTCTGCAATAAAGACTTTAGGAAACATGCCTGAAAGTTCTTTGAAGTGCTTCATTAGTCGGAACCTGTGACAGTTAGTAGACTACAGGGTCCCATGGCTTAAATGGCATGGATTGATGGGATTAAGAAGTGATTTACCAACATAAGCTCCTCACCTCTGGTGTAGATAATAAGATATGATTGTTAGTCTTTTTGTCCTGGTTTAAATTATTATTGGTTTTGGAAGGCATATTTTGGTTTTTGGATTTGTACTACCTCAATCACTGATAGCAGTTAACCAGGAAACAGGAAATTAAAAAAAAACAAAACCTAAAAATGATGAAATAATTAGTTGGCATAACTATTCCTAGTTATCCCTAACCTGAAACTTTCATTCCCGAGAAACAGATGGCAAAGGCATTCTAATAAGTCCAGGGGTCTAAAGGTGGACTTGTGCCATGATTTTGGGGTTAGATAGAAGTGATAATTTACTATTTTGCTACATTAGAGGAAAATCCGTGAAATGCAAGTACAAAAACAATTTACAGTCTTGTTTTGCTATCAGGGGTTGATAAACCATCAAACAGAAAATTTGCACTTCAAAAGTATGTGTATGGACATTCAGAACTATGAAACCTCCACACAAAATATTCCTCAGGTTTTTTTTAGAGAGTCTAATAGATTCCAAGGGAAAGCACAGGTCAAGTATAGCATCTTAATTTCTCTGTGGACCAACCAGATGCCTCTCGATGCATATGACTGCCTGGATGATGGCATCCTGGAATTGATGTGTGTTGTGTGTATGTATGTATGTATGTATGTATGTATGTATGTATGTATGTATGTATGTATAGATGACTAGAAGGTGCTCTTAAGACTGTTAAATAGGTTGGACCTGATAGCCTAAATGGCTCCTTTGGACTTCTTGTTTCTACTTTTCTTGCCTTGACATTTTCTTGTAGAATTTCTGGAAGCAATAATACTTGCTCTGCCTTAAGATATGTTTGCTTCTAAACAATAGGAAAAATATTTGCTAGCTTGTTAATATGGTGCTCTGCGTGTTCAAGTTGTTTTGCTATTGCTCTTGTATATACATTTTCTCTTATATCTATACATCCTTCAAAAATGGCCATCAAAATTTTTTGCAAGCTATAATGAAGCATACTGTACCAGAGTCATCTGAGACACTGGGGTGCTTGCTACCAGCTGGTGAACGCAATACATCTGTGCTGTACATTAGATAGCTGTCATAGTCTTCTCTTCCTTGTGCATCAATTATTGGTACATCAGGAATGATAGGAACTGCAGAAAGAAAGAAAGAAAGAAAGAAAGAAAGAAAGAAAGAAAGAAAGAAAGAAAGAAAGAAAGAAAGAAAGAAAGAAAGAAAGAAAGAAAAAGAAAGAAAGAATTAGAATTAGATTTTTGATACATTCAAATGTAATGAATCCCAATTTTATATCAAGACACCGTTTGATCTAGTACTTTGATCTAATACCAGACAGTTTCACTGGAGAAAACTACGTCAATGTTGAAGCTCTTTGAGTTAAAAAAAATATGCAAGTTAGGATAACAATTCTGGAATGTGGTTGAATAGTGTGATATATTTCACATATACCATTAAAAGTAAGAATATTAATAAACAGCTTGATCCCTTTTACTAGTGGTGTCACATTAAATACAAAATATATGCCACAATGTATAATTCTCTAAATGTAGCCTATAACACTAATTGTATAATACCTACACAACAGAAGCACAAATTCAAAGGAATATCTCTTAACAATGCTGCATTAGTTCACGTCCAAAACAAAAATTCTGTATTGCAGAAACTTGACTGTACACATTTGGGGAGCTATGATAAAAACTCACTGGACATAGGGCGTTTTGGCTGTGTAGCCAAGTTAATAGTAGCTTCTCTTTCTGGCCCCCATCCAGCTCCATTCTTGGCCTTCACTGTATAGCGGTAAGGCTGTGATTCCCGTAAATTTTCAATCAGAACCATCCGCTTCTTCAGTTCCTCCACCAAGACTTTCTTTACGGGGCCAATGGGTCCTGCAAAATAGAAATAATTTGGTAAGTTTGGTAAGTTTTCCTTTTCATAGGTTGGTGATTTGAACCTGAGGCTTGTTTCTTGCCTTTTCATCACCGGGTCACTGCATTCACAGTGAGTTCTGGTTATATAATATGCAATATGACTCAGTGGTCCAACTCTAGTATAATATGCATATGTGCATGATAGAGTATTTTATGAGAGTGGAATAGCCTTCTACTTCTTATACATAAGAAACTACAGCAAAATCCATTGCTTCCTATCTGAAGATAAAAAAGTATCCAACAGAAGAGAATGGAAATGTGTACTGTGCAGTGAGTAGCTATCCTTATCATTATAATAATTATATTTTTATCCCACCTTTCTTTTTCATATATTTGGTCAACTCAAAGCAGCAAATATATGTAATACTCTTGCCTCCTATTTTCCCAATAGTGTAACAATCCTGTGAAGTGAGTTGGGCTGCGAGAGAGTGACTGGCCCAAGGTCGACCAGTCAGTTTTCCTGCTTATGGGAGGACTAGAACTCATGGTCCCCTGATTTTTAGGCCAGCCCTTTCACTACTGCACCAAATTGGCTCTCAGTGTTGTATTGGATTGGCAAAATCAATCTAATAACCTCTTTTCAATAGGCAAAGGGTTTTATGTGAAGAAATAAGTGCCAGGGTGGAGCAGACCAATATATCTTGCCAAACTGGCTACCTGTATCTTACAAAATTGGATACCCTGAAGTACCAGCAAGAACAGTGTTTTTTTTTTTTTCTAATTGGATTGAGCCCAGAATCTCTTTGTAAAGCAAAAACTTGAAAAGTAAATTTACAGAGAGGAGATAACATTGAATGATGGAAGTCTAGGCACTGTGGGGACTATCAAATAGTATGGAAACAGTTGAATTTATGGAGTGAAAGACAAAGACAAAACACCAGGAATGTTGTAAAACATGGGCTGCCAAATAAACTGCATAAGACTGTAGGATCCAATCTGGGTTGGTCTCTTGGACTAGAGGTTTAGTCTTCCAAACCTTTGGACTCATGCTGGAGCCCATCCTCAGGGAACTTCATGCTAGCCTCTCTGGCGGTGACCAACCCAGATTGGATTCTACAACATTATTCTGAGACACATATATTCAACTTCATTCATGTAATAAGACTGTTCAATAAGAAGTCTAAGCAAGAGAAGCAAAGTCAAGCTTCACACACAGCGCAACCAAGTGTATCCAACCTGGGGAGAGATGGGTGTGTGTTATACTTCCAATCATCGCCATTTAGGGGGTTTTATAGTCTGCAGCTAGGATTAAAAGTTTTGATATCACAGGTTTCAAGAGCAATAGCCCCCAGTGATGTCTTCTAAATGCATGCAACTGAAATACTATCATGAAGATATTGAACCGGTTAGCCTTGATACATGATTTTTAAGGATAGCCCACAGAATTCATGCTTACTGTTTTCCTCGTTGACGAGTCCATAGCTGACCTCATAAGCTGTGATTATGCCGTTTGTTTCTGCAGGCTCAGCCCAGCTCAGCTGCGTCACGGTAGAGGAGATGACGTTGAAAGCCAAGCGCCCAGGCTCACTGGGAACTACAGAGATGAAATGCAGAAACAATTCTGTAACAACTAACTTACAGTATAGCAGTGTTTCCCAAACTTGACAATTTTAAGGCATGAGGACTTCAACTCCCAGAATTCCACAGCCAGCAACGCTGGCTGTGGAATTCTGGGAGTTGAAGTCCACATGCCTTAAAATTGTCAAGTTTGGGAAACACTGCAGTATAGCAATGTTTGAATGCCTTTGAAAGCATTGAAGCGGGAAATAGCACAAGAGCTATATAATACAGTAATTTTAAATCAGATGCCTTAAAAAACAACCAAGTGCTTAATTTAGGATCATTTCAACGAATTCCTTATGGGAATTCTAAAGTTACAATGTGAAGTTTGATGGATAAGTGTATATTAGTTTCAGGTATTAGTAAAAAAAAAAAAAAAGCAACAGACATAGAAAGAGCCAACCAGAAGATTAGTTCAATAATGGTAAACAATAACAAAAGAAATTGTGATGGGGACTCCACATTCATCTTATCCCAAGAACCTAGGAAAACAACCAGGTTTTCAATGATTGTCTGAATGTCATTTGGATGAGAGTCATATGGGTCTTTAGGGGTGATGACATTCCAGAAGGCAAGTACCGTAACAGTGACAGCTCAGTTCCTGGGTTCCGTAAAATGGCAAAGTTTCATTGTTGGGACCTGGAACATACCAGCTCTGTTTGATGTCACTGGATGGGCAGAAATAGTTAGATTCTAACTCCGGGTTAAAGGTCTGGATGCCTCAACATAATCTTCCTGACCAGAGCCCTGTTTTGAGCTTCACCTGAATATGATTCATGAACATGCTGACGCTTGATGGATTAGGCTTGCAGAATGGAGTCCTTAGATGGCTCATTTTTCAATCAAACTCTGTGGGATGCAACCTTACCTTCCTCAAGTGTCCGACAGTGGACGACCTTAGAATAAAGCCCTTCACCCAAAGCGTTATAGGCACAGGACTGCATTTCATAATCACAGTAGGGGTACAGATTGGTCAGCTCTGCCGAAGGTACTTTGGAATCAAGCAGATGAGCCTCTGATTCAGGATCTCCCTGGATCCAATATTTCACCTGCAGTCCAAAGAGAAAGACTTTTTCTTTTAAAACTTTCCATAAGTGGCCAAGAAGTATTTACCATCACACAATTAAAAGATAAACAAGGAAAATTCTCATTCAAAAATGTTACTATCCCTAAACGAATAGAATAAACCAGAGCTTTGCAATGCAATGCCATAATTTTACAAGATGTTCTACGCTTCACAACGTAGTGGACCTAGCCTTTACATTTTCAGAGTCATAATCATAGAGTCAGCCCTGGAAGGTTAGGATGCACATTCCTTAAATTATTAAGGTAATCTGTAAGACTGCTTTCGCTTGTTTTTATAAAAAAAGGGAGTCACCAAATCAATTCAGAATACAATCTATGGTGAGATACTGACTTTCATTTACTACTACTGTATGTTGAATAATTTACAGGCCTAACAGGCAGTGCTTATTCTGATTCTTTGAAACGTTCTGCTTTTCCCCACATTACTCAGTGGCAGCTTCCACAGCCTGACATCACCCAGATATGCTGGGATTGCAATTACCACAATTCCCAAGAATTTAATCTAAATATTTTGGGGCCACCACACTGGAGAAGAGTTAAGGCTTGCGTATCTTTAATAGCTCGGAGCCACACTTAATGTTTTGGTAAATATGGAGTTTTAGTTGATTTTAAATCCAGATTAAAATATATCAGAACTTATGTTGCAGTTTTGTTTGTTTCTCATGTCAAAATGATGTGACACTATGCCTCTGATACTGTATAAACAGTATAACATTGAAAATACTGAAGGGCATTTTTAAAAAATGGAATCATAAGTTAGTATCAACAATGTTAATAGTGATGTTTGCTTCTACAGACAGACCATATGCAAAAGATGTTATGGAAGAAATAGGAAACGAGGAACAAGTTTTATTTCACAAGACAGAGATGGCATTGAAAATAGATCTACAAATATAGATATATGTGCTTATGGAGTGGCTATGCAACTTGTTTGGTCTGAGTGAGGATTGTTCTCTGATGCATAAGGAAAGGCATAAGAGTGAATGTAAAAACAACAGGGAATTAATTTATTAATAATATTTGGAAAACTGAATTCTGATTAAATGAGTGTAAGCAATGTGAATGAATAAAATCTTTAAAATGCAATGCAGCGGTACTTTTGCTTTTTTTAAAATTAAAACAAAGGTGTATTTTCAAAGCAGTTAATATCTATACCTGGATATATAATTCCTGAAAATGTATAGTTAATGCTCAGTATAACATTAGTAAAAGATGAACCACACTAAAGTACATTGAGATTTCATGATATAAAAAAGTACAAATTATTGAGCTTATAAATACTTTTAAAAAGATAAAATAGAATAACATAGCACCCTAAAACTAATATAGATAAGTATTTAATTTCTGACTTCCCCCTGCTTTGTACTCCTACTTGCAATACCTATTGGCATAAACTTTAGGAAGCATATCCTAAGTGTTAGTATTTTCCTTGCGTGTCTAGCAGTGCAGTGTTATGCATGAGCCCCAACTTTAGCGCATGGGACAAGCAAGAGTGTGCTTCCCTCCATACACAACAGTCTTGCATGTCTTCATTGCTTTACTTTCCATACCTTGTATCCTGCTGGTTTGCCTGGAGGGGGCAACCAATTGAAGCGGATCTTTCTAGAGCTTAACGCTTGGGCATTTGGATTAAGAGGTGCTGCAAGAATGCCTCTAGGAGAATATGGAAACTGAACCTCTGATGATATCTCATGCACACTTTCTGGAAGGAGAAAAAAGGTAGAGGAAATTACACTACTTTGTAAACAACTAAAAAAGAGAATCACAGAAGTCGAATGGTAAAGGATTAAGACATGTCATAAACTGGTAGAGGCACAACAGTTACTTCTAGTTCACACACCTGTTAAGTGGTTCTTCTAGAGAAAAAACTTGGGAGAATAAGTGGTATTAAACACAGGCCACATTCTTGGGGCTGATATCTCTCAAAGATGCTAGATGTTCTATTTAGCCTAATAAAAGGTTGTTGCTGGTTCTTTTCTGCTTTTTGCACAATATTTAACATTCTGAAACTGTTTACACAGAAGCATCCTAGTTCACATAAGAAAAATACACCTCAACATATGTTTTGATGATGAAATATGTGTATCCTGTAAGGGAGGTTGTGCAAAGTTATTTGGCACAGTGAAGAATCGATTGGAATAATACATGTAGACATGATACATGTAGGCATCTATTGCAAGGTAATATTGGTCATAATATATCATATTATATGTCATACATTTAGATAACTCCGCAAAGCACAAATAAAACAGGTAATTATAAAAATTATTGTAGTAGCATTTTTATGGAAGTAGAATTATTTCTCTAATTGTATCCCTATTACCACATCAAATAATGGGTAAAATAATATCACTAAAACAGTCCAAATTATACTGGACATACATGATACAGCAGATCTGGCTGAAACTCAAAGCAACGTTGAACAAATAGGATCTAACTCAGTATTTCTCAACCTTGACAATTTTAAGGCACGTGGACTTCAACTCCCAGAATTCCACAGCCAGCAATGCTGGCTTTGGAATTCTGGGAGTTGAAGTCCACGTGCCTTAAAATTGTCAAGGTTGAGAAACACTAACTGTTCACCTACCACACTGATAACTTATGAATGAGAATATACTTTCTGGGAATCACATTATATCAAGTTTCTTAATCTTAAATGCTGAAGCCTCGATGGTTGCGTTTGCCGGAGCCTAGGTAATCAAGAAGTCTAAAAGTCTATACAAATAGGTAAATGATACTTAGACATCAAAATGAGAATTGTCATCAGAAATAAAAGTAGCTCACCTGGGTCAAAAATTGTCACTATGGTTTGAGGATATTTGCCAACTTTTGCCCCAAACCTGGGGTTGATGAGATCTATTGCGAATTGTTTCAGCTGCTGGTTCCGAAGGAGGGTATCAATCTCTGTCAACTCCAGCAATTTGATTTGCATTTCCTTCTGCTTCTCTCCAGGCAGGAAGATCAGATCACCCTCCGTAGAAACATAATCCTGGGAAGGTAAAGAGAGAACACCCTGAACAAGATACTATTTTTAGATTAAAGTATTGAAACATTCATATCCCATCCTTTTGATCCAAAGGCATCACTCAGAGCAACTTACAACATTTTAGAACAGTGTTTCTCAACCTTGACAATTTTAAGGCATGTGGACTTCAACTTCCAGAATTCCACAGCCAGCATTGCTGGCTGTGGAATTCTGGGAGTCGAAGTCCACATGCCTTAAAATTGTCAAGGTTGAGAAACACTGTTTTAGAAGATGGCCTGCACTTTGAGCCATACAAATGTATAGATACATATTTTAAAAGTTCTGTACTATGTAATCGTTTCCTATACTTTATCTATCAGAACCAGAATTGCATTTCACTATTATATATTTCATTCATTCTTTGAGAAAGAAGAACAAAATCTATGTTGACATCTGTAATGCTATTGATTATCCACAAAGTAGCTACAAAGAAATGAGGATGTGTTAGGGGGCCTTGGGAATATGCCCAGTGGGCTGATAATGGACTGAAAGCAACACCAGCAATTTCTTATTCCTAACTTGTTTCTCTTCCTCTCCTGCCTTGGCTATAAAAAGAAGATGGTGTAAGAGCTCAACTACAGAAAAGGCGAAATGTTTACTGTACAAATTCTCCCTAACACAAACCATTGTCTCAGAGGACTTTTAAAGCTTTCGTCCCAATCTTTTCCTTCACAAAATGATTGTGCCCTCTGCTCCACTGAAGCTTAAAAATTCAATTGGCGGGGATGGAAGACCATTTTTTTCTAAGACTTCCCTAAGACAGCCTCCTTCCTCTGAATACATTGGTCTCAATTGTGCCCCAAGCTAAACAAACAAAAAGAAAAAGCAAAAACACTAAAGGCGCACTGCATTTTATCAAACAATGTTTAATCTGCAGTTTTATGTTGCAAGATCTGCTAGTTTATCCAAGGTTTCCCCATTATTATTATTAAATCACCTTTAATTCAGATAGACAGCCTAAGGAGTCCCAGCAATGGAAAGATAAGTTGCATAATAAACAATATATAATGCAGTAAACAAAAAGTCTACAAAGACTAATGAAAAGCCATCTCATGTCAAATTAACTAAACTATAATGAAACCAAGAAGGAGTCAAGATCCAAGTGTCCTCTAGAAGAGTTCTAGATGATTAGGGGTGGAGCCAAAAGATCTCCGAGTGGGAGGTTGTTTGAAAAAACCATTTCAGCCACTGAAAAGAATTACTGTTGAATTTCAGCTCCCTTTAATTCCCTAAAATAGAATTTTTCTCAGGCATAACAAACTAGCCAGGCTAATTTCAGTGGGAAAATGTGGTTGTACAGATAATTACCATCCAAGCCAGGTACTAGGTTAATACCGGGACATCCAAAACTTGTTGGCAACCAGTGTAGGGTCCACAGAGCTAGTCTAATATGGCAGGAATGCTTGCAGATTTGTCAGTCTGCCTTGAGATCACATGTTATTGCTTCCTGCTCTCCTCACAGCTTTATATACTTGGTAACAGAGAGATAACAAAGTATTATTTTACCCATTTGAAAAGCTGAAGCTGAAGTTTGCTTTTCTAAGTGATGTTCAGGATTTCATGCTTTTTTCTAGAAGTTCCCTCTTTTATGCACAGGGCTACAATATGACCATGCAGTGGCCCAATGTTTTTGTGGGACAGTTATGAGAACTCTTTTAGTTTTCACACTTACTTTGCCTTGCTGAGCTGTGAGATCTCGTGTCCTGTATGTTATCTGGGATTTTCCCTTCTCCAATATTTCTCGAACCACAGGGATCTTAGCCAGCTGGTCAAAGCGGCTGTATGAATACACTGGCTCCAGGAAGCTAATGATGCTATTTGCTGAAGAGATACATAGATAATATGTTAACAATCTTAATCATCTAATAAAAGAATGGTTTCATCTAGGCACTATCAGACATACTGTTACATTAACAAGCAGGAAATATTACTTATTGCCTCCATTTCTAAGCTAGAGAACAAGATCCACACTTTAATATTCCTCTAACTAGTTTCTTGATACTTCGCATAGCCTAAGTTGGCAGCCAAGTTCAGAATGTTTTTTTTACTGGCATCCCCAATATTAACAGATATGCCTACCCTCTAAATGGATTTTATGCCTACCCTCTAAATGGATTTTGTTATGTCCTTCACCATTTTCATCCCTCCCTAAATGAATATGAGACTTGAAATACCATAAGCATCTGTTGCCAGAGAAAAATGGAAAATGCGTTTATCACCCGTGATACTGCAGGCAGATCTACTCTTTTCATATAGCTAAAATGATGATCTGTTTATCTCCTAGACCAGGGGTAGGCAACCTTGGCTCTTTTATGACTCGTGGACTTCAACTCCCAGAATTCCTGAGTCAGCCTGCTAATTCTACTTTTTAAAGTTCCGCCAATCCATTTACTCCAACCTTTGAATTTTCCTTTTCAGGGTGTGCTCTGAAGAGTTTGAAGGTGCTCTTAATGTCACAAAAGGAGTTCTTCCACCTCTTGTTTATATTATATAGATAGGACACTTGATTTTTTTCAGGGAACCAAAATGTTTTCTGACTGCCCATTAGAACAGAAGCCTTTTTCTTCAGGAATGTGCTACATTTCACTGTGGTAAATTACAGAAGGCCCGGCCAGAGGTGATTGTCTGACAAACATTTGCCTTCCCCACTGCACGCTATCATACAACCTTGCTCTTTTATTATGGTGATGTTGACCTGGCGACGACCAAATTGCGCAGTGCCCACAGGAATATCCACAGCATCTACTTGCAGCTGTTTTTCATCATCATCCTCTTCCCTGATGAAGAGGGGAACCCGAACATCCACCAACTCTACCCCTTCCTGAAACTCAACCAGGCCGTGGGCATCTGGAGTTTGGATGGAGGCAAAGGAAAGAAGAAGGATTAGCTCACAACTGGAAAGCACTCCTTTTAAAACAATACCTTGGGTTCTTGCTATATAGTTACTTTTCCTTTCTGCATAATACTGGAGCGGTATTTGCATCATCACCATTTATTCCAGGAGTGGGCAACAGTCATTTTACTAGATGTTGCTGAGCTGCTGCAACTCCTAGTATTTGTCATGTTGGCCATGCTGGCCAGGACTGTTGGGAGCTGAAGCTCAGCAACATTTAAAGGCTACAGTTGAGCACCGCTTGGATTTATCTTGACGTTTCGTCTGTCACCGAATATTTATTCAGGAAAGGAAAACAGAATAAGTCCACAGTGTCATGTGACTAGAAATGGCAGAAGCTTGTTTCTGGAATCGCTCCTAGCCTTCAGTGCAAGTGTCAGTCTGCGTTAGGCTGTATGGTTAGTACCTTGACTTACAACAATTCACTCAGTGAATGTTTAAAGTTACAATGGCACTGAAAAAAGTGACTTATGACCATTTTCACGATTGTTGTGGCATCCCCATGGTCACGTGATCAAAATTCAGATGCTCGGCAACTGACTCATATTTATGACGGTTGCAGTGTCCCGGGGTCACGTGATCACCTTTCATAACCTTCTGACAGGCAACGTGAATGGGGAAGCCAGATTCATTTAATAGCCGTGTTACTATCTTAACAAGTGCAATGACTCACTTAGCAACTGTGAAAAAGAAGGTTGTAAAATGGGGCGACATTCAGTTAACAACTGTCTTGCTTAGGGACGGAAATTTTCGGCTCAATCGTAAGATGAGGACTACCTGTATCACTGCTGACGATAGTCATAAAAACAAGAACTCTGCCACGTGTGAAAGAAAATGATTTCCCTCCCAAAAGCTCCCAAATGGGCTCGCTTGCAGAGAAAAAAAATCTATGCCTGGAGGAGCATTCCATCAGAGAAGGCTCCCCCCCACCCCACCCTCCATCAGTCTGAAATGGAGCAGCTCAAACACTAAAACTAAAGAAAGGAGGAGGAGGCCCCTACCTTGCTCAGCAATCACAGTGTAGTAGCCAGGCGACACTTTTAATTCATTGAACTCTCCTTGTGAGACGTGCTTCTCTGTTACTTTGATGATGTCATTCTTGGCTGAGCGGGGAGCTGGGAGCACTGTGTCCACAATCGTGTGGTCCTGCCTGGAAAGGAGGGAAACATCAGGCTGTTTCCCCTGCTCATGCTTTGGTTCTGCCCCTGCCAATCAGAGGCATACTGACGTAGGGCCACGTATGAGGAAGTATGGCGATGAAGCCCTGGTGTCATATAAGAAAAAAAAAACCACGCCCAAATCTCTCAGCCACCCCAGCATGAGCTGTATCCATTGCCCACAAATGCTCACACAAATTTATAACCGCTGATTCACAGACAATGCTGATCTAAAATACTTCTAGCCTTCCGCCGCTAAGGAATTAATGTCGGGTGGCTTCCACTATCCCACAAAAAGGGGCATCTGCAGTGGATTGAAAGACCAAGTAACATGTGGCACCAAAGAGATAACATAGGCTTCTACAGTTTTTAGCTGGTCACACTTCCTGGGAGTCTCTTAATGGCCATATGTCTGCCTTCAAACCCTTCAGGCTAGAGTCAAATCCAAAGACTCACGGAGGAATCTCTCAATGGAAATGTTGAGCCAGCATAATCTAAGTGTAGCTCTTAGCTGCCTACTACAGGTAGTCCTCAGTTAACAGTGGCAATTAGTACTGGAATTGCTGTCACTAAGTGATGCAGTCATAAAGAGGGACAGCATGTGACCACAATGCTTAGCAATGGCAGTTCCTGCAGTCCCACCATTGTTCAACAAGGATGTCACATGAGCACAACTTCCAACTTCCTGCCAGCTTCCCCACTGAGTTTGTTTAAGGCAGGCGAAGGCAACCTTGGCTCTTTTATGATTCGTGGACTTGCTGGCTCAGGAATTCTGGGAGTTGAAGTCCACGAGTCATAAAAGAGCCAAGGTTGCCTACCCCTGATCCAGTGGATCTTGCATTGAGCAGCATGTTGGACTAGATAGTTTGTAAGATACCTTCCAACTCTGAATCTTTGGTTCCAAAAATGGGAGAGCAAGTATTACATGCCCTCTGCATAAAAGCTGGCTCAGAAATTCTGGGAATTGAAGTCCACGAGTCATAAAAGAGCCAAGGTTGCCTACCCCTGGTTTAAGGGAAGCTGGCAGGGGATGTTGGACATCAGGTAACTGCAGGGATGCTGTAACTGTTAAAACTTCGAAGGTCGGTCCTAAATGCTAGTTGTTCATCTCTGTCCTAAGTAGGAACATTCACTGAATAAACTGACATAAGCTGAGGACTACCTGCAATCAGCACAGGTTTCCACATGTAGTAATGAGAAGTTCAGGATAAATAATTTGATTCTCTGCAATGTAAATAAGGCAATGCAGAGAAAAAGACCAGCAGTGATAATGTTAAATAACAACATCCTATTTTCTGGAAGATAGATAAAAACTGTTGCAACAAAGCACAACAGTGGAAATTATTTCTAAGTAGACCTGGAAGTCAGAGTAGAAATGAATGGTTTTGTTTACCTTTTTCCAGCATTTGGCTGAATCCTGGGGAGAAAACAGATAAAATTAATAAATGTCAAGGATTTAATCAAAAGAATATCAAGAACCTTAATCTGACAGACCAAATCAGTATCCTGTACACTTTATACAGTTATTGTAGCATTGGAAAGCTGGTCAGAGGGGAAATTAAATTCTACTACCTCCTCATTCTAGAAAAAAGGACAGTCGTCTCAGCCAAAGAGATATCTCTCATTACATCAGTTCCCTACTCATCTATCATCAACTATTTCCTGTTAAAAAAATAATAATGTTGACTGAGATTTCATTCTTTCTTCCCACACCAGTTATGCTCTCACCTGAATTTTGTCTGCTGGAACTTTTGGACACCTGGGATTATCCTGTACACCTCATTCAGCTGCAAAGAGCAAGAGAGAGTCATTAGATCAGATCCTCAAGAGAACTAGCCCAATCCCCAATCCCCCATCCCATTCATGTTGGAGGCACCATATAAGGTTTAGGATTACCCAGTGACATCACTGTTGCCTGGGGGTTGCCCGTGAGGGCTCCTTTGATGTCCCCATTAAGGAGCCGGAGCCAATGACAGGAGCTCACTCCAACACCCAGCAATACTCAAGTCTCGAACATCAGCTTGCTAATCTCCAACCCAGTGTCCTAACCATGTGAGCCACCACGTTCCTTAACTACCCCAATAATCATCAAGCTGGTACATAAGGACTGCCACAGCTCATCAGATGTTCGGTCAAATATTGGTGTTAAAGGCTTCAGGCCCTTCATCTTCTGCCCTTCACTTGATTTATATTCAGACATCACATCCACAACAGAAGTTGTATCAACACTCAAATCCAAGGAAAGAAACCTTGCACAGGGTTCAATATCTGTGCCTCCTCAGCAAGAAATCTGCATGACGGAGTGTTTGGGGAGGATTCTTTGGTTTATATCTTGTCCTGACTAGTTGGTCATGTTCAGTGTGGACTTAGGGTCTGTCCAAATCTACCTCACCCACCTGACGGAACTATGGTGAGGATAAAAAGAGAAGCAAGTCGTATAGACATACACATACACCCGTCTTATAACAAGGGAGAATTAAAAATAGAACAAATACCCCTACTTCTTACATTTTCCTCCACCTCTTTCTGCACATGCTCATGTTCACGGCTATCCAATTTTGTAAGATTTTGGGTGTAGAGCCGTGTCAATCTGAGAGAGAGCCCATGTGGAACTGGAAATAAGGAAATTAATCCATCAGAATTTGCAGCTGCCAGTCAAGCAACAAGCACAACGAGTTAATACAGAAATATAATGGGAAATAATGATATGGTTCAGCCACAGAGTTTATTTTACACATACCATGTAAACAGTGATTAGAATTCTGAGACACCTATAATCTTGACATAGAGTTTTGCTGGACTTCAAAAATTAAAACCTTACATCATAGTCTTACATTAGTTACACAGTGATTCCTTCTCTGCTTCCAAGATAACTGTAGGTAAGAAGAATGATAGGAATTTCTAACAGATCTATCAGCATATTCAGATCAGAAATTCCAGAGACAGCCCCAAAATTAAACTTACATAAAACATATAGGTTGATGGTGCAGTTACATCTAAAAAAAACTAATGCAATTGTGCTCATGGTCATGAAATATGAATACCATCTCAAAAAACAAGTAGGAGATTTTTTTTTTTTAAATCAGCCTTGTATTAAATCCTTTTCTGTTCAGGAAGCTCTATGGAAAAAGGTAGCTTATAAGTTACCAGTATCTCAGGTTTGAAAATGTGGATAGAGACCATGACTTGTGGGTGTACAGCAGGGGTGTCAAACTTGCAATGTCATGTGATGTGTCATGACTTTTTTTCCATTTGCCGGCAATGGGGTGGGTGCAGTTTTGTCATGATGCATCTTGCCCACAGGCCGGCAGTTTGATACTTCTGGTGTACAGAAAGGACGTGGCTTATTATGCCCATTCATTCTGTGACTGTTCAAAGTTAGGGCAGCACTGAAAAAAATGGAGGCACAGCCAGTCTCCGATATTTCAGCCAACACAATATGCTTGCAGTCACATGACTGTGAACTGGGTGTTCCAGTGCCCAGCTTATGATTGTGACATTGCAGGAAACTGCAGTCATACATCGCCATTTGCGACCTTCTTGCCGGCTTTCCACAAACAAAGCCCCAGAAGGAAAGTTGCAATTCAGTCTAGTAAGTTGCTCCTGATTCTTTATTTCCCCATAGTAACCCCTGTGCCCACGCACAGCTTCCACAGCTTACTTCCAGGCCCTTTCCTGGATCCTGTGACTCATGCAAAGCCTCTGTTGCCCTCCCCAATTCATGCAAAGCCTGCACCAGTTCTCTGTGGCCTCCTGCAACACACGTGCAGCCTGCGCCAGCCTTTGCATGCCCTCCTTTGGCCTCCTGCTCCTTACATGGAATGCTCACCTCTTCCTGCTTAACAACCCATCCATCTTGGGGTTAGGATGGCAACCAGAATTGCCTGGGACTGCTGTCATTAAGCAATGTGAATGTGTGATGTTGTACTTTTCAACCACATTGCTTAACAACTTTAATCCTAGTCTCAATTGCCATTGTAACTAAGGACTACCTGGGCCCTAAAACCCACAGTTCCTCACATACTTTGGAAAGCTTTAGATGGGTGAGACTACATGACTCCTAGATGAGCCGAGGTGGCGCAGCAGTTAGAGTGCAGTACTGCAGGCCACTTTAGCTGACTATGTTCAGCAGGTCAGCGGTTCAAATCTCACCGGCTCAAGGTTGACTCAGCCTTCCATCCTTCCGAGGTAGGTAAAATGAGGACCCAGATTGTTGGGGGCAATGTAAAATATATATATACATTGCTTACTGGTGTACACCGCTTAGAGAGTGCTTGCACTTAAAGCGGTATATAAGTCTCATAAATAAATAAATAAATAAATATTTGAATCAGGTTTCAAACCAGATCCTGAAGGAGTAACTATCCCACTATTGTCACCATTAACTTTAGGAATAAGCTATGTTCCATCTGGACTCTCTTTTCCGCCTTGTAAAATGAGCACTTACTGATATCTTTGGGATTGAGGGCGAAGGATGAGTAGTCTTGCTTGTGCACATTGTTTCTGATCTTCCAGTGGACTATGTCTCTCCCTTTCAAATTACCGCTGCGCACCATTGGGGTGTCCAGGTGATCTGATGCCATCAGACTCTGCCTGAGCAGATAGTGGTCCTCCTTGAAACCAACCATACGACCTTCAGAGAGGGAAAGAAAGTCAATATTTGCACTTCAGGACCTTGGATCCAACTTTACATCTTTTGTATATGTTAAACAGAGTAAATAAACTACTTTTGTCAAAGGAGAAACACCTTGCTTACATTGTAGCATGATTTTCCTTTACCTTTTCCCAGGTGGACCTCATTCTAATTAGTAACCGGTGTTCAGATTGGTAGCAATAAGTTGTATTATTGTTAATGATTAGATTGGCCATCCATGACTTGAATTCCTAATTCTGCCCCTCATTATTGTTATGTCTTACATCTACTTTACAATCATATATTTTAGCATGTGTTCATAATGTATATTCCAGAATCATAATACTATTCTAAAATGCATTTCAATTCACCACATGAAGTTTTATATTTCCTTACATTCTCTAAATACTGTATAAGGGATTATTTTCTCTCTGCTATTCAGAGAGTTAGATGCATAGGTTTTGATCCAGGTTCTCCCAAAAATGAAGAGCTTCAGAGAACAGTTCTTGAAAAGTCCTAATCTTCTTAAGACAGCTACTGCCTAACTGGATACAGGTTGGTAGAATTTATACAGATAATTACTGAGCTGATTTAAGCAACAGGCAGCTTGTATTAAACCTCAGCTGCTAGGTTGTTTTCCCCAACATACTAGCCTTCTTTGAATGTATTATAGGTAGTTCTCAACTTATAACCACAATTAGGACCAGATTTTCTATTGTTAGGCAAGGTTAAGGGAGATGTGCCCAATTTTTCAACCCTTTTTGCCATGGTTACTTGAACCATGGTGGTTGTTAAGTGAATCATATGATCATTAAATGAATCCAGTATCCCTCCCTTATTGACTTTGCTTGTCAGAAGCCAGCTGGGAAGGTTGCAAATACAGGTAGTCCTCCACATACAACCACAACTGACCCCAAAATTTATGTTGCTAAGTGAGAAATTTGTTAAGTGAGTTTTGCCCCACTTTACAACTTTTCTTGCCACATTTGTTAAGTGAATCCCTGCAGTTGTTAAATTCGTAACATGCTTGTTAAGAGAATCTGGTTTCCCCATTGAATTTGGTTGTCAGAAGATTACAAAAGGGGATCACACGACTCTGGGACATGGCAACCGTCATAAACGTGAATCAATTGTCAAGCGTCACTTTTTTCAGTGCTGTTGTAACTTCGAACAGTCACTAAACAAACCGTTGTAAGTCAAGGACTACCTGTACTGATCCCATGACCTTGTATAAATAGATGCTAATTGACAAGGGCCTAAATTTTGATCACATGACCGTGGGAGGCTACAATGATTGTAAGTGTGGATACTGGTTGTAAAGTCACTCTTTTCAATGACGTTGTAATTTTGAATGGTTGCTAAATGAATGGTTGTAAGTTAAGGACTGCCTATACTGCTTTCTTTCAGTCTTGATCTAAGCACACCACTCTAATGCTATTATCACCCATAAATTCAAAAGATGTACCTTGTGGACAACAGGGTAGCAACGCCAAACACCTCTAGATGTAAAAAAAAAAAAAAGTTGATTGGATTTTAATGAAAAGTTCAAAAAAATAAATTCACTGGCAGGAGAATAGACCTTTCTGCTTGTTGCACTTGTTGAAGTGGATGATACAAAATACATTGTTAAGGAGGATGATAGAGCAAACACAAGCTGCCTCCACTTAAAGACACCCATGAAGCGCAACAAGAGAAGCATATTAGCCTGGTTTATATGGCACAGGCACTGTACTAATAGATAAGCCTAATATGACCTTGATCACTTTGGATCAATGATGTAACTGATTATGGCAGTGCATCCTACAAATGCCTTTTCTGCATGCTTATTTCTCAGGCACTTCTCGATATGACTAGTGGTAGAGGATCACTGGCTCTCTTTCTCCATTCATTTTCATTTGCTCTTGGCATTGGTGTTGCAAGGCCATTGTTTCTTTATCTTTCCCACACCCCAATGCCTTCCAATATATTTCATTCCTAATTCCCAATCATTTTAGCATAAAAAAAATATCTCAAATATATTGGAGAAAAGTGATCTTTTAAAATACTGGAAGTTGAAGAAAGTTAGATCTAGATTCTAGAACAAAAATAATGGTCACCACTTAGTCAATATAAAAACTTCAACTAGAAGCTTACACAGAGAAGACAGAAAATTTATACATTGACCTCTAATTCCTACATGATTTGAGAGAAGATTTTAAAAAATCTTCAAATTGTTAGAAAAATGAGTTACAGATTAGATTCAAAACATGCCGCCAAAGCCCCCCTGCCCGCTTTTCCTTTGTTACTACAGGTTAGAAAGATAAATTTTACCTCGCAACAATCACAGTATTTCCAGCATAGGAGGAGCAGCAACCCCAGGAGTAATATCAGAAAAATGAGTAGGGGTATAAGCCAAAGAAAACTTCCTGGTGGACACTCTACATATAATGAAAATTAAAAAAAAACATGTTCCAAATGAATCAAGAGACCAAAGGAAGCAACGTTATCTTTTATTTTCCTGGTTAAGGAAGAGAAAAGTGTTATAGCAAATGCAGCAAATGCTGTAACTCAGTGGCAGAACACATGCATTGCATGTAAAAATTCTGCACCGGCATCTCTAGATAGAGGTAGCCAACTGAAAACTTTCAGAATTCCTGTCAGTTCACAAAGATCAGGCTTCTAGAGCCCAGATTTCAACTCCAAAAGAGTTGGATTACAATCTCACCATCATAGTGATCTCACTAATGCATAGTGATGTTGTGTGCAGTCAATAAATTTTGTACTCTAAAATTTCTGGAGAGATTAATTTAGAGTAGCAGAGTTTAGACTAATTGAGTTGACTTTATTTACTGAAACTTCAGGAGCCACTGGAATTTGAGTGATGGCAACTGGACTTATTTTCTTGTTGGTTTGAGACGTTTCGCTGCCCATCCAAGGTTGATGCAGGAATGGGAAAAGACAGTAAGAAAAGTGACAGACTAAAGGAATCACCTATGCTTCAACCTAGTTTATACATTTCAGTGATTCCCTGTCTTCTCACTTACTCAGACTGAAGAAGCTGCTTGGATGGGCAGCAAAATCTCTCAAACCAACAAGAAAATAAGTCCAGTTGCCAGACAACTTTACCTGAATCTTTATTGACATCCAGGAGCCATTATTGACTGCAGAATGAAAGAAAAGCATGCCTGCAAACACCCTTTGAATCAGGGGGTTTGTTTCCAGGATCAGAAGTCAACTGAGATGTCTTCACATAAAGTCCACTCCTGGTCACTTCAAGCTTTCCTTGTTTCAGCAGCCCAATTTATTTATTTTTTAAAAAATAATTTGTTGTTGCTTTTGCTAAAAGGTGAAGTTAGGTATCTTTGCCAATCAATTATCAGAAAACTACTAGTAGATCCTGATCTACCATGATGCAACCCCATTGATGTGAACAAGAAAATACTGACCAACAGAGTTTCAAAAACAAATGAAAAACTAGTTTACAGTGCCTATTGAAATCTAAATAATAGACCTTCTAATTTATCTTAACTGCTACATTTTGGGAACCCACTCTGTCAGAAATTCTGTTTTATATAAAGCACCACAGAGCAACAAAGAGTACAGTCACCATGTGCTTTACTGTTCAACTATTGTACTATAACAGGAAACAGGAAACTCTCCTCAGAACAAAAAGAAACCATAGATTATAACCATAGATGCACACTAAATACTGCCATCTACTGGCTGAATAATTCTGTAGTAATTTTGTTGCAATACAAAATACATTCTAACATGTATTCCAACATACTCTCTTCATAGAAAGTTAATATTTACCTTTCTTCTTTTGTACAAGAACAGTATTGTTCTGTGATTGATTGGTGTCTTCTTCCCTAGTGTAATGGTAAATGCAATCATCTTCCTCATCTTGAAAGGTACACTTGTTACCTGCAGATTAAAAAAAAAAATCAGATGTAATATTGCCAATTTATGTTGTAAATTCTACTGTTGCAACAGAAAAGGGAGAAGTTCTTATTTTTCCATTTAAGGCCATTCCAAACAAGCACCTTCAGGGTCTGAGTGATTCAATTTTCCAACAGTAAGGGGAAAGAAGCTATCTTAATTTCAAAAGCCTGAACTAAAGAAAATAAGCTTGAATCAACAAGGAACTAAGTTCCAGGACTTTCAATGCAGCTCATCCAAATGTGGCTAATTCAACCCACTATATATCATTGTCATGTAATACATTACATTAGAATATCTGCAATATGTATATAGTCATGATGCAACTCTATTCAGCATGTTTAGATGTGTCTGTGCAAAAGGAGAAGAGGAAAGCTAATTAGTGTGGCATAGCATTTCATGGCTGTATCCTTAGTCTTTGTTCAGTTTATTGGGGGTGTACAAATGCAGTCTTACCAGTAATCACTGATCATTTTCTTATAAGCAGATTATAGTATATTACAATGCTACCCAGCCATTACTGTGACAACAAATCATTAATGAAAATAATGTACTTTAGGTGCCACTTGTGAGATGCTATAAATCGCTAGGGAGATAAGGTCCACTGAGCAGCATGTTTCCACTAAAATGTGATATGTTCACATAATAAGGAAACAGATTTAAACTGCTTATCTTTGCCAACCATCGTCTTGCAACTGCAATTGTGATGTAATGAATATGCTGTGTAACATTGGGAATCAGTTCATTCTTCAATGTTGCATACATGAAAATAGAAACATCCCTGGATTCTTCCTGCCTTCCCCATCCATAATAGATTACTTTGCTTTTAATCAATGTTTTGCATTCTGAAATAGTCTATGCTCCCTGATATGGATGACAAAGTGTATCTTTTTAATTTTGACTATACTGTATTTTAGAAAGACATAATTAAATATATGCTGCTATCAGATTTCAAAAGAAGAGTGAAGTGTATGTAGGTTTTTACCTTACTTTGTGATTTTCTGTCTGGGTACATGTCTTTACATGCATGTCCATTAAAGACAGATGCAGTCATACCCAAGATATTTTACTCCTATGTTTTGGTTCTCAGAAACAAGAGCTAATGGCACAGCAACTGGAACAACTCACACAGTTTTAATAAGTTTTTGCCAAAAGGTAAATTTGAGACAAAACAGGGACAGTAAAAAAAATAGATAACCAAAAACATGGAATGACTTTTAGAACAAAGAAGACTAGGAGTACCTACTGTTTACATCAGGGATGGGCAATTAATTTTCCCAAGTGGTCACATGAGAAACTGGGATTATTGTGGAGGGGCAAACTAAGGGGACAATGAAGATGCATAGGCATAAATGCACACACATATTTTTTTTTTTAAAAAAAAATAGCAATAGCCTTCAAAATAAAAGCAATCCACATGGGATGAACAGGGACAGCCAAAGGGTCAGATGTGGCCTGGGGACCATGAAATGCCCAGGTCTGGCTTACATTATTCTCCCTTTCCCCCCATCCATCAAATTCCACAGTGCAATGTGGAACGTTTGATTTGCATTTGACAATTAAACTGGGCAGCTGAAGAGCTACACTACCTTGATTCAATTCATCCACCAGCTTGATCTTGAACTGGCACTTTGAACATTTCTGTCCCTTCTTCTCTCCAGTCTGCCAAACCTGACACTGGACACAACTTCGGAATTCTTCCTCACATACCCGCTGGAAAGCCTAGACATGAGGGAGAAAGCATGAGAAGGCAGACACTTCACTTCTAGATTAATGATGAGCACCAATAGATAGTGAGGACTGGAGAGATGGATATTTATTTATTAAATTGATTTGCTGCCCACCTTGCTTCGAAGTGACTCTGGGCAGCTTACAGCATTCAGAGCTGTTGAGTCCGTGGCGGGAAAACAGACACGAGAAGCAGCTGGAGTTCTCAGTTTCATTTATTCAGCGTTCAGCTTACAGGAAGATGGCTTCAGCCTCGCCCAAACGCCTCGCAGCCTCTTATATAGGCAACTCCCGGGTAAATGGGTTACTTTTCCCGCGCCAGCACCCGCGCATGCGCACGGCGCTGGCGACAGCCTGTCTGGTCCCGGGCAGCTTTGCACCTGCCCGGGACTGCCTGCAAACGCCCGAGCCGTTTGCAAAGGCTCGGGACATAACACCCCTTTCCCCCGGGCTAAAACTACTACCAACATACAACATTTATTTTATATGACATTTTGCTCCCCAGTGCTCCCACTGTTTACTGGCTTTTGCCTTGCCAGCAATGTTATGTAATCTTCTAGATACTTAGGAGATTTCTTTGCTCTCTGTGACCTTCTTAGCTCTGGATTACTGGCAAAAGTCCCCTGACTGGAGGGAGGCGTGAGCCTGTTCTCTCTATTGTGCCCTGGTGTCTTCCAAGGACTGTGCCCCGATGCCTGGCCTGCTTGCTTGCCCACCGGGCTCGTCAGGCCAGGGCTTCTGTTACTTTGTGACCTGGTTGACCTACCTAGCTGTAGACCCTCAGGCCCCTTGAAGTGATAGCCGCTGCTGGGCGTCTCTGTAGAACCTCCTAGGTCAGTCCAAGACCTGTCAGGAGGCTGTCCATTCCCTGAACCCCATTCTGTGTTTGGGCTCGTGTGGGTTTCTGTACTTTCCCAAAACTCAGGTGTTCCCTGATTTGTGCTAGGGTTGTTGTAGTCGGGACTTGGTTCCTCGACTAGCTCTGTGTATGTTTGACCCCCTGTAGGATTTGGGGTAAGGTCAGGCCAACCTTGGGAATTGTGTGCCAGCTCTCTTGCGGGGAATGATTTGTTGGGATGCCCCCGGGTATCCTCCGTTGCTGGAGTGCTGTGTGATGTGTGTGGAAAGTGAGTATGCCCCCGGGGTGACTCCCTGGCTGGAGTAGGCGTGAGTGCCTGTTGTGTGGGTAAGCTCCATGACTTTCTTTTCGGAGCAATTGCAGAACCTTGGGACGAGGCCGTTTGTGGCTTCCTCAGTGGAGATGGGCAGTAGCTCTTGCCCTTCCCTTTGCTCCAAAGGGTCCCCCTCCCCCCCTGGAAAAGACCCAGGAGTCTCAGCAGAAAAGTCTCGCCTAGAGCGAAGTTGGTCGATGTGCCGACGCAGGACACGACCGTTGTCCAGGGCAACCTCGTAGGAGAGAGGACCTGTGATCCTGGACACAGAAGCGGGGACCCATGTATGACCAGGCCCGTAATTGCGAGCCCAAACCGGGGCACCCACAAGTAGTTGTCTAGGTGCCCTAGGATGTGAGGTAGATGAAGGCAGTCTGTCCGGATGCAACCGGTCAAGTCTAGTAGTAAGTTGGCGCCCCCAACGAAGTTCAGCTGGACTTCTCCCTGTAGAAGTGGACGGTGTGGTGCGATAAGAAAGGAGAAAGTCAGCCAACCTGTGATGCCAGTCCCCGTAGGTGAGTCTCTTCAAGGCGTCCTTTGCGATGCGCACCATGCGTTCAGCCATACCGTTGGTGGACGGGTGAAAAGGCGCAGACGTGGCATGACGAATCAGGTTTGCCTGTAAGAAAGCTTGGAATTCGGAGGAGGTGAATTGAGGGCCGTTGTCGGACACAATGACATCTGGCAGCCCGTGTGCAGCAAAAATCCCCCTCAGTACCTGAATAGTCTTTGCAGTGGTGGTGGATGAGACAGGCACAACCTCAAGCCATTTTGAATGGCTGTCAACAAGGACCAAGAAGAACTGGCCCTGAAAGGGCCCAGCGTAGTCAATGTGCACCCTAGACCATGGGGACTGTGTTTCCTCCCATCTATGCACAGGAGCTTGGGGCATCTCTGGGCGAGATCGTTGGCACAGGTGGCATGCGTGTACCTTAGCCTCAATATCTTTATCTAAAGCAGGCCACCACAAGTGGCTGCGTGCAAGAGCCTTCATACGAACAATGCCAGGATGACCCTCGTGGAGGGATTCTAAGACCCTAGTCCTCATTGAGGTGGGAATGACAACTCTGTTTCCCCAAAGCAGACAACCCTGAGAAAGGGACAGTTCGTTTCTTTTGGACCAGAAACTCTGAAACTCAGGACTAGGGCAGTGCTCAGGCCACCCGGACAGGACCCAGGAGCGGACACGTGAAAGTGTGTGATCTGTACCTGTTTCAGCGGTAACATCCCTGGCACTAAGAGGGAGCTCGGGCAAGGCTTGGATTGATAGAATGTTGACAGCTGGCGCGGGGGTCAGCTTCTACTACTGGCAGAGGCAATCTACTGAGGCCATCAGCATGGCCCATTTCTTTCCCAGGCTTGTGGAGTAATGAAAAATCATATGCAGACAAAAAAATAGACCACCTAAGCATTCTAGGGGAAATGATGTGGGGAGTCTGCTTACGTGTGGTAAACAGTCCCAGCAGAGGCTTATGGTCAGTGAAGACCGTGAAATGCCTGCCATATAGAAAATCGTGGAATTTTTTAATTCCAGCAACAACAGCCAGAGCCTCCCTGTCTATCTGAGCGTAGTTGCGCTCGGCAGAAGACAGTGTTCTGGAGTAGTATGCAATAGGAACCTGAGTTCCATCAGACCTGAGGTGACTCAGGACAGCTCCAACCCCGTAGGGGGACGCATCACAAGCGATGCACACAGGGAGAGACTCGTTGAAATGTGCAAGAACACTGTTAGAAGTGAGCAAGGCCTTGACTTCTTTAAAGCAAGCCTCATGCGCTTGTGACCACAGCCACACAGCCTGTTTGTCTAGTAGCCTGTGAAGAGGCTCAGCTACACTAGCTTTATGTGGAAGAAAAGAATTGTAGAAATTCAGGAGGCCTAGAAAGGCCTGAAGTTCGGCCTTAGACTTTGGCCTGGGTGCATCTAAAATAGCAGTTAGTTTGGATTCAGCAGGATGAATCCCAGCAGCATCAATTTTGAATCCCAGAAATTCAGTAGAAGGCACCCCAATCTGGCATTTGTCTTTTCTGAGCTTGAGGCCTGATTTCCTGAATCTTAACAGGACAGCCCTAAGCCTTTCAGCTAGAATGTGTGTGGAGTCTCCTGCAATCAAGACATCGTCAAAGTAGGGGCAGACCCCTGGTATACCTCGTAGTGTGTTTTCCATAACGCTTTGGAAAATCCCAGGAGCGACATTCACTCCAAACTGTAGCCTTTTTACTTTAAAGGCTCCCCTGTGGGTCACAATGGTCTGAGCTATGGCAGCATCATCATCAACAGGCAGCTGTTGATATGCTTGAGCTAGGTCAAGCTTTGCAAAAACACGCCCCCCCTTGAGAGAGGCCAGGATGTGACTGACCACAGGAACAGGATAGGCATGTTGCTGCAATGCCTTATTGAGTGTGCATTTGTAATCAGCACAAATGCGAATGTCCCCATTTGCCTTTAGAGGCGTGACAATGGGGGTCTCCCACGGGCTGGAATCAACAGGTTCTAGGATTCCCTGTTGGATTAGTTTGTCTAGTTCAGTGTCAATCTTACTTTTTAAAGCAAAAGGGACCCTTCTTGCTTTAATCCTAATGGGAGTGACAGTGGGGTCTAGCTTTAAGGACACAGGTGGTCCTTTGAATGTGCCCAGCTGGGGGCTGAAAACATCTGCAAATTCTGTGCAGACTTCCTGTAGGTCGAGTGTTTGTAAGCTATTGAGTCCTGTGACGTGTATCCCCAGGGCCTCAAACCAATCGAGTCCTATGAGACTCGTTCGTTCACCCCCTACTACTAATAAGTCTAGTGGACCTTCAAAACTCTTGTATTGCACGTTAAGGGTGGCCTCCCCCTTAACACACACTCTTGAGTTCTGAAAATCTGTTAATACAATATCAGAAGGCCTTAACTTGGCCTTAGACCCACTTCTGGAACAAATCTTCCTAAATGTATGCAATGAAATGATGGACAGGGCAGACCCTGTGTCTAGTTCCATAGATAATGGAACCCCTTGTAGCTTCACGTTGAGTGACAGCTTTTTCTTCATGGGCTTGTGTGTGCCTGTTCTACAGATGCTTCTTCGCGAAGCGCAAAAACCTACCCTATTCTGGCTGGGGAATCTGGTACCCTTCAGGCGTTCTTCTTGGGGTTGTGCCTTTCGTCGGCCCAGGCACACAGCTGCAATGTGCCCTTGTTTACCGCATGCCCGGCAGGTAGCGGAGCGGAACTTGCAGTCGGTTCTCCTGTGGCGACCTCCACAACCGATGCACTTGAGCGGAGCCGAAGAGCTTCCCTTCTGGTTCTCTTCCTTCGCGGGGTGTAGACGGTCGACTTCCTCGTCCGGATCCTCCTCGGAGTTTCGTCGGACGTCTTCCTGGTGCACGGACGCACCCTCTGCACTGTTTCTGATCGGCCGCATGTTTTTGACGGCGCCGCCTGCTGCTTCTTCTGCGGTGACTTCCCTTAAGGCGTCTTGGAAGGATAATTCTTCCTTTGCGAAAAGTCTCTGTTGTAGCTCGCGATGCCTTAACCCGCACACGAATCGGTCCCTCAGTCGTTCCTCGAGGTCCTTGAACTCGCAGGGCTTGGCGGCCTTCCGTAACGCGGCGATGTATTCCTTGGCTGACTCACCGGACCGTTGATCCCTTTGTTCGAAGGTGTGGCGCCATGAGATAACGGACACCTTGGGATGGAAATGCTCCTTCAGCAGCTTCTTCAGGTCTGCGTAGCTTACAGACTCTACTGGGACAGGTGCTGCAAGGTTTTCTGCGATTTCGAAGGCGTCTTGGCTGCAAACGCAAAGCAGGGTGGCCGCCTTCAAGCTATCTTCCCTCACTTGG